AGCTTTCCCGTAAGAATCAAAACAGTCGAGGCCGCCAAAGATGGCCGGCCGGTCACCTTTATCACATCCCACACAGCTGGAAAATTGATGGGAGTGGGTGGATGGGGATTTGGGGGCCAATCGCGGAGGTTCACCACCGGTACTCTCTGGGAGTTGGAGATCCACGAAGGTCGATTGATGTGCTGGCCGACCCGTCTTCTCGGCCACCGTGACTTCCAATGTTGACCCTAGCGCCGTCTTCGTTGCCACCAGTTAGCCAGTCATCAAATACTACCACTGACTTGTGGCAAGCAGCGTGGCAGTAGTTTAAGCTGGCTGCGCTACTGGGCGTTGTGGTATGGAGCAACGCACGCCCAGGCCCGTCTTGCCCGACAAGCAAATGCTGTGATTTCGTCATTCCTTCTTATCGACTCGATCCGGCGAACGAGCCCGAGCCACGTCCCCTCTGATGGCCTTGACGGTCATCAGTCCACGAAAGCTACACGATGGGCCTGCTGGCCAAGACGTCCCCGCCAGCTACTGCCATGGTCTATCCTACAGGTGCTGTTTGCGGGGGATGGCTCGTGATGTCAACCAACATTGCCTTCTTGCCCTTTGAGGCTAGGTCTCGACTAAGCAGAACTGGTTCAAAGCTGGATCGAGGGCCACCACAGGCGAAGAATATATTTCGGAGGACGGGTCTTGAAAATAAGCCCATGGCGAACATGATGATTTAAGCCGGAACAAGTGGTCGCGAGTCGCCTTCCGGGTATCCGAAGTTCGCTGAGACAGTCACAAAAGAAGGGAAATAAAAATATTAGTGTTGATCGAGTCGTTTGATGCTCGAGGTATTCGTTCGTACACTAGCATCATTGTCACACTTCGAAACTCGCGCCTCGATCTAGACTAGGGAAGGTCACCGGGAACAGGGGGAGATCCTGGATAATAGGCGTTGTCCCGCCATCATCCCTGCTCGAGAGCGACTCTATCCCGTGTGATCCTGGCACGAAAAATAGCATTCAAAGGTTTTTCCAAGGATCTGCTCGGGTTTTGCAGGGTCAGGGCAGCAGCCAATCTTCTGGTGCATTCTGTCTCGCTGAAATAGGTGTGGAATACGGGAGGGGGAGGCGCGGAGGTGGGCCTTGCTAGCTTGGGCTGATGGCCCGTCATGCTCAAGCCAAAACCTCTCGGCACCGCGAGCCCGTGAAATGATGGGTTCAAGTGTTGTGAGCTGCTTACAGTACAATGGATGTATCATTGATCCATAGATCCATGGAACTCAAGAAATGAGGCACTGATACGCCCAAACAGAAGGAGGAGGCTCGAGAACGATGCAAGTACATATGAAGTGATTTTCTCCTTCTGTTTCTTCTTGGTCACTGCTCGGGCGTATCAATGCTATTATGTCTTGTTGTCGTCAAGTCTTGCACGTCACTTGCTCGACCTTGCACTACGTCTACAACTGCAATAGGCCAGCACGCTATTGCTTGATTTTGGCCCCCATCTGGGCCATTCAACGGACCGAGGCGCGTGTCCCAGAGCGAGTGCCTAATTATACTTCATAGACACTTGGGGAAGTGGTGTCTCGGTTTTCATGCTCCTCCCGGGCTCTTCATCGCGGTCAGCTCTGCTGTTCAACCTGGAGATAAGGCAAGTGGCGATCGACATCCGTTGGCGGCGGAGTGGAGCTCTTGCTCCCAAGGCAGTGGGTGGGCATTGATTACGTCGTAGTACTTGTACGTCTTCTTTTTCAGCCCGCCAGTGCTGGTTGTTTGTTCTTCGCTTCGGTCTTCATTGCAGTTACCCATGCTAGCGGGGGCGTGATAGCGAACGAAAAGGACGACTCACCCGACTCTTCAGAAAGAACGGAAAAAGAAACGAAAACAGGAGGGAAAAACACACGCCCCACCCCAAGGTACAAGTAAAACAGGCCGATCTAATAAGATCGCCGGCTTCGATCTCGCTGGGGTCTGTGGCTGGCCCTGGGAGTATGGCCGTCCTGCATGTCCTCGGACATGTGGAACAACAGCGCGGTGTAATAATAATCTCCTCTAGAGCAAGTAGCGTGTCTCTGTTAGGCGCAATGGGAGGAGGACGCCTCAGTCACTAATCTCCAAGGGCCAATCTGGTGGATCCATGGAAATGGCTATCTGACACAAAAGCCGACAGAAGCACGGAGCGGCCACCGAACCTGGGAGGTCTCGAAGGCGGCTGTTTGAACAAGGAATCGAGAAATCGTCAAATTAGCTGTCGCTTGTGTGGTAGCCCCGAATTGTGGTAATTGGGCCACAGCACACGAAGTTGCCCGGTCTCCTGCTGCAGCTCACCCTCCCTGGAAGTCTTGGTTGTTACTTCTTGTTCGAAGCTTGACTGTTTGTGGGTGGGACGCACATGCTCCCTCCAGTTCCAAGTCAATTTCGGCGGCTCCTACCGATTTGGCATTACTGGTCAACTTGATTTGACCTGCAGCACAGAACAAGTGCTTAATAACCAAGCCATCATCCAATTCATGCTCAATACCCTCCAAAAGGACCATAGCAACGTGCTGTTTGCTTTCGTGTGGCCAAGGATTGATGTTCCATTCATTGATCGGTGCATGAGAGACGAGGCGGTACGACTACCTGTCCCGAGGAGGGCATTATGATCATTCAATGCTGTGTGATGGCCCTCTTCCTTTCTTTATATCAATTCTTATTCGTCTCGATGGACCGCGGGGAGAGGCAAACTTCACTGGGCCTGTCAAGCCTGTCCCTTTCTCGATCACAAGTATTGCACCCTACAAGTAGTAAGAATGGTATCATCAAATTCGCCTGCGTTTTACCTTTTCACTCTCTGGGTCTATTTCCAGCCCACTTCATTGGGAAAATCTTTATTCCTTTCTCGCCCTTTCCTCGTTCCCACTTCCCCCTGTGACGAGTGGCCAGTAACGAGTGGCCAGTGCCGACGCAATCTGTCTCGACGCGAGATGGCGGCATGCCGTGTCGACCGAGTGGTAGCGAGCGAGACTTTGCCCTCTCCAGACGTGTTCTAGGGGCCAACTAAGCCCAAAAGAACCAAGAGTTGTCGTAGATTACAATGGGCGGTAGGAGATCCTTGATGTTTTGAGCAGAAGCTTGCCCCGTTTGGTGCGTCGAGCAGCAACTACCATCTGGTTTCGCCTGGGCATATGTTCCTCCCCCACTCACCTGGGCAAGACGACCCACTGAGGCGAGACTCTGGGGATCACTTGCAATTAATCCAGGACGATGGCGAGACTTGATGAGCTCACCAGGGACGCCGGCACAATGCCAGACCGAGTTCGGGTATAATATGTATCACAAAGGCCCTTCCATTTCCTCCACCCCCATTAGAACACTGTGCTGTGAGTTCCCATTCTCGGTCCGTATTCCGTGTTAATTGAGCGAGCCTGTGTTCCTCCCCTCATCGAGGGACGAGAGAAAGAAACAGGAGAAAGAAGAGGAAGGAAAGAGGACGCCCGTGCTGGCCTTTGCTTCTTGGTGCCCACTATCGCTTCCCTTTTCCTTTCTTTTTTTCATCTTCTGAGGAGTCGCGTCCTCTGCTGCATTGTGGTCGCTACGACCGCGAGAGGCAGTCGGGACCGAAGCAGCCGCCAGGGCAGCAGGAGCTAGTCGAGAGATTGGCGCGGGATTCAGCAGGTAATTTGTGTGCGTCCCCACGACACAGCGCTGGGCAGGGCTTCATGCATTTTAGCTAGGGAAAATAAAATTGCATGTACTCTACATTGGCCGGTGCTGACGGGAACACTGGACGTCATTGGGCGTGGAGGGCTCGGGGTCCGCTGCATGGCTCGCCTCTGGGCAGCAACTGGGGAGTACTGTCCCTCAAGTGCTGAGGTTCTGAGGCAAAGCCCGCCCCGGTCTCTGGTTCGGGGCACTGACTGAAACGCCCAACCCAGCAACAGGTGGTCCTGGTCTCGATTATCTGGTCCATGTTCAATGTCCATCCATGTACTGTACACCTCGCACCCTCAGCGGTCGGCCATGCTGCGACTGTGCCTGGCTGTGCCGCCCTGGAGGGTTGGTGTACACTACCAGACGACCAGACGCTCCTCGAGTGCTCCTCCTCGGTCGCCTGGTGAGTGGAGCTGGGTACTTTTAACTGGCCCGTGGACTCGCACTCAACAACACGTACAGGCGCTGTTGCTTGTCGCTGCGTCGCGTTCCTGTTCCTGTTCCTGTTCCTGTCCTTCCTTCCCATCATCTCCTCGGCCTCATTGAGCACACGCCCGCCGCTCAAAACACGCCCCTCCGACCAAACCAAAATACCCAGACTGGTACAGTACACACGACCCAGGCCAAATCAGAATTGACATTGATACCTGCAACTCGTTCATCTGCTTCTAACCGTGTTTCCCTCATCCGCTCGGTCCCTTCCAAGGTATCTTGTTATTCCGCTTGATTCCTCATATACACACTCTTGTTCTACTATTTTTTTCTTCTCCCACACGTCCTTGCCTTTTTCTTTCTTCTGTGCTGTTGTTTTTCCTATCCTCCAGTTTTCTTTTCTTTCAATCCTCACGAATCCACGGTGGGCGTGTTTCTTCCCCCACCCCTTCCTTTGGAGACTGGTGTTTCTTGCCTTCTGGGGACTTTCATTTCCTTTCTTAATCCACCGAGCCATTGGAGGGACTGAAAGGCGCGACGAAACAGCGAGTCGACTCTTGTCCCCTAGACGAATTTCTCCCGCAGCCCCAGCACCGTCCGCGGTTTAATTCTCGACTCCTTTCCTCCACTGCCCGGGTCCGCCTCGCCGTCATCAAGCAGATCCAACATCGACAGCCGATCCCGACGCGCGAACAAACCGTCTCCGAAGAAGAAGAAAAAGAAAGAAGGGAATTTTCGAGGTCTCGGACGTGGGAAATTGACAATGTCCTGAGAACGATGCTTATTCTGCCGACTTATCTGGAAACCATAATACGCAGCCTCCACCACCCGCGCACATGATCCTCTTCCCTTCGCGTTTTACCTCCTCCGTCGAGTAGGGCTTCTTCCCGACTGAAGATGCAGACCGTTCCAAGCGTAAGTTGTTACTACGATCTTCCCATCCCGAGCCGATCACTTCTTTTGGGCCTATGTCTTCTTGGTCCGGGTTGCCCTCATCAGCGGGAGATGATTCACTGTGGTTTTTGGTCTCGAGGGTGGATTCCTGTCCCAAAATTTAGTGGACTTGGGTCCCATCCAGAAAACGACGACTCGGTGGATTATGCTGCCCTAGCGATGCAGTGCTTTTTCCCCTCTTGCTTATGCTTTTTTTCTTTTTTCTTTTTCCTTTGCCTCTTTCCTTCCCTCCAGCATCCTCTCTCCCTCGACCAGCTGTGACGCAAAGGATTGGGTTTGGGCAGCTCTCCGCCTCAATCTTTGGAGAAGCCTTGTGTCCTGGGAGCAGAGAGAAAAAAATTACGCTGCCCTCGACCCCCTCGAGTTTGCCTACCTGCAGCATTCGCCCTGAACCACCCTTCTACACGACGGTCCCCTCCCCCGCTCGCCCTCTCACCTTGATCCAGCGTCCCTTATTGTCAAGGCGCTGGTAATTGAGGCTGCCAAACTTTCAAGGGCAATTGCTAACATTGGGCTGTGCTTCCCTTCCGTAGCTTGTTGGAACTGGCACTGCTGTTGCTGCCGCTGCCACTGGTCTAGCCTTTAGTCAACCCACCGACTCGAACTTGATTACCGATCGCCCAACAACGAACAAACGGAAATCGACTTTGGACCGCGAGGCTCCCGAGTACCCTTTCCTGGAGTCTCTTCTCCCCTGAGACCCGGCACTGGCTCATACCCTGCTCTTTCTGCCGGAGAGGACAAAGCCTATCACACCCTTCCTCATCACTTCTCTCTCCCCGGCGCTGCTACTGGCGGTGCCCGACCAAGGGCGGCCAACCCGCGCCCCGCCTCAAGACACGGCCACTCCCGACGTCTCTCGTTGAACCGGCCAGGTGATTACTCGTCCTACCCGACCGAAGATTCCAGAGACTCGATATCGTCGAACGGCTCGTGGATGAAACGATTTTCTCTCCGTCCCTCGAGTGTTCGATCAAGTATAGGCCCCGATACACAATCTCTAACTTTCTCTCACGGCTCCTCGGCCCCAATCCTCACCTCACACATCGCCACTCCCTTACCACCGAACAAGCTTGTCAAGCGAGCCCCTCCTCCTGCCCACGCCGGTTATAGCGACCCGCAGCCTAGACGTCGAGCTAAAACTCACCTCCCTAGCCTCCGCCGCCCTGCTACGAGCCACCAAAGGTCAGCCACACTGCGGCAGAGTCGGCAAGAGCACGGCCTGGCATCTCCCGTCTCCTCCCCTCGGAGGTTTTCTTTCGACCGGCAACTCCCAGGTCTCCATCTCAACCCACCTGTGGATGAGGATTCCCTTGCGGAGCAGCCAGCTCATCCGTTAGTTCGTTGGTCGTCCTTTTTCCATTCCCGCGTCATTGAACTCGGGGTCAAGGCCATCTCATCACGCACACACGACGGTGGACCCCTCACCTTTGTGAAGCGGATCACTACAGTTTCCAAGTCCCGCGCCCCCGTCTACCTAACACAGCCTAGCAACGTTTCGTCGTACTCGACGCAACCTTGGGCTTACGAGCAGCGAGAGGGGATCAATCATCCTATTGTTGATGATACTAGCACAGGGCTACCGGATTCTTCAAGTTCGAGCCCTGAAGATACTCCTTCTAAACGAGCGAGACGCTCTATTTCTATGACCTTTTCCTCCCCGGCAATTGGATCATGAGATCAGGCAGCATTCGTCGCCCTAAGCGGGGCACTGACTCTTCGAAGCCAAATGGGAAACGCCACGTCTCGGCACCTGTAACCTCACACCCCGGTAAGCAGGAAGACAGCCCTGCTAGGCTACTGACCGGAGCAAGACGACAGACGACGCTGTCGATACATCCAAGCAAACTTCGGCGCTTGCCAGAAGCCGAAATGTCTCGTCACCCTTGCCGCCCCTATCTCGACTGTCGAGCTTTAATATCGACCTAGCAAGGCTCAGCGCCGCGTCGCCTTCCCCTTCTTCGGCGGGCGCCATCTCTCCAACGGTACGACCTCACCAACCATCCGGGAGCTCGCAGGCCTCTGGTTCCATGGCCCCTCCGGGATTATCCCGCAACTACCGGTCCCCAACATTGGTCAGTTCCGATTTTGATGGCCGGGATTTCATGTCTGGAGACGACGATGACACAGACTTCAAGAGCGATACGATCTTTGACTCGATAAGAACAGTTGCTTCTGGTCGGATCCGCTCAGCTGAGACCCCTCTCGAATCCATGTTTGATGAATCACCTCCTAGCACTGCTGGGCATACCAAAGCGAAGAGATCCTCCATCCAAGAAGTTCGAATCCGGACGTGGGATGGCGACAACGACCGGATCCTAGAGGAGGATGATGAAGGAGCCCTAACTCCCGTCCGCCTTACGCATAGTATTGAGCGTCTCCAAGAGCCGGCGGCGATCCTGAAAGGTGACCGGTTTACGCTGGGTGCTGCCACCAATCACTATTCCCTTCCGAACGGGGACTTTGGCCGGCTTTCACTTGATGACGAGGATGAGGACTGGACCAAGGACGACTACATGGATCAGGATACTCTGCTGGCTAACCGCCTTTCACCACCGTCCAAGAATGGCGTGGTGAACATGAGGAACATCAATCCCAATCTTAGAGTAGCGCTAGCCTCCATTAGCGGCAACCGCCATTCCGAAGGTAGGAGCCCAACCACGACTGAACGACCATTGAGCACTCTCTTCGATTGGAGCGAACCGCCTGTGCACGAAAAGCAGGACGGCGAGGGCCAATCCCAGCGACCCAAGACGGTTCACGGGAAACAAGACATCGACATGAGGGGTGGTAGAGCCGCAACAAGAAAAGGCCCCGCGCCGGCCCACGTTAGGAGCCAGAGTGTGCCCGTTGTTCACGACCAGGCTGAGCATCACAAGGCACCAGCGCCGAAGTTCGGGACCTGGGGACTAGGCAGCAAGGGCGTCAGCGAGGACTGGGGCGACGACTTCGAATTCGAAGAGACCCCGCCGAACTGACAACTGGGAAGGGCTCGTGCAGGAGCTTCGTCGTCCCCGAGCCTATCCAAGCGTCGCAGTCCAGTGTCAAAGCACACTCGGGCCAGATCAGGGAACTCTCGCTTCTGGTTAATGACCTCAAGAGACTCTGCCGACATGGCCGTGATATGGACATGTTGGGAGGATTCCACGCTGGCCTCTGGAAGGAGGCAGAGGGGGTCATTGCTCTAGCCTCGCCCGACGAAGACGAGCCGATGAAGGATGTTGGAACGAGCTCATCGTCATCCCCTGCCTCCGAGGTCCCATGTAGTATTACCGGTCGGATCATCGATGATGGATTCGACGCTGCATCGCTCGACTTTTCAGACATCAGCATGTCCAAAACAACAGTCGTCCGCTCCCGCCACTCGATCCGCCGACGCTCCGTCATCCCGGATGACGACATTTTTGGAGCGTGGCCCCTTCCCGAGGATGGCTCCCTGCCCGATAGGCCTCGGACTCCCGAGAATAGACCGGCCCCGCGCGGAGGTGATGATGTTTCTGGCATCGTTCGGACGGTCATGGACGCCATGCAACAACGCTCGGTTTCGACCCCGGTCCACGGACAGGCGAACAACAAGGTCCACTTTGATACCACTAGTCTAAAAGCTCTCGTCAAGAGGGCTGGTGATCTTCGAGATGTCCTCTCCGACTTGGTTCGCAAGGCCGACCCCATCGGGGCCAGTCCCGCGCGCACCCTCGGCATGACGGCAGCCCTGCCTTTACCCGAGTATTCAACGAGCCCCCTCGAGCCCCTCGCGCCGGCTACCTCACAGCCGAAGCAATAATTCAGTCCTTAGTCGGACTTCCATGGACACATCGTCGTCAGCGACGATAGGTCCGAAACGTATGCAGGTTATGACCGTCAGTTAGATGGCGCTCGCACGACCTTTGCTTTACCCCGCGCATTTTGTTATCCTCTTGAAAGACGAAACTTATGAACAATTACAACACGCGACGTCTTTTTATTCTTTCCTTCCCTTAGTGTCTCGCGGCCTAGGGAGGGGACCATGGAACATGGAACTCAAAGAGTTTTTGATTTTCTAGTATCACGTTGGCAATCTGTCAACAATGTAAATGTATGACTATGGGAGACGGTGTGCTCTTCATTGGTGCTGGCTATCAGGTTGTTTTGTCAGGGCTTTAGTATTTTGCTTTGCTGCCCTGTTTCTTGTTCTTGTTTTCTTTGTCCATCATTTTCCTCTTCGTCATCGGGTTGCTCCATGTCCACACCCACACATTACTTCGAAAGTGCATAGCGATGGCTTAGGGTTCGGTTTAGTCTGTTCATCTTTTTTCTTCTCGTTTCTTTTCCTTGTCTTTCTCACTCTTCCTGCTTCTTTCTTCCTTCTCTGCTGGCTTCAGTCGTCGAAGACGGGGTTTCTTCTCTGTTCATAATGTACCAGCATACGCATAAACGATGGTCATGCCGTTGCTCTAGATGCGAGATGACAAAATAAAAAAGGAGGCCTTGGCTGTTCTGATTACGCATTTCACTCCTCAACGATTCCTATGTAGCGGCCACATGCCTCTTGTTCCTTTAAGTTACTTGTGCCTGTTTCAGCGACCATGGCGACGCCGCCCCTTCAACCACGCGCTACTGATCCTAGGTGGCTGTGGAGGATGAATGCATTTCAAAGGGGAAATAGCTTTGAGATTAATAGGGAGAGGGAACAGAAAAAAACCGGGTATCATTGCTTTTATGCCATCTATCTCACAGGGAAGACAAAAAAAAAAAAAGGTGAAAATAACCGGTTGCTCTCGGAGCAGGAACTGAGAACGTTGAGCCTCACTAGCTTCCTTCAGTCCGACGCCCCTCACGAAACTAGAGAACAAGACATCTCAACACCTCCTTGGCGGCTTCTAGGTCACGGCTCATGACGTACGAGACGTACATGTTGAAGGCCGTGGCCATCTTAACCACCCTGCCGCCGTCGTGCTGGCGCCTCTCGCCGCCGTCCTCGTCGTAGGTGTCCGTGGCCTGATGCTCGGGCGGGAAGGCGGGGTCGCCGGGGCGGGGAACCAGCGGGCGGAGGGGCACGCGCTTGTAGTACTGGAGGGCGAGGTGCTGCAGGCCGAGGAGCTGAAAGGTGCGGCCGAGGCCGTAGTTGGCCTCGTCGGCGCGGTCGGGCCCCAGGTCGCGGTAGTAGTCGAGTAGGAAGCCGAGGCCTTGGAGGATGAGGTATTGGCGGTTGACGGCCTGGCGCTTGAGGCCGTAGTGGATGTAGCCGAGGCCGAGGGACAGGTTTATGACGGGGTTCGAGGGGTCGAGGGCGCGGGCGCGGAGGAAGTAGTCTAAGGGTATGGGTTGGCGGCGGGTTTTAGCTGGGTGCTGCATGGGGAAGAATAGCAAGGGGAAGAGAATGGGGGAGGAGGTGGTATGATGGTGGGTTCAAAACGTACGGATAGCGTAGACGTAGCTGGTAGAGGTAAAGAGGATATGGCCGTACAACATCAGCGGGCTGACGTCAAGGTGCGAGCGACTGGCTCCGGGCGGGGCATCGGCGGAGGCGGCGACGGCCGCGTCCATGGCCTTGATCTGTCTAAGGATGAACTTTTGCGCCGGGCCGGAGCTGTACCACGAGATGGAAGACTGGCAGAGCCGGCATAGGAGGGAAAAGAGGCGGAAGGAGTCGGAGGAGAGGATGTGATCGCGCATGATCTGACGGGAGATGGACACGCACGTCTCCTCGTCGCCGGCGTAGATGGCACATGCTAACAAAAGGGAGAAAAGGGCGAGTTAGCGAAGAAGGGTGACGGGGAAGGAAGCCACCGGAGAAAAAAGTTGAGGATGTACGTACTGCCCCAGGTGATGTAGATGAAGAAGACGTTGTCTTCCGACACGGTAAAGACAGTAGAGTCCTTTGCCGCCTCGCACACCCTGTACGACTCCTCGTACTGGCCGGTAGCAGCTAGGCTCAAGGCGTAGTCCAGGAACAGGTCAAGCCAGTTACCAAACGAAATGCCCTGGTACTCGTTGAAGTCCGAGTCGCGGAGCCCTCCATCCGCAGCATCTGGAACTTGTGGTAAAATGATGGCTAATAATCGAGGAAAGAGGAAGAAAAAAAGAAAAGACGCGAGTCAGCAAATGAAAACGGTTACCAAAAGGGCCCGGCCCGGAAGGGATGATGGGGGATAAGCCTTGGTACCTTTTGACAGCCGTTCGGCGATGACATCGAGGCTGGATAGCTGGCCCGTTTCACGCTGCTGCAAGGTAGCGTTGGTCCTGCCCAAAAACTTGAGGTACTTATCCCAAGAGTAAAATTTTCGGTAAGACCTAAAGTCGTCAATAAGCTCCTTGGCCGCCGCCATCCACGCGGGGACGAGCTCCTCGCTGCCCTCGCGGATCTTGGCCTTGAGGTCTTGGACGGTGAGGTACTGCGTCGAGAGCCGCTGCGCCCTCTCCACCTCCTCCCGCCGCCTCATGTCCGGATCCACCAGCCTCTTGGGGCGGTAGCGCGCCGGGATGACGCCCGAGGGCTTGGCTTTGAAGCGCACCGAAGCACCCTTGGGCCGGTGGAGGTAGTAGGATCGCCGCGAGGGCGGCAGAGCCTTGAGCTTGTCCTTATCCGGCCCGGCGGCGAGGGCCGCTTGCGTCTCCTGGAGGGTCATGGCCTCGTTGACGAGAATCAGGGCTTCTTCGTCCTCGTGGGCGGTGGAATAGAGGTTGGCGAGCTCGACGCGGGCGTCGATGTTGTCTACGTCGGCCTCGATGGCCGCGAGGAAACACTCTTCTGCAGCGGACGACTCCCCTTCAGGAGGTGGCATCGTCCAAGCTGGAGGAGAATCAACGCATCAGGCTCATCGGGGAGGCTGCGGAGGAATTGGTAGTAGGCCTGGGCCTCGGCGATAAGTTCGTGCTCGAACAATTGGCCAGCTAGGTCGCGAATCAAAAGGGAAAGGCAGTCATATCAGCCACCATATCTTCCCGCGACGGGTCGAGGTACTTGAGGTGATGCTGTTGGCTACCGTGTTAGCAAAGTGAAGGGAAAAAGGGCGTCTAATGTAGGGGGGACGGTGGACAGATGAAAAACTTGAAACACCCTTACCAATGCCTCTGGAAAGTCCTCTACCGTGAGGCGATAGATGGCCAAGCGGACCCGCAAATCCCTAGGCAACCCAAGTCCATAGGCAGAAAGCTCCCGCCTGCACGTCGCATACTCGGACACCTCGAGCCGCCTCTCGTCCGCCTCATCAAACTCCCGATCATCCCCGTCCCACAGGTCCCAAAACGCCTCGTCCCCGCGGCCGAGGAGCCTGCGAGAAAGCGACTTGAGCCGGGAGACGGCGTCCCGGTAGCGGCTCGCATAGGCCAGCAGCTCCGTGTAGATACCCACGTCGTACCAGGCGATGGGCAGCGCGGCCCGGTTGCCCAGGTACAAATCGTAGGCCTCGATCGCCGACGAGGCCGCCTCGGCCACGTTTTTGGAATCCATGCACGCCTCGGCCAGCTTCCGGACGACCTCGAGGTCCAGGGTCGCTGCGCCAGCACCCACTTGTAGTCGGCGATGGCGAGGGAGATGTGGCCCAGGCGATGGCAGGCGACGGCCCTGCCGACGCGGGCATCCATGTTCTTCGGGTCTGCGTTGACGGCGGCCGAGTAGCACATGCGCGCCGTGTTCAGGTCCACGCCGGGGTGCTCCTCGGCCACGTCGAGCGCAAACGAGGCGCACTTGAGCCACTCTTGCACGTCCTTGGGCCGCAGGTGCGCCGCGTACACCATGGACATGAGCGCCTTGTCGAGCGCCCCTCCTCGCGGAAGATGGACCCCAGCGTCGTCCACGCCTGGTGCGTCTCGGCGTTGATGCGAATCACTTCAAACACGAGATCCTTGGCCTCTTGGTAGTTCCTCATCATGAAGGCTCGGTTCGCCTTGAACAGCCGGGCCTTGATGTCGCCCCGCGGCTCGACCGCCTTGCGGGGCCCGCGCGGCGCCGAACGCCCGCCCCCGCCGTCGGGGACTTGGCACGCGGCGCCACGCCGTGCTGAGACGCCAGGAAAGCGCGCACTGATACGTTGAGCTTCTCAATGTCTTGCTCGAGGTCTTCCACGTCGGAATCGGCGTCTGCGACGTCTCCATCCTGCCTACAAATCGGGTCAGTTCACGACACGAGAAACCCATCTCAAGCCGACCCCCTTTTCCCGGATTCCTCTCCGAATCAAAGGAGAGGCGGTGATACGTACAAGACTGCATAATTAACCGGACTCCGTGCACCCTGGGCGCCGGGGTAGTCCCGGAGGCCCGGCTCGATAACCTCATCCATTGGCAAGAGCCGACGGTCAATCATTGATGTATCCTCCATCCCTCAAGGGCGTGTTGTGCTCAGAATCTTTGCACAGAAACCGTGCACCCCTAGGCCATGACCGGAACCGAGCTGAAAATATTCAAAAACAAGCTCTCGTGAACGGGGTGTTTTTTTCCCTCGCCTTTCGCGTATGACCCGTGTCTTGGATTCAGCAGTAGCTGTGAGAATTATTGCTTTGTAGTTGCCGTTCTTTGCCTTTTCCAACCGTCATATTCCTGCTGACTAAGTCTCATGGCTTGGGAAACTTGCCGAACGGGCAAGTGCTAAAACTTCCCGGAAGGCGCTAATCGCTACTAGGTATTATCCACATATCAATTTGAGACATGCCGCAGGGCGCATCTGCATCCATCCAACGTTCAGCTCAAGCCAAGGGTCCGGGGAAGAGAGACTTGACAGCATATTCCGGGGCTAGTCTCGCATATTCGACATGAACCATTGCTGCGGGTTCCTCCAAGATTGAGCATCCTATCATCTACATTCAGGTGTTCTTCGATCCTCTCACAGAGGCATTCGGGCGTTTCAAGAACATGACACGGTGAAGAGATCACGGTGACGACGAAAGAGCGATGCGTCCACAATTTGACGGCGCGGCAAACAAGACAAGAGATGCGTTGTTATATCAGAGTTCATTTTAAGTAAAAGTAAAGGACCTCTATAAAGTTCCTCCAAATCTGCCTTCACCACCCCCTCCCCTCTTTGTTGAATTTTTCTGTTCGTGCAAAAGCCGACACCTAGCACTCCATTATCAAAAGCAGATATGAGCCAACTAAGACGAGCAGTCCCCGTCGGACAAGCCATGCCAAGCCTGACGGCCCCTCCTTTTTGTTGGCTGTATATACTCGTACCAAACTCTTAGCCTGTGGAAACGTCGAAAAAATAAACAAGCTGCATTTTGTACGTGTTTGCGTCGTTGGTGTACAAAGATCATAGCTCCAGGCATGATATGCCAGAAACAGAGGAACCGGCCACAATCTTAGTCTCCACATGTCATCACCATATTACAAACAATATGCCTCCGAGAAGAGAAGAACCAATATGCACAACGTGTCACATTAGTTACAAGCGGCTCCGCTTAGAGCCTGCCTTCGGCCTTGGCTTCTGCAATTCATCATGTTAGCAGCAACTCCTTTGGCTTTACGGATTGGGAGGGGGAAAAGATGTGTTGATGTTTCAGGAAGGGGGTGGTGGCGTATGAGGCAGATGAATGGGGTGGATGAACGAAAGATAACTTACCCCTGACCTGCTCGAAAACCTTCAACATCTTTCTACGAGCACCTAGGGCGTTGACACCGCGATCCTCGAGGGCCTTGTCATCAAGTTCGACGAGCTCCGTCCACTTCAACTCCTTCAAGTTGTCAGTGTACTTGTGTAGACGAAGGCTACGGAGCCAGGCAGGGATGTCCTGGAGCAGACTAGGGTCCGTAGGATCCTCGGGGGCTTCGAGTTTCCGCGCCTTCCACGGGGCGACCTGCCGCGCGCCATGTCCGAGTGATCCGAGAGATAGCCCTCGTGGAGGCCAATTCCAAGCTGGCCAAGATTCACGGGGGTGATACCGTTGCTCATCAATTGAGCGCCATCGTAGGCGCTGAGGAATCCATTGTTCCTAGGCGAAGTAAAGGGACGGCACCGCCGCCGGGGAAACCGGGCTGCATAGCAATTCCGGGGAGCTAGGGCGCGAGCGTTGTCCAAACGACATACCCTGCTGCGTCTGGAGAGCAATCATGTGTTCACGGCTAACAACCTGGCCGTGCTCGTTAATCATAACTACGTTGGCACTAGGTAGGTTGACACCTTGTGGGTTGGGTCCCAGCCCGGGAGGGTTGCTCGCTCCTTGGGCGTCGTTCGGCCGCGTCTTACGGTACTTTCGGACATCGTCAAGGGCAAAGCGGTTATTGACGGTAGAGAGAGCTGCGAGTTTCATCGCGGTCGCATTCGCCACCATGTCGGCCTGCGTGTTGGCTTGCGGGGTGTTGAAGTTGGCCACCATGGGGTGTTGACCATGCTAGCCCAGTTGCCACTGCCGGCAGTGTACGGCGACAAGAGGGGCAGGTCCGTCCCGGACTGGTCTGGGGCGGTGATCGTCGTGCTCTGAATCGCATTGTTGCTCGAGAGCTGGGGCGGGCGAGGGGATCGTAGACCCGAGGACGGTTGAGGCTGAACAAATTGGCCCATGGGAGGAAGCGACCCGGCGGGTTTGGACTGGCCACCAACATCGGGGAGAGCGCCCATGGCGAGGTGGGGTTCTGCACGTTCGAATCCGATTCGGAAGGACCAGCTATGGTGCTGTTGCGGTTCGAAGCAGGAGGGTTACCGGTCTGCTGGGTGAACTTGGCCTTCTCCGTGGCAATGGCCGCCGCGGCATCAGGGAACATGGCATTGATGGTTGAGGGATCGAGGCCGGACTGCCTCTTGCCGGCAGTCGCCGAAGGACGAACAATGGAGTTTCGTGCCGACTCGACGTTCAGCTTGCTCATAGCGTCATTGAGGCGGTTGGACATGGGATCTATGGTGAACAAGTAGCAGAGGGTTAGCACATCACACCAAAGGTGCAACAGTGGGGAAGGCAGTGGTTTTGGAGCATAGGATGCCGTGGGCACGTACCCTTGTCGAAGCCGGTGGGGGATAGGACACCAGACATGGGATGGTTCTTGCCCATCTGCTGGAGAACCTGGATGAAGAATCGGATCTGGACCTGGGTAGTCTGCTGCAAGAGCGCATAGAGCGCAGCAGTCCTCTCGGCCTCGCTCAGGACACGGAACCACTGTTCAATAGCACTAAGCTCATCCTTAAAATCCTGATCGAGGGTAGCCGCGGCCATCTCCTCTAGAGTAGTCTCGTATTGGTCAATGTCGGCTAGCCACTGTTGCGCCAGCTTATCCTGGGGTCAGCATCAGCACCGCCCTGGCCCTGGCCCTGCTGGGCCCGGCCGTAAAAGTCGGAAGAGGGTCGAGCTCGATCGGTCGAGATGTTGGAGCCAGTAAGGGCAGCCATATCGGCAGAGGCACGGAGGTGGCTCGACCCGATAGTTCGGGACGAGGGGGTCGAAGAGACGACACGCTGTTCACCTCGGGGGTGCTATTCCGGTTGCCGGGAATGTGAGCGCCCGACATGTTGAGCATTTCGAGGGATGAGTGTTGCGAAAGGAAGAGAGATGGACGGGGCGAGTGATAGAGGGCGGAGGGTTTAGGGGATTGAGTAGACCCAAACAGCTATTCTCGTCAAGTCGTGTGCGCTTGCGAGACGGGGAGCTTGGGACGACGAGGCGGCCCTGTATGCAACAGCACCTGGCAAATGTGCCGGTCAGGCACACTCGGGTTGGCTGGTCGCGTGGTGCAAGGCGCGGGTTCGGCGGGTTCGCTGTAAAATCGAATGAGCCTCGAAGATTGCGTCGATTTGCGAGTCTCAGAGAGAGCCCGATGGGGATGTGGTGTGAAAACTGGGGAAGAGCTGGGTTTGGGTGTGGGGTACAATTTGCAGCAGAAGTAACGGCAAGGCCGTGTGCGTGTGGAGAGAGGGTGGGATGGGCAGGCAGATGATTCGGCTCAAATGGATGTCGATAGGGAGGATCTTCCGACGCGAGTTGCTGGCGACGGAAACGGTAAGAAACAACCTGTTTGAAGCGAGGTCGATGGTGGAGGCCCCAGAAAGGTCTTTGCTGCCGCAAAATTGTCGAATGCGATTTCTGCGCCCTTCTCTATTTGTTTGGGAGGTGGACGGGGGTGGATGGGAAGAGGAAAAGGTGCTTGTGCGTGCCTTGTCCGCTGAAAAATTGGGTTCCAGGGGCAAGGGGTTCGAAAACCAGAGGGACGGGAATCTCGTGCACAAGGTTTCGTTGACTTTCGTTCACACCAGCCAAAGTTGTCGAAAAAGGGCTTTCTCCCGCAAGGTCGCCTGGCTTCGAAAGGATGGGGAGGAGCAAGAAACAGGCTTGGGAGTATATGTAGTGAAGGGAATCGTTAGTCGTAGTTACTCGATGATGGCAACGATCACAGGCTGAAACAAGGCCGCTGGTAATCCTGCCAGGAGGCACGGAAAATCTTCCAAGAGTAGAAACAAGCCGGACCCGCAGGCGGTTGCTGTCGCCGGCTAGGACGAGAACTCTTTTTTCTTTTTTTTTGCTTTGGCGTGAATCGAAGAAGAGAAGAAAAAAGAGGACGAGCAAGAACAGAGAGGATGGCCACACCACAGGTTGGCGGAAAAAGAGTGTGGGAAAGGGGCAAGGAGAGAGGAAGGGTGGAGAGAGGGAGGTTACAAGGAGGGCTCTGGTCAGCGAGTGAACAGAGGATCTCGAGAGAAGAGGAATTTCCGGTTCGGGTGGTTTCCACACAGAGAGCTCCTCAGGAGGTAATAATAGGCAAGGAAAAATGCAACGTGCTGGGCACGGACGCGGTCGTGGCACAGGAGAGACGACGAACCAAAAGCACTCGATCAATGGAGACTGGGCCTCAGCCAGGTCATTCATTATCCACTGATCCATCAAAAGTGCAGTCAGAATGGTAAGAAGACCAGCGTCGATTTTGCCCCAGCTGCCTCCCCTCCCCTTCCCCCAAAGCGCAGCACACTAGGCCAGGCCTGAATGGAATCATGATGAGATGAGACGCAGCCTGTTGGCCCAGAGCATTGATGTTCCTTCCCCAAGATGAAGTCCTTCGGTACGTATTCGACTGACCAAAACCCAACGGAAGCGGCCAATTGGCCAGGGCGGCTCAGCACAGGGCCATGGGCAAGCCACTAATACACTGGTGTGAATAGTGGGGGTACACGAGCATCAATCAATCAGACGGACCCGTTCCACTGCGACTTCCCTAAACCCACACAGTCGAAGGAATGGATCTGATGTACCTGTTGCCTGTATATTCCGAGTTCGCTAGGCTAGTATTATTAGTAGAGCTGATGCCTCAAGGAGCTGGTCTCGACGCTGAACCGAAAAACATCTACTTGGACAGAGTGGGTTCCAGAATTGGGGCTGTACAACAACCTAGCAATGCTACTGCTCGGCTGGCTGATGACTTGATGACCCTGGAATCAATCTGATGTACAAGTAGTATCATTCCATGTCGATTTTTGTTTCCTTCCTTCCCGGAGGACGGAGCTGTGTGCCGGGCCCCCTATCAAAGCTTTTACCTCTTGCCCCTTTGGAGGAGAGCGAGTCCACCCTCCAAACACGCCATCTAACTGTAGTTAGTAGCCTGGCTACCCATTGAGCCCCTTGTCAATAGCAGTCAGCTGTGAACAGCTCAAGCCAGGCCTCCCTCGCCAGCATCAAACCCCAGAAAAGCATCAATTTGCTCATGCGTAACGCAATGAATACATCAATGTTGGCCACTTCGATCACGAACGCCTCGCAATGCGCGCCCCACTCACACTTGATCAGTCAATGCTTCCGAGGGTGATGAGAAGAGACAAAAAGGCCAAGCGGAAGATGATCAACCCTTGAGGAGCATGCGAAGGATCAAGTGTTGGGGGAAAGCTTCTAGCGTGCGGTGCCGAGGCGAGTACCTTTTTATCTGGGACCTAGTGTACATCCACCACCCATCAACGATGTACGGAGTACGTTTCCGAGCAAACCAGGTCCTGCCGCTCGTAGTTTTCCCAGCCTGCGAGGTTATGCCCAGGGCTGCATGGTTCTCTGACAGATACCTCTGGGTTCGTAGCATGCGTGAAGCCAACGAATAAGCTGGGGTGCAGTTCGAGCCGTGCGTGCGTGTCCCCTCTGACTTTGATAGACACGCACGATCGATCAATCAATTGATCTTTGTCTCGGCGCCTTCCTCCCTCCCGCCTAGGCGGATCCAAGGCACCGAGCGGCAAAGCAACCCCCTTTCCCATACAAAGTAGGACCGTGGCATTGACACCAGTGATAGATGAATTTCCCCCTCAGGCGTTCGTGAGGCCTGCCCGCGGCGAGCGGACGTCGAACGTCGGACAGACTGCAGGATCGTCCGTCCTTGCACATGCAGTGATATATCCTTCTTGAATATCCCGTCCTCCAGACCACCACTCCAAAAGAAACCAACCAAGAAAAAAGAAAGAAGAAAAAACGGCTGGCGCACATTGCACATTCTCAATTGTTTCGGCCTTGCTGTGCTCCGCGCCGAGACACAACCCCCCAATTCGATGACGGGGAGTGGCCAAGCGCGAAGAAAGCCCACTCGCCTATGCTTTCTTTTTCTCGTTGGTCTTCTGTGGCTGCGCTCGTCCTTGCGCGTTTGAAAATGGTGGTTGAAAACGCTTCCTGTTACGGTGTAGATCCAGATCCCCTTCTCATCCAATATTCACGTCGCAAATATCCCTGGATTGGGCTATGGGGGCTTTGCCCGGCACTTGGGTCCCTGGATCCGGAGACTTTTTTTTTTCTCTCTCTTCCTGTTTTCCAGTTTAGTGTAAATATCAAATCATCTCAAAAGGATGCTCCAGGGTACCTTGGAAGCATTAATTGATATCCCTTCCAAGGCTTAGCAGCCCGTTGTTGCTTTTTGCGAGCCGTCCCTCTACCTTCTGACGACATGGCAACCCCCTATCCGTAGACGAGGATTTGGGTGCATTGATGGGAGAGGGGGACCTAGAAAGCAATCATCGGTGATAATGTACAAGGGAAGGTTCTCAGGACAATATTGCTACCATTGACTTGACGATGATCGTGGAAGGCACGGGCGCTCTGGGACGGATACCTCCCGACATGTTGGTTGACAGGCGCGTAATTGAGCTGTCTTCCCTGTCGTGGTGGCAGATTCAGGGGCCACACCTCAGACGCAAGGACTCGGCAACAAGCACCGCGAGCCGTCCAAAAGTGTTCAAATGGAACAAAACGTCTTACGCAAACAAAAAGTACATGGAAGTGCCCTTCCCCTCCTAGTTGATACACCTGAGCCGCAAAGCATAAACTCGTTTCCCTTCACCCTTCCCCTCCAAACGAAGAAGATGCAAAGAAGAGGAGGGGGAAAAAAGAAAGAAAAGGAAAGAAGTCGGCACCCGCTTCCTCTCCCCAAGAAAACCAACCAATACGTCACAAGGAGAGCCCACGTACCGCGCCCCAGGTGATCTTCGTTTCAACCTGGGGTGAGGCCGCGTGCTCCGCTTCCAAAAGTTCGATTCGGATCTTATCAGGGCAGGTTCTTTCATACTACCAGTCGCGGCCAATCGTGAGGGCTTGTCGCTAGCTGCCCATTCACATAAGATAGTAACCGCCTGTTTTCTTCTTTTCTTTTTTCTTCTTTTGTTTGCAGTTCGAGGCAGTTCGCGGTACGGGCCCCTCCCGTGGCTTAGACGTTCGAAGCACGTAACAAGTCCCACTACTCCCAGCCTTAAAAGGCAAGTAGGTTAATTCGAGACGAGATAGGAAAGGCAAGGGGTATGAGGGTAGTGAGGGTTCCCTGAGAGGAGTCAAAAAAGGGTCATCCTTGTACAACTTCCCACTACCCCGAGAGCCTTCGGCCATGGCGAGGTGTCGGCAGGTAAAGACTTCCGAAAACCCGCACGGATTCTGACACTACACACACCAGGCACCAAGGCGGCAAGTCTACCCACGCGGGAATGCGGTCGGAAATCTAAATGTATTTGGACAAACCGTCGAGACGGCCATGGTATATTTCTGGCCCCGCCTAGAGCTTATTCCTCGCATCTATTGTACGTCGGATTGGCCCCGACCTTGGCCTTCCCTTTCCATTGTCCAGTCCCCATTGCGCCAAAGTATTTCCCCAATGCAGCCCGTCTTTTTCTCTTCAAGGTTGTACGTCGTCTCGGGGAGCCGCTAGGTTCTCAAAAAGATAGATACGCATCAGTTTCATTGCGGGTTTTTAGTTTCTTGTCGTTTGGGTAAAATTCGCAATTTAAGCGGTCGTCCTCTTGCCCTCCTTGAGCTCCTTCTACAATGCAGTTAGCGACCATTCCTCGAACCCGTGGCCAAGCGCAGTCGTGCTGTCAAGACACGGCCGACGGAGAGCCAATATGCGGTCGGGGTAAAAGAGAGGGTTCATCATACAAGAGCCTTCATGGTGCCGTGAAGAGCATGACGATGGTTACGTCGGAACTTGGGGTCGACACCCTTGAGCGAGGGGTACCTCTGGGTCTTAGGCTTCTTGATACTGTAGGTCGGGAAGAAAAGAGAGGTCCATGTCAGCCACCAATATTCCTTGTCAATGTTCTGCCTTCCTTCTCGCTTCGGATTGTAGAGTTTCGGGCGCGCAGCTAGAGATCGTGGGAGTTCGGAGTCGTTCTTACCCGTTACGGTGAGCCTTCTTGGTCTGGTTGTGCTGGGACGAGTTCTTGGATTCTATTGAAAAGAGGCATTGTGAGCATGTGAACCGTCTGACATCAAAGGCCCCAAAAATCCGAGTATCGCATGAGCCTTTCCGGTATGGAAAGAGGGTATACTCACTCGCCATTGTGAGAGATGTGGTGAGTCCTTGGGGGTTTAAAGACCGTGGGATTTGTCGTGAATGCGAGGTTGGACGTTGAAAATAGTTGAAAACCTGGCTTGACAGGGGAATTGAAAGATGAGGTGTGTGGGCCGGACTTTTCCTCCATTGCCCTAACACGAACTGGATGCGGGGTGCAGCAGTTCCCAGCTGCTGCCGACTGACTCTACGCTGTGGCTCTGCAGTGCGTTGCGACCGGCTCGGAGCCGGAGTTCACGTGACTGTGTTGAGGGGCCATGTCGTGTAGAACAGAAGCTGAATTGCTGAATCCGAATTGAAGTTGCTAAAGGGTGGGGCCAAATTTATTACCTAGCCACATCTCTTCGCGTATCTCTTCGCGCTTCAAGATCTAGACTCGCTCACTGTTGACCTATTCAATTGGTTTTGAATAAGAAGAGTAATGTTTGATTCGAGTCTATGTCCACTAGGGTAACAATATGCGCAAAACATGATGAAAAAAAAAAAAAAAACCAATCCGTATATGTGATAGGGGAAAGACACATATCTAACCCAGCCTTCTAACTACCATGCATGGATCCCTCCTCTCTCCCCTCTCCTCCAAATGGTCGTACAGTAGGGTCTGGCCGTTACATTTTGTTTTTAAAGGAAAAAAACTCCGCCAGCGCTCCGGGACTTTGCGAGGAAGAAGGGCCTGTCTAACGAGTCCCTCATCGCAAACTCTGGGAACACGCCCGCCCGCTTGCCCACCGGTATGAAGGGTTGGTTGGTCTTTCGCAAACGACTATATGAACAAGGGCAGGGTGTGAGCTAGCCAGCGCGGCGGCTCCCAGGAGTGTATCGAAGGGTTGGTGGACGCGAGCATGGCGAGCCTATGAGACAACCTTCCTCAAGACAACACCCTGGGCGGCCGCCAGCCTGTTGGCACGGAGGGTCTTGAGGTATCGGAAGAAGAGGATAAAGATGAGCTCCATCCTCTCCTTGGTCATCATGAGGATGCCCTGGACGAGAAGACCCTTGGAGATCTGGGGGCCGATGCCCTTGAACAGGCCAGCGACTCCCTCATTGTCAACAATGAACTTCATGACCTCGCCGAAGCTCTTGAAGGGCTTGCCGTTGCGGGCCTTGGGGGCTTGGACTGGAGGCCGACCTTGGCGACGATGAGGGGCTGGGTGGCAATCGTAGCAAGAGCCTTGGACATAGCACCGAGGCCTATTCATGGAATACATGATTAGTATGAAGGAGAGAGAAAAAAAAAGAGGGCCGAAATACACTCCTTCAAAGACGGAGAAGGGTTTGGGCCGGGCGAAACGTACAGAAAGCCTCCCAAGGCTTGAGAGCCTTGCGGCCGGGGAAAAGGACCTCCTTCAACCTCTCGTAGGCGCCGTAGGTGATGGCAGGGTTGACGACGAGGACCAAGCTGGCCTTCAAGCCCCTCCAAAGGCCGCTCACACCGTCGGGTCCGTCGATGACCTCCTTGGCGGTCTCGAGCATGCCCTTGCGCTCATCCTTGCGCTGAGTCTGCTGGCGGGTTGTGACGACGGCAACGGGTATCGTGAAGATCTGGGCAACGGCTCCAGCAATGGCGCCAAGACCGAGCTCGGCGAGGGTCGAGGGCGGTACGGAGGCCCGGCCAGACTTGAGGTAGAGAGTCCTCACGATCGAATACCAGTAGAAGTAGGCAAAATTGGTGGAGGCGACACCGATAAGAGAGCCCGTAATACCGGCGTAGAGGCCGGCGACGCCCTCGTCGCCTACGATACGGGTAAGGGCATCCCAGGTAGAACTGTAGTGAGGATCCTCATCCGCAGCCGCCTCGGCATCCTCAGCCTCAGCCTTCTTTGCCTTGTTGCCGGGGTTGACCTGGACTTGAAGCCTCGTCTTGACACTAGATGGACGTGAGCATGAGTAAGTAAAAGGTCAAAAGAGTAGCGGGGTCGGTGTAGTGTCAAATGGTTGGGGGATTTGTTTCCATGCATCTTCCATTTTTTCTTCCCTTGGATTGCCGGTGAAGTGAAGCAATTGGGAACCCCGCCGAGCTTCGGCGCAACTTACATGTCAAGCGGGTAAACGAGAGCGTTCGCGAGAACGGCACCCGTCGCGCCGGCGGCGGCACGTCCCCAAGGGAAATTAGATCCTGCTTCGACTGAGCGGCCATTCTATAAAACCCAAAAAGTATTGGTCTCGGGAGGTGGTGAGAGGCTGGAGGCTCGAGAAATGCGAGGGTGGGAGAAAGGTTCGAAAACCCTGGGACAACGAGCGGTTCAAAGGAACTGCCGGCAACTGAGATGCACGTGCGACGGAGTGAGTGACAGGCTTTGTGACAGCACCTTTGCCGAGCTATACTTTGTCACGTCAAAAGGGGATTTGGTTTTTTTCTTCTTCTTTTTCACAACAAGCCCGGTGAAGAAGGAGAGAAAAATAACAGTGGCAGAAATTGGGAAGAGAAAGGAGAGAGGGATCGAGAATCGATACAGGGATTCCGATTCAACAACGGGGGATAAAAAAAGAGGGCCAATGCCAGAATCCCGAGGCCCTTGGCTGGGCTGGGAGCAATTGCACTAGCGACGACCTCAGAAACTGGGGAAAGCCGCACTGCGATTTCCCTTTCTATCTTACCGGCGACCGAACCTCGGCCCCCGCCTCAGCGCTGGGCCAAAGTCGGCTAATGCGTCATCGGCACCAAAGTAGCGTCTATTTCACGCAATCGGGGTTTCGTGCCTCATCGGGGTACCCCTCCAGCTTTCCCTCCCCCACTATCAATTGATATTGGTTCCCACCCTTTTATCCCCCTTATCACCTTAAAACCCCCTTCCTCTCTGTCCCCTTCCTAATTGACCCTTTTAGGCCTATTATTATCTCTAAGGCTGCTAGTCTGGGCTGATCTGGGCTGCGCGCACACGCACATGGATGGGGGAAAAAAACAAAAAGGCTGGTGAAACATAGGAACGAGGGCAAACAAGTACCCCATTCCTCTTGGCCTTCTGTGATGGTCGTAACCTTGACCTTGCAAGCTAGCTTCGACCCATATAAAATCCCGCATTAGGAATCCCAAGGGGTATTGCTGCTCGCAGAATCGAAGGCAAGAGATTGAGCTGAAATCGAGCAACACGGACGTGGGAGGCGCGAAGCGCGTTGAGAAGCACTTTTCCTGCGTGTTAGACAACCCCTAAAAACGCCGACGATCCCTTGTACCTGACGTCACGCCAACGGACCAGACCTTTTTCACTTGGGCCGAAGCCCCCTGTAGGTAGCTCGCAACGTGCGCTCAACCCCCTCACTATGGGAAAGAATCGCACTTTCTACATAGCCATTGCTGCATAATACGATGGAGAGACAAGCTGCTGTGAGTTATACCTCGGAGGAAGGTGGGGCATAAGGCTTGCCGGGGTGGTTTCGGTCTTTTATATTGTCTCCCTTTCTTCTCGTTGGCAATATCTCGCCCCTGCCCTTTATCTTCGCCGTTCACGGCGTAGCTAGGAAAGGCTCCCTTCTCTTACCTCCTTCGCCCTTGTCGTGAGCCGACCCACCACGGTGCCTAGGAACATGCCTATTCCAAGCTTCATTTATATCAAATGGTCGGTTGCTGATGGCAGGGCTCCATTGCCCTGATGGTTCTCATAGGAGGAGGAAAGCTTGATTGGCACGTCTAGCCCACAAGATGCTTTGGAGCATGCCATCAAGGCGGCGGAGCTCTACATGAGGGCTTCGCGTGAGGCCCAAGGAACGACGGACCGCTCGCGTATTCGAGGCAAGATTGAAGAGATGATTACTCTCGCCGAGTATCTCAAGAGCCCCTCTACTAAGGAGCTCATCCAGCCAAAACAAGACCGCCAGCTCACACCTCGGGAAATGGTTGCTCTTCTTCAGTCTTCAAAACTCAATGGGAATAACTTCCCTCCTTGGCGAACGAGCCACGCGGATCCGGGCGCATTTTCTCCCAAAGCGGGCCAGGAACTCTACACGTATGCATTCTATGCTTTCCTTAGACCTGGGGGTCCCACTATGCGCCCTGTCTAGCCCGGGGCCATCGAACAAAGGTTAACGAACTAACTGTCTGTCTGTCCGTCCGTGATCAGTGACCCTACCCCGTTCCCGCTGTCAAAGCTACAGCTGGACAACTTCGAGGGCTGGAAGAGGCCCAACGATTTACCCACCGCTTTGCAATCTCTGTCGCTCTCTAGCAACTCACCAGCCCGGTGGCTAGAGGTCCTGCCCACCAGTGATCTCGTCCAAGATGTAACGGCCGACTGTTCGGTGGTTGCTAGTCTTTGCTCCGCCATGAGATTATTCTGTCGCAAGGAGCGTTCTGTGCGTAAACCATAGCCAAACTAGAGGCCCTCTTTCACGTTGGCCAACGTATTACCCCTGCTAACTATAACCGTAGCTCTTGAGAGGCCTCATGTTCCCGTTCGATCCGGACCGCAAACAGTTGCTGAACTCTGAAAACGGAAAGTACATCTTCCGAATGAACTTCAACGGGTGTTTCCGCAAGATCGAGATTGATGACCGGTTACCTGCCGCCAAGACAGATCGCGCCTTGTACGTGACCGACCGGCAGAACCCTACCGTGATTTGGCCGGCCCTCATGGAAAAGGCCTATCTCAAGATTCGCGGCGGCTACGATTTCCCTGGCAGTAACTCTTGCACCGATTTATGGGTTCTCACCGGCTGGGTGCCCCAGCAAATCTTCCTGCAAAGGTGAGTTGAGCCTAGCCTCACCCAAACCCCTATCCTATCCCGCTTCTGGTTTAACCGGCCACCCTCCCCTCCCCTAGGGACGCCCTTGACCTCGATCAAGAATGGGACACCATTGTCCAAGCCTTCAAGACGGGCAACGTCCTCGTCACCCTGGGCACTGGTCGCATCTCTGCCTCCGAGGAAGCGGCCACTGGTCTTGTTGGGGAACACGACTATGGCATTCTCGATGTAGATTCCGATCCGGATAGGCGGCGATTGTTGATCAAGAACCCTTGGCGTACGGGAGAAAGGTGGAACGAGCTAGGGTCCACAACCATCTCGAGCCCACCGGCGGAAGACGGCGGTGGCGGCGGTAGCCCGCCAGCTGGCCTACATGATCAAACCGGTACATTTTGGATGAGCCTTGCGGACGTCTCCCAACACTTCGAGTCCATGTACCTCAACTGGAACCCTGCCCTGTTCCGGAACCGCCAAGATTTCCATTTCGACTGGGACCTGAAACCGAGGAAGAACATGTCATCTACCGTCGTCGACAACCCCCAGTACTCGGTGACGCCCAGCGCCGACGGGTCCGTGTGGGTGCTGCTCGCCCGCCACTTCACCGACGAGGAAGTGGGTCTCATTAAGCGACGGTCTCAGAGCGTGGACGAGGATGCTCGAGTCGAGGTGGGATTCATGAGCATCTACGTGTTCGAGGACCACGGCAAGAGGGTGCAAAAGCTCACGCGAGACTTGCACCACGGACCCTTTGTGGACTCACCGCAGACCCTGCTCAAGTTCCGCGTCGAGAGTGGGAAAAGGTACACCGTCGTCCCCGTGCAGGAGAAGCTCCCAATGGCCCGCTGCCGCTTCACGCTCTCCTTCTTCTCGAACCAGAGCCTCGGCATCGCACCCGCCCAGGACGCCATGCGCTACTCCACCGACATGTCGAGCTCGTGGACCAGACGCACAGCCGGCGGCAACTCGGGCTCCGTGAACTACGGCACGAACCCCCAGTTCAGCATCACCCTCACGCGCCAGTCCTCCCTCTCCCTCCTGCTCTGCACCGACAGCCCCAACGTCCCCGTGCACATCGACCTCGTCTGGGCCGGCGGCGACCGCGTCGGCCCCTCCCTCGCCATCAAGGACGTCCTCGCCGACTCCGATGCTTACGTCCGCGGCTGCGCCGTCCTCGACGTCCCCTCAGTCGACCCGGGTACCTACACCGCTGTCTGCTCCACGTTCGAGGCCGGCCAACTCGCCGACTTTGCCTTCCGCGTCGGCTCCTCCGCCCCCACGTCATCCGTGCCATCCCCCGGAGGGCTCCGGCCGCCTGCGCACGCAACTCACCCCTTTCGTCTTCGCCGAGGGCGAGTCCTGCCTCCGCGCCCCGCTCAGCATCGCCCGCCTCACCCGCATGTGCGCCTCCGTCCGCCGCGCCACCATCCCCTCCGCCCACGCCCACGCCCACGACCTCGGTCCCCGACGGTCCTCCACCCCGCTCAAAATCGCCGTCGTCACCGGCCGCGGACCCCGCGAACACGTCCTCGGCGTCTCGGGGGTGGGGAGTACGCAGAGCCTACCGCCGGGCTCAGGACCCCCGACTTCGACGTCGAGCCCGGTAGGGCCGTCGATGATGGCGGCTTATGGGTGGTCGTCGAGAGGGTGGGGGTCACTCGAGCCGCGAGACGTTCCAGGTGGACCTTCTGGGAGATGCGCCCATCAGCGCCGGGACCTGGGAAGATGCCTCATAATGTAGGCATGCGTGAATAAGGGGAAAGGCAAAGGCAAAGGAAGGAATCCCGAGCGGGGGAGGGTCTACGTAGCAGTTCTAGCTAGATACCGGGAGTATAGGCCGCTGCAAGGGATAGGGAGAAAGAAAGAGGGACAAGGCTACCCTATCACAAATCTATACTGCCTTCATTATCACCTCTTTCTCTCTCCACTTGTGACCTCGTGCAAGGAGAGCGAAATGAAGCCAAAACGAAAAGAAAAGAAAAAGGAGTCGCAACTCCTTCCGGTGTACAGCACACCATCTAGCAACGCCTGGGGGAGAAAAAAAGAAGAAAAGAAGAAGGAAACGACCTATAGCGCCGAGCGGGAAATGGGCGAGAGAGAACCGTAGAAAGATCCCTCAAGGGGAAAGAGAAACAAGGAAAAAGTCGGCGAGGCAAGGCATGCTATTATGAGCAGAGGGCCGACAGCACTTGGGCATTGTAGCCCGCCCTGATCAACCTCTCCCATTGCGGTAAAGTGCCGCCCTATTTCAGGGTAGCTCTAATAGGCGTCAATAGATCAATATAAATGCAACCCGTCTTTCCTTCTAATACAAATGTATTTGGAACGTTAAACCTACGTTCCATTCTTATTTTCCCCTTTATCGAGACATACAAATGCAGAGACAAAGAAAACCATGACCCGTAATCGTACCAAGGAAAAACAAAAGGTAGATCCTAAAGATTCCCTCACAATGCTAGAGCATTGTTCGACCTAGATGATAGGGAGGGATGGTATGAAGAAATGAAGGGAACCTCAACGGGTCCCATATAAGAAAGAAGAGACGAGACATAAAATCAGGACTCGCGAGAGGCGCAAAGCATTGAAAAGAAGAGAATATATCTCAGTAGAGCGCCGAGGTCTCCCCTTTCCTCCTGACTCTACCACCTTCACCTCTCGCTATATACCCCGCATGATAAACCCCACAAACGCCATGTTGGCTCCAACAATATCTTTTGTTGGAGTTTGCTCTCTTTCATGGTATCTGAATGGTTTGGAAACAAAAGAAACTTTGAAATTCCTCTTCTTCTACCCTGAGAAGTAAGGGGAAGCGGAAAAGACCGGTAACGACAGAAAATGACAAGGTATATGTGGTTGAAACGCCATGTTCGCCTTGCTAGAGGTAGAAAAGTAAGAAATAAAAGAAGCGCCCTCCCTTCCTCCTTTAGATTCGTGGTCTGATAGATGAGTGCGACAAATGAAAGGTAAAACGGGTTGACATGGGTGAGGGAGGGACCAATCTCTGCCCCGGGTTATCGCACTTGGCTGACGCCGAGAGCGGGTTGGTTGTCCGGACAGATGGCAATAGATAGCGAAACACATGCTGGGCTTCAATACCCATCCATAAGAGAACGTAAGGGGAATCTGGAAGGCGCGTCATCCTTCGGCCCCTTCATAGCTACCCCTTCTGTGTAGATGGTGATGTTTCGACGTAGCGTGTTGAAGAAAGACCCGGTGACCCATATATATATATGCGAGAGGATGGATGAGGTTGCTAGGTTTAAAATGAGCTCCGTTATTTTTGAATAGGGACCCCAAAACTGAATGCATGTTATTGAGGGGCGCCCCTTCGCCGGCGGCCACGGCTGAGGCCGTCACGGCGCTGAGAGAGTACTTCGAGGAGCTTTGGGTCATTCTTGTCCTTGTCAGTGTGGCGTGCTCGGACATGCCTAGAATAGCCAATGTTAGTCTCACTGGGTCAATAAGCGTCTCATCAATTCAATCACCACATGACGGATATTCCCCTTCTAAGCATGCCAAAGAACGCACCTCTGTAAGTTATCCGGTCGCGGGTACTTATGCTCGCGGTCCGGGCAGAAGGGGCAAGCATAGCCGGGTGACTCGTGTACGAAACCATGGCGAATCATCTCATTCTTGCGTTTGAACCCTTGACCGGGCTTGCTCCGTGGGCATTCATAGACAGGGCAGTAGTGTGGCCGAGCCGAGGAGTGTACGTTTGCGTGAGAGTTGAGCAGGTACTGCGTTTGAAACGGCTTTGCCGCACAGTCCTTGAATGTGCACTTGAAAGTTCCCGCTTCAGAGCCCATAGGGAGCTCATTCCCGCCGGATGCGGACCCTTCTCCTCCGCCAAGGCTAGAGTGGTCAGTGCTAGGGGTCCTCTCGATAGGGCCGGCCGCGCCGTATTCTACTCCCACCGACCTGGGTAGAGGGTGGGAGCCTGGATTCCAGGGGCTAGCAATCGGAGGACCGGGCTTCGAGGTAGGGTAGTGAAATGCGGCGGGGCCCTGAGATATGCGCGGGGATGGGAGATCGTGGGTGTAACTGCTTCCATTGGGCGAAACAGGAGGGGTACCTTGGTGGTGTCCGGAAAGAGAGGTCCGCCGCGGTAACGGGGCCGGGTAGGAAAAGGGCGAACTGTACGAGGACTGTTCGTCAGGGCGGTCTCGTGCACTCGTTGGGGGTGAGGCCCCATTAGTTGATGCAGTGATGGAAGGGACGTAAGTCTAATAGTGGAGCTAGCACCGGAAGTCAAAGGTGGCCAAGGGACCTGAGGTTGGTGCGATGGAGGTAAGCTTGCCGTCGGGCTCCGGGGATCAATCGATCTGGGCGAGGCCAGGGATGGGGTCGTCCCCGTACCGCTGGGGCTTGTTGGGTTGAGTGCAGAAATGAGCTCGGCCGTCTGGAAATAATCCGGAGGGGGTACGACGCGCTACTACTGGGTCCCGCCGGGGCGGAAGAGGAGTGACTCGTTGAGAGTGGTGGTAGCTGTCCATCGCCACGGAAGGGGAGCTCTCGGGCAGCGGACGGAGTGGGGACCGTGTGACGGCGCGGCTCGTCATAAGTTGGCTGGGGACCGGGACTGGAATCGGCGGCGGGAGCTGGGGCCACGTTTGCTAATGCATTGTGCGCTAACTGTTGCAAAGCTATCACTTCGGCGCGCTTGTCACTCTCCTTTCCCCGAGGGCCGGGGCCTTGCATGTTTCTAGTAGTGGCGGGTTCAGGCCCCGCGACCCAGTGCTCGAGAGTCGCTTTGGGGGTCGTAATCAGGGAGATCGTCTTGTTCGATGATCTGGCTGGGAATGTCTACATTCCGCTTTTCGCCAAGGGTATCCACCAGAAAGGCCTCGGCTTCCCTCGGGTGGGCCTTTGAAATAGATAATTAGGATCGCGTATAGTCGGAAAATGAGTAAAGGGTGAAAATGAGGGGAGGCTGTCCCAATCTCCACCAGCAGATGTGTGGAGAGCACGATTTGTCTTGGTTACAAGCGGGAAAGCAACTCCAAGAACGTCAAGCCAAAGCGTAGGGAGATAGAAGTACTACCCCGGTGCAGACGCAGATGGCAAGAGTAATACAAAAAGAAAATGGATAAAAGCTCTTAGAAACTGACTTGATTGAGTGGAAAACATTCAGGCTCGATCGTCGGTGCAAGTTTGAGTTGGACAGGGTTTAAAGGCGGGCTATCAGTCTGGGAGCCTTCGTCACGGTTGTACCATACACTCGCAGACATGATTCTCCGGCAAGACGATAGCTTTCCGTTTCAAACGTTGGGTTATGATCTTGGCTGTCGCGCAGATAAAACCAAGAGCGTGAGCAGTGGGGTGTTGGAGTGTCGATACCTAGCTCGCCATTCGAATTGTGGTAGTTGGCTAGAGCTCAAGGGAAGGAGAGAAGGGTAAAAATTTCAACACGATGGTCAAGCCGCAAGGAAGAAAAGGCTCAGCCTCGCGAGTTGTGGGAGGCGCGACAAGAAAGCGAGACCCTCAAATTCGCGTGAGGCGTAGCTTTCTGTCCGTGTGGTGTGTACAAGTGGGTGGGAAAGTCGGCATAAGAGGGTGTGCGAGGCCTGAATCGAGTTTTGGGAGACGTTGGGGTATCTAGTCGAGGGTCGCGACCCGACCACGGGAGTTAGGGCGGAATGGCGTTACTAAAGAGGCGCCCTTGGAGCAGGTTGGCGAAGGATTAGGCGACTTCGTGTAGATGTCTTGCGCACCGCTGGGATTCGGTGGGTTAGAAGCGAAGGAGGGAGAAATAAGGCGAGGCTCTTGCGAGCAATTCGTTGACGGGGGCGGCTGTGCGGCGTTCGAAGCATACACAAGAACAAGTGGCTTAAACAGATGGAGTTCTTCAGGGGAAAATGAGCGAGAGCCAGCAGCGGTCGTAATGGTTGATTCTCGAATGACAGGACGGGGATTTGGGGGCCCTAATACTTCCATATCCCCACGTCGTGCTAGGCGGGCGGAAGGAAATTGTACAACTACAAGTTGCCTCTGTCGCACATGTAGCGACTGCGCTGTGGAGTGCGTACGGATACGACGTCGCTATTTAGTTGGCGATGGGGCGGGGCGGATGCGGATGGAGGATGCAGGGCGTGGCGGGCGAGTTGGAATAGCGGCGAGGTCCTCGGGCGGGCGGTGAGGCTGATTCCATGAAGCTAAAAGCTCTGTCGTGAGGAGAAGGGAAAACGGCGGGGGAGGGGAGGCTCTTGGCTGCAAAATATGAGAGGAAGGAAATGCCCTCTTGTCGTTCTGGGGAAAGATGTACAAAATAGGTGCTGTTGACTGGGGTCGTTGAAGTGGCCGTGCCCGTAGACTCGCTATGTTTGATTTAGGCGAAGCGAGTAGTGATGCCAGGGATCTTATGCATTGGCGCTAGAATGAGCGTACGTGGAAGTTTGCGCATGCGTGAGTGGGTGGGCGTGGGCGCTGTATCAAAGCGGGCGTGCAAGTGTCTATGTTGGATGTCGAGTGTGGAGATGTGGGCGTGTGGGCGTGTAAATGTATGAACTGAGCTTGTTGTGCGTGTGTGTGCGCGTGGGTATGAGAGAGTTTGTATGAAGAGTGTGTCTGAGAGAGGTGGAGAGAGAGAGAGTGTGTGTGTGTGTGAGTGTGTGTGTGTGCGCGTATGTGTGGGCGCGTATATATGTATATGGAAGCAGTAAAAAGTGGACGAGGGAAAGAGAACCGGCGATGAGGTTAAGAAATGAAATCAAGTGAAGTTTAAGGAGAGTGAGCGGAAAATAAAAGGTTCAAAACTGCGAGAGAATTGGGGAGGGTAGCATGAGAAGGAGCGACACATGGATCAATGTAATGTACTTGGAGGTTGTAGTGAAGATGTGGAACTCGATGCGCAGCACATTTGGGGAAGGAGTGACCGTGGTAAGTGAAGTGGCAGTGGCGAGGACGGTGGTCGAGCCAGCGGTCGCGACCTCTCTATATCAGGACTGGGGCAGGAATGTCTGGTTGCACCTCAAGGCAAAAGCGAGTCGGATGGAGATCGACCTTGGGCATAGTGCACAAGGGACGGATGCGACTATGTACGAAAATCGGAGGGATTGGAGACTGAGGATCGGGGAGAACGGGGACCTGGTCTGGGACACCTGACGGAAAATCAGCAATAACGCAATGGATTATCAGTCGAGGGAAGGAGAATGATGTACGTAGGGGTATAACGATGCCAGTTTCGAGCCAGCCAGCTTTGGTGGATGGATCTAATGGATGCTTAATGTCGAGGGCACTCTGGAGATCTAGCAATAATGCAACTTGAGGGCAACTTTGACGTTGAAGCTTGGTACGAATCAAATACTCAGACGCGAGTATCGCGACGACTTTCCTTCCTCCTGGCACTGCTCGAGGGGGTGGAGATGAAGAGGAGACAGACCAATATGTACCTTCTAAACCTGGGGGCTGCCCCAAGTTCAACGTTGCGTACAAGTTGGCCCTCTCCAGGCGCGTCGGGTACTCTTTCCGACGGAGCCTGAGAGATTGCGGGTACCAGTACCAAGTATTGGCTTAGGAAAAAAAGGTTGGAGATTAACAGAACCGCGACCGGGATCAATTCTCGATGGTTGGTATAAGTGGTGAGCGTGCCATAGCCGTAGTCCTCGCTGTATCTCGAGACCCTGGGGAAATTACATCAAATGGGTCAACCCATCCATCAATTCAATCAATGGTGGATGGATGGCTAGTCGGTCTGGTCAACACTGAACTCCCATCAACCCAAGCCCAGTCGAGGAGTCACCTACTGTGTACACAAGTACTGCTGTGTTCCATGCCTGCGATCTTCTGTACATGGCAAGTCTCGTCGCATGGAGCCAGACCCCATGGTACTTTGATTTATACCTCCCTTATTTATTCAATGACCCATGAGGAGCGTTTTCCAACCACAGGCAATAAATGATGGCCAAATTGTTTTGATATTGACATTATGAACCACTTTGGCATCAACATCGCAAGAGGGGGATAAGAAAGAACGACAACCCCCCTTCCCACTGCACTGCTCCCGCCTGCTGTCTTTTGCCTCACTACGCTAGTCAGCAGCAGTCCCGATTCACCCGCGTCCGAGCCCTGTCCCTGCACACCTTGTCCACCCCTCCAGTTCTCCGACCAAGATTTCAACCAGTGTTCCTTGTCCTTTCTCCGGGAGCACGGTCGTTTCTGCCCACAGCGGGAGGCGGGGAGACGGCCCCCGCGAATTCTGCAACTCGGATAGGTGTTAGTGAATAATACTTTTGACTCCCACCCGAAGCGTCGAAGACGCAGGATTCGAACACCGTGCATGGGATGTTAGAGCCTCTCAATGTACGAAGTATGTCCCCCGCCCCAAAAGGAGAAGAAGGGAAAAAGAGTTTACGGGATAAAGAAGAGAGGGGAAAGAGGATGCACAATCAAAGAAAGGTTCGAAACGAAAAGGGATTAGGAAACGATATGCGCGGCTCTCCTTTGGGCCAACCATCTGTTTGAGTTCTTCTCGCCATCCGGGTAGATTGCCGTCTTACATAGCTGTGCTCGCATCTAACCCACGATCGACGTGCAGAGGGGACCAAATGGAGAAACGCATTGCGGTCAATCAAGCGCCACCGTACTCTATTCCTACCTCGTCTCTATGAGAGCCCCAGAAAAGAGGAACGGGCGGAGTAGCTAAAAAGGGCAAAAAAGAAAAAGAAAGAAAAAGAAAAAGAAAAAGAAAAAGAGAAAGGGGGACTCTCGCCCCTGTATGATAAACCACTCACCAGGATTTGTCGTCCGCGCTTCCGGGACCTGGGCTCCGTCAACAGGCCGGGGTAGACTCATGACACATACACACGCCCACGCCCACACCCACATACACATCCGCATCCACTGCCAAAATATACTCACGCACGCCTCAACCTTTCGACGTCCAAGATACCGCCGGCACAGACCATATACAGCGTATTATAGAAGACATCAAGCGGTAGTGTACCCTGCTTTGCACGACCCTCCGACCGTGTACCTACATTCGCTACTGTACTAGCGGGAAGTATCCGTTGTTGGGGTTCTTCTCGCATGGCACTTTTCTTGCTCGACGTGCTCGTTCCTTTCTTCCTTCTCATTAAGATTCGACGCCGGGCGGAATGATAGCTCGCGGGTCAGGATCACCAGAGGGGAAAAGAGGAGGGGAAAATAGATGGCAATAATGATAATCAAAAATCTAGCTGACGCAGATAGAAAACTAGCACCAAAACCGAAAGAGACGGTAAGAGAGGGGTAGAGGGGAAAAGAAGGACGTCAGAGGAACGATGGCTTTGGGCGTACTTGTTGAGTATATTGTTTGAAAACGGGATGCCGTTTTCTAAACACTATTTGACCTGTTTAATCACGAGCCGAGGGCCGGGTGCTTCTTTTTCCCACCAAGCTTCTTCGTTGCTCGGGGATCGTGAGGAGCGAAAAAGAGGAGATGCCCTGAAGACGGCGCCCAGATGTTGAGTGGACGCGTAGCTTTTTCATCTGGTTGTTTTCGCGCGGTGCAGCTGCAAGTATTAAACTTGGTAAGTGTGGGCTGTAAATTAATCCAACTTCAACCCTTCCCCTTCTTGTTTTTTTTTTCCTCTCCGTTTTTCTTTTCCTTAGCCTCTTTTTTTATTCTTATTTTCTCTTATTTTACCCTTTCACATTGCTCGTACCAGTAGTCGCATCCTTGTTCTTTTCTACGACTCGAGGATCGCGACGAGGCCGCCCCCCGCCCCCGTCGAGAGATGTAGCATTTTAATGCTGGAGATGGCCGCCCGTAAAAACATTCTCCCAACCTCGCCTAGTCGAGGCCATGTGTAATTGATTTCGGTGTCTAAACCGTGGTGGAGACCGCCGGCACCGCTTCGCTTCGTCCCACCAATCCTTCACGCATGGCAACTATTCAGGGTTTTGGTGGGAGTGCACGCATGCTTCCTCACCTCCTTGCCCAGTCCTCCATGCGCGCGTGCAGTGCTGCGTGGTACTCGCTGCTAGATGCAGGAATGGGGAAGGGAAGAAAAAGGCGGGGAAAGGCGAGCCAGGGCAGGGGCGGGGAGCCGAAACGCGTGACGAGGTGGGACAGAAAAAGAAAAAGAAAGAAAAGAAAAAGAGCTAAGACAAAAAACGGCCCGGCCGAATCACGAGTGCGTGGAAAATACAGTACGCGGGGACAAAGCAGCGGCGCAGAGGAACGACACGACTGCAGTCAATGAGAATTGGCTACTATTACAACTTGAACTTGAAGCAGTACACTAGCCCAGTCACAGAATAATACTTTGTACGCTGGCACAATCATCAATAGTTCTACACCCTTCCTCCCCACAACAACAGGGGCCAACCAGCAAGATGCGATTGACGTTAGTCCGGCTCGAGTGCCCCACTACAATGCGACCAAGTGGTGCCGCGAATGAGAGTGAAGTGGAGCACTTACTCTTTTGCGAGCTCGCCTAGGCTTCGAATGCCACTGCCAGTATGACGGCCTATGCTCCGGGTGGGGAACCCACTAAAATAATGCCGAGCTGCGGCCCTGGAAATTTGAATTGTGCCGCACGTTCGAAGGAGCAACCGATCAATAATACTCCAGCGTCTATGGTGTGCGTGCTTGTATCTATTGTGTGGTGTGGGCGTGTGGATGTGGATGTGGATGTGTGTGTGTGTGTGTGTGTGTGTGTGTGTGTGTGTGTGTGTGTGTGATATGTGCTGTTTGACTGACACCAGGAAAAGGTCATACCCTGACACATCCACTAATATCATCAATCATTTAAGCGTGAGTTGCTCTGCTTGCGACGTGAACCAGGGCAGATCTGTGATGGGGCAAGAGCAGTATTAGAAGCTGCAAGCCACTGGATATTGACCGGGCTGGAACTCAGCCCGCAGATGTCAAAACCGATTCTCGCCCTCACATTCATCGCGCTACCAAACTTTTTCTGGAAGTTCCAGCCCTCTTTTCGTCTCTCTCCTCCGTGTGTTCTTTCCCTCTTCCTATTTCTCTCACTCTCTCTCTCTCACTCACTCTCTCTCTCTCTCTTCGTCCTTCTTCTCCCTCAGTGCTCTGTCGAGGGGGAACGCATGATCTGTGATCGTAGCTTTAGGTTTCGTCGGCCCGAAGCGAGGCAGGAGGAAGGAGTGGTATGCAAAGCCATTATTATGTCGGAGGTCGAGCTAAAATGGCTGGCCCTTATCCCATCAATTACCAGATGTTTCATCTTGATCTGCCACTCCATCCCAACCAAGCAATGCGATGATGGCTTATCACTCGCGTTCCTGCAATAGCACAAATTTTCGAGCTATATGTTGATCATGATACGTGGAAATTCATCCCTATGCCTTTCCTTCTCTTGAGAATGATCCGCCTCCATGCCCCCTTCCCCTTCCCCCGCACCTTTACACGCCCACCCACACTCGCAGACACACGCCCTCCCTTTCCAGTTTCTCTTTTTGTCCAAGAGCCCCTTGGCCAAAGCTCATCATGCCCTTAACAAACCCAATGCAGACCCTTACCAAGGAAAAGAAGGGGAGCCCAAAAAAAAAAAAAAAAAAAAAAAAAAAAGAAAGAAAAAAAGAATGGTATCCTGACCCAACGGAACGAGAATTGAGCTGATGAGGAGTCAAAACTGAGCGACCCCTTGCCCATCCATCGATCTTCCAAGCACCCAGACAACGAAGAGCAAGGGGAAAGCACCGGGTACAGTTCATGACATCACTTGGCGAGAGACAGAGCCTCTGCCGCTGCCTCGGGTGCGCGGCACGAGTTTACTCGCATTCATCCTTCATCCCTTCTTTTAGCCCTTCATCTTATCATCTTGTCCTCTTCCTTTTGAGGGGAAGAGTGGAGGAGAGAGACAAGGGGACCCTTCCCTTCTCATACCTGCTCTATGCCCTATCATCCGCCTCTTGAAGAGAAAAGCTTAGCTGTGGCTCCTGCAACTTGAAGGATAAATAAACAAGTGGAAAAATAGGATAAAATCCCCAAGGCTCGCAAAGTGAATGGGGAAGAAAGATAGGTGAACCCATCGTCCCTGCCTGCCCTGCCTGCCCCGCCTTCCCCATGTTGAAAATCGAATATGCAGGTAGCCAGCAAAAATGCAACCTCATTACCGGGCTAGCGAATGCTGAGGTTCTTTTAATGCCACATCTCGTTTGATCTATGCAATCTCAAAATCTCTCCGCACGATGTCAAGCTCGCTAATTAAGGACACAGGGTGGAAGGCGCGCTGAGGAGCTCAAGGGTAGAGCTAGGAGAGCTTCCAACAGGCCGTGGTGGTGCGACACCGCCCCGAAAAAGGCATATGGGCAATCTACCACTTGGCATTCTTCCCAGAAACGGAGATTGAAACATGAATCGCAATCTTTCCCCAGATCGAACAAGATGCCAAAATCTGCTAACGGATTCCAAGAAGCTAGGGCCAACTAAGCCGGCATGGGGTGCGGGTGCCTTACCCCTCCCCTCCCCTCCCTTACCTCATTCTTCCCTTCCTTTCCACTCTTCCACACAGCCGCTCCGCCACCCATCCCACATCCCGTGCCCCATCTCCACACCACATAGCTCGTTTGGGCACACACACAATAATATCGTCCTGACCGAGGGTTGGCTGAGCATGGCTTCTCCCCACCACACAACTCCACCGCCGTTCGCCTCTCTTGCCTTGTTCGCGTGCTCCACAACGCAAGCCGAAAGTCCAAATGTGTTTCTGTTTTTGCGTTAAGGGCATATCCATGGTTCGGTAACCGGGAAGACCCGATACATCAATGTACAATGAATGCCAAGCCGGCTTCTTCCACGAAAAGGCTAGGGCGAGCCTCGGTCAAAGTTCATCGGAGGGCCGGCGAAGAAAGGACCCCTCCATGCAACCTTATATCACAAGGAACTCCGAGAGAAGAGTCCTTCTTGTCGTAGACTCTTCCCCGCGAAGAAAAAAATTAAAATTAAAATAAAGAACAAGTATAGGCTGTAGCATCGCGATTCTCGTTTGGAAAATTTTCGAACCGCTCCGGCCGTTTTCCCTTATCCCGTACCGATTTCGTTCCTCATTCTCCCGCCCGCCCCCGATGTCTCAGTCGACAATGCTTGCCGTCGTCTTCGACGGCCCTTACAAGGTGTCGGTCCAGGAGCGACCGATCCCGAAAGGTACGGCGGCCAAGCTCGTGTCCCCCTCCTCTCCTCCTCCTTTCTTCCTCCCCTCATCCCCTTCCCCCCTTCAACCGTATCCCCGCCCCCTGCCTTCGGCCGTGCCCTGCATTCAACGACCCAAGAAAAAAAGAAGGGCAGACGGGTAAGGCTGAGGATGAGGATCTTGGTTGCTGACCTGCGTGTTTGTGGCTACAGTTGAGCATGAGGAAGACATTGTGATCAAGGTCAGCGCGTCTGGGCTCTGCGGCTCGTAAGTTTGGTTCCCTCTTCCACCTGACGTGCGTGATCTGGGTGTGTGTGTGGGTGTGTGTGGGTGGGTGCTTGGGCTTGGGTGCCTTGGTTTGGGGTAACCCCGCGCTGCTCCCCGCACTGTCATAACCCAGCGAAATGCGCGAGAGTCAGGAAATGGGCTAACATAGCTAAGTGAGCTCCACGCCTTTCGAGGCCACGAGAAGCGCCCTCCCGGCTTCATCATGGGCCATGAGTTCACTGGTACGGTCACGGAAGTTGGCTCGGCTGTGACGACGGTCAAGTTGGGAGACAAGGTGGTAGCACCTTTTACGGTTTCATGGTGCGTAAATCATCTTCTTAACAATCCATTTCTATCCCCCTTGCCCAATCTCTTTAAGGGAAGGGAGAATCTAACAATCTGCCGCCCTTTTCCTCTACTTTCTTGGCAATGCGAAAAACAGCTCAAGATGCTTCTATTGCCGAAATGGATTCACCTCCCGCTGCGTGGAGAGCAAACTGTTTGGCTCTGCCGCGCTGGACGGCGGCCAGGCCGAATACGTCAGGATACCCTTTGCCGATGGCACTGTCGTCAAGGCCCCCAGCACCATCTCCGACAAGGCGCTTGTGCTCATGGCCGATATCTGGCCCACCGGCGTGTTTGGCGCCAAGTCTGCCTGGGAGCTCCTCCCCACGAAGCAAAAGGACAATGTCGTTGCCGTGGTCATCGGCTGCGGCCCCGTTGGTCTCTGCGCCATCCTCGCCGCCCTCGAGTATAAGCCAAAGCACCTCTTTGCGATTGATGCCGTGGATAGCCGACTCGAGATTGCGAAGAAACTCGGCGCGGAACCCTCAACTTTAAGACTGACCCCGAGGGCATGAAGAAGAGGATCCTCGAGGTCACGGACGGTCGCGGTGCGGACCTGGCGATCGAGGTCGTCGGCCTGAGCCCCGCGCTGAGGACGGCGTTCGACCTCGTTAGGCCTTGGGGCGTCATCAGCAGCATCGGTGTTCATAACGCAGAGGTAGGTAAAGGGTAATTAGGCGGACGGGGTAACCGCCAGGATGGTGTAGGACGAGAAAAGGGTTAGACGCTAACGTATGATATAGATTCCGTTCAACGGTGTAGAGGGATACGGGTGAGTGACTTCAGTCTTCCTCTCTTCCCCTTCTTTTGTTGCGCAAGCGCGGGAAGATATCCCCACCGGGTTCGTTGCTAACAACTCGAAGCAAAAACATTCGCCTTCAGATGGGGCGATGTCCTTGCCGAGCCATCTTCGACGATGCCCTCGCCTTGCTCGCGGAGAAGCAAGATCAACTTGAGTACGTGTCCTCGCATACCACCTATCCCCAGACTGCCGATTGTGGTTCAAAGATTAACGCGTCCCGCTCCTACGCTACGCAGGTTTATGTTTGACAAGATGATGCCGCTCAAGGATGCTGTTGAAGGGTATAGGATATTTGACTCGATGGAGGCGTACAAGGTCATTTTTATCCCTTAGATCCAGCGCAATATTCAGCGCCATGTTCAGCCTCTACTGCCGGGCGGAGGTTGAAGACTTGGATGTGTAATAAAAGGGACAAGGGAGACCGTTGTCTGGAAAATTCTGAAATGGAGGAATACACCCAGCTGCTCCGTTTCTCAGTTCTTGAGGCGGGATAGCTGAGAGGTAGTTCTCGCAAGAGTGTGAAAATAACAAGATATACTTGCGCTCTTCCCTCCTTGCCTTCTTTGCTTCTCTCAATTCTGACGTGGCTTCACAATGCCGTCGTGGACAATGTAATACGAAACAGTCGAGTCGTCGGCGACAATAGCCATGGTCAACCGCTTCTTGCGATCCTCGCCCCTCCAGTCCTTGCCAGAAGGCCCCAGTTCCGCGGCGCCCTCGCTATCCCGCGACGGCCGGGGCGGGATGGCCTCGATGGCGTCAAAGACGTCGGCGAACCTGCGCAAGGACCAGTCTTCGTGCAAGTGCACGGGCAGCACCCATTCGTACTCGGGCTCCTTGGTGTCCTCGGGAGCGGCGCCGGTGTCGCGCTCGACGTCGATGGCCTCGATCTGCTCGTCCGGGTGGATGTAGAGGCGCTTGGGGGCAGGCCGCTGATGAGGATCCGGGGGAGGGGTGCGGAGGGGTCGGTCGGGCGGTGGGTGTGCAGCACGAGGTCCGTCCAGTAGTGCTGGTCCTTGAGGTTCTCGAGCACGCTGGCCGGGAGGTCGCGGTCGGGGAGCGCCATTTGTGGGCTCTTTGCCCTGGGGGTTTTCGTATCCGAGAGAGGAAGAATAGTGTGATTTGAGGGAGGGTGCAATGGTGCGGCTGTGGGAGCCTCTCCCGTGGACTTTTCTTTTTTTTTCTTTCTCTCTTTGCAGCTTTGAATGGATTGGTGGGGTCCTATTTTCTTTTTCTTTTTCTTTCTTTTTTTCTTTTTTCTTCTTCTTTTTCTTCGTCGTCTTTCTGGGGAGCTTCTCATGACTAATCGGAACAAAACGAAACCCTGAGGTTATCCATCTTCATGGGCGGATCTCTCATAGATTCCCGCCCGCGCATTTCCTCTCCACTGTTGGGCCGCCTCGAGAGCTCCTAGGGCAAAGGGTGGGCGCCAAGCTCGATCCACCCCAAAAGCGGTACTAAAAGTTCAAACTTCGTTCAGCTAAGGCGGCTAGTCGCTCTAGGGGCGATGGTCAACGCCATGTCCAGCTATTGAGAGCAACCCGCCTCTGGGCTGGCTTTCTTGTCCTTGGAGCCCCCTGGTGACCCATGAGTGTTTGCTCTCCTTAGCTGCGTACTCATTACGTCTCGAGGGTTTCCGATCTCTGGCCCCCAAAACACATGAATGCATACGTAGTTGTAATCTATCTGGCCTTACTACACTTGCAAGTAATAATGAAACAAACAAAAGAAGGTGGAAAAAAGAGAAAACTTGGTCACCCAACCCAGCCTGACCAACCACTCAAACGACAACGTTTGAACAACCTCAGCAATGACATCAGGGCAAGTGGTCAACGCTTTTCAGCGGCCAGGGTTGGCTAGCGAAGAGCAAGGTACGACTCGGATAGGCGGTACGGTCTGCGGTGATCCTCCCTCCACCAACCCCCAAAGTCCGCCCAGGTGGCTCACCATGCCAATCGATATGCCGCATTTTATGGATGACATCGATAACTCGTCGATGTGCAATTCCTTGTTCTGAGGTCATCCGTCTCCCAAGAGATGTTTCACGGCGCACGCAGAAGTCTTTTTTTTTTTTTTTTCCCATCCCCTCCCCTCCGCCGTCATTGGAATCCTTGGTGTCATTGGAATCTCGCTTATGGTCGATCAACCACCCGGGATTTTAGACTAGCCCGACGTTGCGCTGCATACGCGGATAGGCGGGCAACGGGCTCTTTCTTGCTCCCTTTTGGAAGGAGAGGCCCCTCCTACGGGTGGCGACAAGAACAACGCCAACGAAAACGCTTAGCCAGCTTCAGCTCGGTCGACGTCTCCCGCGAATCGAACCAGCAGATTAGTAGCCTCTGGTGCAGTGGGTCACTGCCACGCCTGGCGATAGAGTCGTTCTCACGGGCACGAAAAACCTTTAGTTGGAGATGGCTTGATCCATCACGAAAGATAAAGGGGAGAAAAAAACAGCCCTGGTTGAGCGAACCTTGTCTACACCCCTTGGGCCTTGGGGGAAAGGAAAAACACTCTTTTCCGCCAGCAAATTAGTTGGTCCCGGGGCATTGATGTTCCTTGCGCTGGCCTTGGGTGTAGTTTATTTTTCTTGGCTCTGGTGGCCTTCGTCAGTTGTACTCCGTATCTCGTACCTGCCAACACGTCTTTGCCCTTGTAGCTACAATGGATTTTCGTGAAAAGACAGGTACCAATTGATGCACGCCCTTGGAAGGGGCTGCTTTTACTCAATTCCATCCACGTAGTGGGCAGCCAAAAGCAGGGGGAAAAACCTTGGAATCGTCTCCTTTGCCCATTGATGCACATATAGTGTCTGCACTTGCGCACACGTCAAAGTCTCGGGGAAGAAGATGTCTTGGTGAGACAACGCAAGGCGCCAAACAAACAAAACTAGCCCTTTAAATCACTAGTTCTTCAAGCCATCCTTTCCCCATTTTCTCTTGTCCTTTTTCTCTCCCTCCCCTTCCACGTAACCGCCCTCAGCCGCCCTCCGCCCCTTGTCGTATCTTTCGATGCCATTGCACGCATCCTTCCCGGCACATCTTTAATCTTGGAATACAAAATCCCCCAAACCCCTGTCCACCTGTGCGCGTCCCTCCCGCTCCCTTCTCTCTCTCTCTTTTTTTCCTTTTCCTTTTCTTTCCTCTTCACCATGACATCGTCGCCCCAAGCAATACATAACCCCACCCCCGGGACCGCGTCGCCATTTCCTGAGCTCGAATCCGAATCACCCACAGCAGCCATCGCGCCCGTTAGCAGGTCCAACACCGACAAGAACACGCGGCCCCCTCTAACGCTCGCAGGGCGGCTTCGCACGCTTTCCAAAAGTTTTGAGGAGTCGGACTTGCCCGAAGGTTTCTTCACCGCGACGGGGTCTTTCGCTTCCTCCGTGCTGGCCCCACAGACTAGGCGGAGAAGCTCACTAGCGTCCAGCGGAACCTCGCCCATCGACTCGCCCACGCCTGGCGACGTTCGAACGAGTAGGACCGGATCACTGTCCTCCCACCACCTCGCCGCCCGGTCGAGAAGGGCCACCGAGCCTCTAGCCGAGACCGCCGCCGAACACGAGCCTGCCGCCGAAATGATTCCCAACGGCCACCAAAACATGACGGAAAAGGGAGCGAGGACGAGTCGGGACGAGGGTGGCGTAGGCGAGACCCTCGGCCACTCGACAGCGACGTCGACGAGCCAAGAGAAGGGCGGCGCCGAGATCCCTTATACGGGAACAGCCCCTTTGAGAACGGGTACCACTTCCCGCCCTCACACGGGTTCGTGGGGTCGACCAAGCTCGGCGCCATCGCGCTCTGGAACTACTTTCTCACGCCGCTCGGCTTCTTCGTCGTCATCTACGGCCTCAACGTCGTGGCATGGGGCGGCATGATCTTCTTGCTCCTGTGTAATGCGGCCCCGGCCATGTGCCACCCGACTTGCAACGATATCGACTCCCCGCCGCAAGTGGATCGAGTACGATTCGCAGATCCTCAACGCGCTTTTCTGCGTAACAGGTTTCGGCCTCGCCCCGTGGAGGATACGCGATCTTTACTACCTCATGAAGTACCGGCTCCGCGGCGATCACCTCGCCCTACGACGTCTCGCGGGATTACACCCCGGCTGGTTCCGTCTCCCAGGCTCCGAGAAGATCCCCATCCACATCGTGGCCGACGACTTTGCTGAGGCCGAGGATGATGACTCGGCCGGCGGGGAGTGGACTCCTTTCCTTCCTTACCCCTGAAGCGCACCCCCGACGCGCCGCTTACGGGCTTTCGGGCATCGCCCACCAAAATCTGGAAGATGGACGCGATTATCTGGGCCAACATTTTCAACACCGTCTTCCAGGCGCTCCTGGCGGGCTTCATGTGGGGCATGAACCGCCACGTTCGCCCTGCATGGGCCGTCGGCTTCTTTATTGGCGTCGCCCTCGTTCTCGGCATCATCAGCGGCATCTTCATCTTCTTGGAGGGCAAGAGGGTCAAGTCGATTGAGGGCGTAGAGCTGTCGGATGCTGACAAAAAGAAGCTGGCCGAGGATGAGGAGCAAAACATTTTCCACTATGTGAGTACATGTCTACCTTGAAACTTTCCTTGTTCCCCTCCAACGGGCGCCTCGCTAACAATGCTCTCAACGTATAGAACAATAACAAAGACAAGCCGCCTAAGGAGGATAAGAAGAAGGCGAAGGCGGAGAAGAAGGCCAAGAAGGCGGCCCAGACGAAGCAGTGATACCCGATATAATAGCGATTCTCTTTTTGCTTGGGGCAAGAAGGGTTAATATACCCTTTCCCCCTTGGGCCTGATTGTCGCTTGCGCGGTGTATGACACGAGAGCCCCGCGCATGCGTACACGGATATGTTTAGACTTACGGCAAGGAAACGAAGCCATCATTACCCCATTTCTGTTTATCTCAACTTTCCCCCTTTTCCTTTCGAGACGAGCCTTGATTTACGCAGCAACATACGCGATAGACACCTGAACATTTTACCTACCCTGTTTGATTGTTTGTTTTTTTCCCTTTCGCTTGATTGATACCCTCTGGACGGATTGATTTCCCTTCCCGTTTAATAGAATGGGGACATACGGCAGCTCTCTTCCACGCTTAACACTTTGCACGCATCTATTTTTTCAACCCAGTCTCCTTGGTTACTATGAATGCAGGGATAGGCGTTGAACTTGGGAACCGGTCTTTGTTTTCTGAATCAGTTAGTCCGCCAGTTCTCGACATACATTAGATCACTACTATTTGTAGCTGTTTCGTATTCAAACAATCTTTAATATGGATCATGCCCCCAAGCCTCTCTCTCCTCTCTGCTCAGTTAAAATTACTTTTTGGGGAATAGCCCAATGTGACGACACTTTAACGGGATTATCCTTTCTACAGACGAAATAGAAACGTGCATTCTCTGGTCATTGACTGACTCCTCTTTGAGTGGCCTCCAGAACCTTGCGGTGCTATCTAGGAAGTCAGAAGGAGCTTGAGCTGAGCTTCAAGTCTGGTACGGATGACATCAACAGGTCCGGGACCTCGTCTTTAGCACTGTGCTAGCCTCCCATGCTTTATTTGGGGTGCATCATGGGGTCAAGCTGGCGACTCCACTAATAATCCTGGGGATTCAGTAGAAGAGGATGCATACTAGCAAGGGGGAAGACAGATCGACGATGCGGTATGGGGATTTGTCCACCGAGAGTGTGACGACATTGAAAAAGGTGCCTTGCTTATGTTCGGTCAATACCGAAATCGCTTATGAAGAGCACAGGGAAACGGGCTTCTGGAGTTCTGGAAATCGCGGCGGTTCATTGTACGGCCCTCGGATTTTGAGGCGTCAGCAGAGCACTCGAACAAAGGAACCTTTAGCATCTATCCAGTCCCCAATTGAGCATGGATGGATGCAATGGATTCTTGGTTTGAACCTAATAGTTCCTGTCCTGAGTTGTCAAGCAAGGTACCTAGGGTGTCAGGCAACCTGGCGCAAGGGGCGCCTCTCCTCGCCTGGCCAATATTTTCCTCCCAGCCTTCACGCAGGCCCCCGACAGGACAGAGGCCACATGACTTCTTTGGCTGCACCAGTGGTCAGCAGTGCAAAAACAAGAGGGGAAAAGTGCTCGAGTATCTGTTGAGCAGCCGTGCCCTCTTGCTGCCTCACCCGCTTTGTGGTCCTCTTGTTCGTCAACCCCCGGCTCCACTCCTTAGTGGAAGCTTCGATTGCCTCAATGGGGAAGCAGCCACCATTTCATTGTTCAATTGTTCGCAACCTGCTGAGACAGTGCGCGAGAATGTCCCCAGCACGAGTGGGCCACGGACGCCCAGCACAATACAGTATCAATTCATTCAGCTTAGAGGCGGTTCAGCCTAGCCAGCCTGCGTTGCCTTATCGCTGGCTCTCCCCACAGCCGAGCAGTTTCAACGCATAGTCATCCACAATCTATCGTCAGAGGCTCAGACACCAACCCCATCATCGTAATCTATCCGCCTCCTCCCTCTCCCACTCTCTTTCTTTAATCCCGCTCAATTCCCCCTTCTTCAACCCGCCTCGACAACCAACCCCAATTACACTGTCGATATCTTGTTCCGATTCCGACATCCATGAATCTCTCGCAGCAATAGCGAAACCCCGATAAATCTCCCCTTCGCCGCTCACGCACTCAGCCATTTCTCAGTTGCCCGCCCAGTGTCCGAAACGTCCGGAAGTGTAGCAGCACCATCGTAACCATGGCGTCGAGGGGAATGCTCCCGCTCTTGGTGGGCATGATGCTGTTGACAGGCGTCTGCAACACGCTGCTCACAAAATACCAGGTACTTTATTTTCTTTCCTAGTTTCCTCTCCCTTTGGGAGGGGGTCGGAATATCCATACTAACCAAAGGCATCGCAATCAACAGGACAATCAGTGCGCTCGCGACTGTGACAACCCCGATCCCTCGCAACGCAAGAACTTCCACCAGCCCGTCCTCCAGACCTTGCAAATGTTTGTTGGCGAAATGGGATGCTGGGTCGTCATGGGCATCGCTGCCGTCTACCGCCGCTACATCTCCAAGTCGTCCGCCGGCTACGAAGCCCTTAACACCGACGAGCGGGACGATCTCGATACGGACGAGACTGATATTCACGGCGCACCCACCAAGTCCGATAGCGAGCTCAAGGGCATCCGCGTACTTCTCCTCTCGCTTCCTGCCATCTGCGATGTGTGTGGCACGACGCTCATGAACATTGGTCTGCTCATGGTCGCCGCTTCCATCTACCAGATGACGCGCGGCGCACTCGTGCTCTTTGTCGGCCTGTTCAGCGTCCTCTTCCTCAAGAGGAGGCTTTTCGCTTTCCAGTGGCTCTCCCTCGTCGGTGTCGTTGTCGGTGTTGGTCTTGTCGGCCTGGCCGGCATCATCTGGCCGGACCAGAAGAAGATTGTGGGTGTGTCTGAAAACGCCAACGATGTCGCTTCCCACACCTTTTTGGCCGCCATTGGTGTTCTCCTCATCGCGGGTGCCCAGATCTTCACCGCCACGCAGTTTGTGCTTGAGGAGTACCTTTTGGAACGGTCCACGATTGCGCCCATCGAAGTCGTTGCCTGGGAGGGCATCTTCGGCTTCATCGTGACCCTCTTGGGCATGATTGTGCTTCACTTTGCCATCGGAAGGACCGAGGCTGGTCGCTACGGCTCTTTGACATGGTGGAGAGCTGGAGGCAGGTCACCAGCAAGCCGTCGCTCTACGTATCCAGCATCTTTATCATGATTAGCATTGGGTATGTGTCGAACCCCTAAAAGAAATATCCGCATATCCTGCTTCTTCCCCCACACCCCTAAGAAAGCAAACCCGCTAACCATTATCCGCAGTGGCTTCAACTTCTTTGGCATCTCCGTCACCCGTGGCGTAAGCGCCACCGCACGATCCACCATCGACACCTGCCGTACCCTTTTCATCTGGATCATCTCTCTCGGCCTCGGCTGGGAGACGTTCAAGTGGCTCCAAGTCGTCGGTTTCGGCCTCCTCGTCTACTTCACCTTCCTTTTCAACGGCGTCGTCAAGCCTCCCTTCAAGTTCCTCGAGGTCGATGAGGAAGTCCAGGAGCTTCTTCCCGAGGAGCCCATCGAGCATCAGTAATGGTGGTTGGCCATCCATCACTCTCCCCCATCATCTTTTTAGGCCCGGTCGCGATCCGGACTAGAATCCAAATCCAATGTATTCGTCAAAGCATATCCGTACAAGTAGTCTCTGCGTCTACGAATTTTGTTTTGTATAGCATGGGGTGTTGAAGGAAGCTGGGGGACAGCAAGCTGTGGAGTTTCTTTTCTTTTCTTCTCTTTTTTTTTTTTCACCGGCGTCTCTTGTCTTCATATTCTAACATCATTCTTTTCTGGGCTACCTTGGGAGTTCTATGTGGCATTCATTCCGGGTCTCTCTGTATGCAATATCTCATTCATCTTGGCTTTCTCCTCGAATACTCTTTTGTTTTCCCCAGCATGTGACAGCGCTATTCATCGCACCTTTATTGTGTCCGTAACATGTTTATAAAGTGGAGTAGTTAGCTAGCTACCGCCCATCACATATGTTCCTTCTTAACTTTGTATCCCTGTGACAGTGCATCCGAATGTCTAGGTAGGTACAAATACTCCCGACTCCCGTAGCGATAAAGGCGAGCAGGGGTGTGCGGGCAGCTTGCTAGTCCGAGGCAGGCACTTGTGGTGTCGCCTCTTTCTAGGAGAGCCACCCTAGTCTAAGCAAGTTCGGCAAGAAGGGCAGGAAAAGCGACAAGATGAACAAGGAGAAAAAGAGATGTCGCTGATAAAGTGAAATTGAGCGGGACAATCTAGAAAGAGGCTACCTTGCGCAATACGCCTATCGAGGGGAAGGGGAAGGAGAGATGACGAGAAACAAGAAGAGAAAGACACGGAACAGCAAAATACAACCCTCGCTGTGCACACTGAGGAAGGGATGAAAAAGGGTGACGAGCATGACAGACCGTAAGACAGAGGAGGAAGCTCAAAGAACGGAGGGAGAGGAGAGGAGGGACTACAGGACTGCAGGTCTCCCTCATTCCAAACTCACAAAAACGCCTCCCCGTATAGAAAACCTAGAAATCCCTTGAAAAGCAGAGAGCGAGTAATGGATCGGGGGAGAGGTCCTTCTCTCCCCAGACAAAAGAGAAATACAAAATGAAGAAGCACATAAAAGAAGAAAAAGATGGCCGACAACAGAATATTTGCCAGGACATGAGAAGGGGGAAGGAGGAGCGGGCTCGCTCAGGAGACGTTACACAGGAGCTCGGCCTCGAGGATGAACTTGCCCTCCTTGTACTTCTCGGTAGTCTCGTAGGCCTTGTCGTACTTCCAGCCCACCGTCTCCTTGCACTGGCGGCAGGAGATGTCGCGGACGACGTGGCGGCCGGTGGTCATGTTGCGCTCCGAGGCCTCGCCAGTGTCGATGTTGACGACTAGATTAAAGAGATAGGCTTTGCCGTGCTGACCTCGAAAGTTCTGTGGTATTCAGGCCGGGCACGCGTCATGTTAGCTAACTGCACGATCGATGGTGGGATATTCAAAAGGGGAAGGGGAGCGGTATGAGAAAGTGAGGGCAAAGTGAAGGAGGAGGGGAGGGGATGTAGAAAGGAAGAGGGAGGGTTGCTCTCATACCCGACTGATTATGTCCTCATGGTTGGCGAGGTGAGCTTTGCAGTTCTTGCAGCCGTAAATACGGCTACTGTTTAGATAGGTGTTGTATACCAGGCCCATGTTCTCGGCTCGGAGATGTCGATGGGATCTGTCCCAGGTTCCTTCTTCTCTTGTTTTTTGTCACCGTCCAGTTGAGATTCCTTGGACTTTCGCTCCAGGGTCTCTTTAGGCAACACCTCTTCCTCCTCGCGAGTCTCTGCAAACGCTAGCGGCCTGAAAGGGCAGGCAGCGCTATGTGCTATTCCACCGGGAAAGAAACAAAGATGTGGTTTGGTAGATGTTCTCCGTTTCTTTCAGCTATTTCTTCTTTCTTTCAGCTTTTCTTTCTCTCTCGCTCTCTCCCACTCTCTCTCTATTTTACTTTCCCCGCCTATCTCACAGCTGTCTGTGGTATTGCAAAGGGCGCGAAGAGTTGTTCGGTAGTGGTGATCCGACTAGGCCGTGGAAGGGTAACAGGAAAAGGGAGAGGGAGAGACAGACAGAGAGGCTGGGCTTGTGGCAGGTCCCGGATATTAAATGGGCCTTGTTTCGGGTTCTTGTCCAAACGGGTGGGGGCCGCCCGTGTAAAAATGAAATAAAGGTGTCCGGAGCGCCGGGGTTTTAAGGTAGGATATGCGACAAGCGAACTGGATATGATGTGATGTCCAACTCCCGGAACGTTGATGGTAGCCTTGCACTACCAACCCCTTGGTTTTATCGCCTCCACGTGCGATATTACCACTTGAACACTGAACAGGGAAAAAGAGGACAAAAGTGTGTGACGGTGTGCAGGGCTTGAAGCTTTGAAACCCTTTTTGTCTGTTTGCAGGCGAAACTTTGACAATCTGGCCGATTTGCGGGTGGGATGGAAAGAGTAAAAGCTCCCCGAGTACACGATAGGGGAGGAACGGACTCTTACACTTGGACCAGTCGTCGTCAATGGGAGCGGCAGTAGGGTGAGCGGGGAAGGTGGGTAGGGATTAGAGGGGAAGATTCGGCTCCCCCAGGTTGCGTATCAATTGCGACGGGTTTCTAATACCCGTCACGAACTAAAAAAGGCACGCGCGTTTGGCCGGCCTAAAGCTTTAGGCTGGGTTTGTTTGGCTAGGAGTAGGCCGTGGCCCAGGCTAGGGAGGGATCCGAGAGGTAGTCGGCCCAGGAGTCAATAGACCTTGGGATTGCGGGGTGTAAACCTCAAGTCGATAGATGCGGGGATGAAGAAGGGTGGAGGGGCGGAAAATGACGGCGAACGGAGGACGAGAGGGGAGGAGTGGTAGATACAGTGGTTTATCAGGGAGTAAAAGGGGAAGAGGGAGGTTTTATCATGTATATTGAGAAAGTACGAAGTATGCTTCTTGTTTAAGAGTTATGGTATGCACGAGCGGAAGCTCGGAAAATAAGAGGTTGAAGATGGGATTATCTTGAATCTCTCTGCCTTCTTGGGTTGAGGTTGGATTGATGGTAATTGGGGAAGAAGTTGGTCGGTTATGGGGTGAGAGGGGCCAGACAGATAGCGCAACCAAGCTACGTTGGTGCTGCTGTAGGCGTGCGTGTGTGCGCACGTCAAGTGTGTCTATGCTGGTTGACAAAGCAGAGCCCGAAACCTCCCCGTTCTGGAAAGGAACAGCTGTGAGGCTCTTTTCTCCTAGAGTCTACAGCAATTGTCAGCTGAGCATGTTCTAGCGGACATAGTAGCCGGTCTACATCAAACCAGCCTGACCGGTCCATTCATAGATAGCAAGGAAGATGATGCTGCCTAGCCGGCCGCGGGGAGACAAAAGAGGTGGACACGGAAATGGGGCAGTTGAGAGGGGCAAAAAAGCGGCTCACTCGTCAGCATCACCGTTCCGTGCCTATGCGGCAGGTGCAGCCAGTGTGTGGCCCTTCCAAGTGCATTCACAACCTCCCACTCGTTCCAGCTCCCCCACCACCCTCTTTCCACTTTCGGAATCTTTCGGTATTACCCAGCGAATTTGTGCACTGGAAACCCGGATCTTTCTGGAAACGGAATTGAAAGAAAGATGAACTACGGCACGGGAGAGCTAAAGCTAAGACCTTGCAGCAATGTCGTTGCCCGAACTTCTCGGACGCTGAGGAGGACTAGAAACTTGCTATCCAGCAGAGATTCGTTCATGAGAGGTGTGAGGCATCATCGCCCAAGCCATTAGCTAGAGAAGGGCAGTAGCCATGGATAAGAGTATTGCCGGCTGAGGCTCACTCGATCAACGTCAAGCTTGGCGCCGGGAAAGTAAGAATTGGCCAAGGCTAGATGAGCACCCGCTGAGCTCCAGGAAGCTCCCAGGCTCCGCACAACTTGCTTCAGTAAACCTCTATCGACGCAGTGGAAGATGAGACAGCATCGGCCTTCGCTATCAGGCTGGAAGTAAAAGAGTAGCCCGTCACTTCATCAGAACAAGCAAGCCAAGTACAGGGTCAATCGTTTCACTGCACATCATCACCATCATCACAGTTCTCGAAAACAGCCGGGGCAAACGTCTTTGCCAGGAAAAAGTGAAGTAAAATGTCTCCTTAAATGGTTGAGAAACGAGTGTAGAAGATGTACAATCGAAAGGCAAGCCCGTGCAAAACAAGCGTTTGCTTCATCTCCAAGAAGATAGGAGACGAATATCCGGGACAATATATAACAAAGGCGAAAAGAAGAAAGAAAAAAATAAACACCTAGATCCCAGTTGGATTTCTCCAGTAGACATGCAAGTCTGTAAAAGCCGAAAAAAAAAAGTAACACAAAGGAAAGGACCCCTGAAATTCCCGAAAAAGTCTATCCCACAAGAAAGTCTGGATTGTTTTGGTTTTTGGTGTGCTCCCGCTGCTTTTTTACCACGTAAAGGCCTCCTCGACAAAGTCAACTGTGCCGGTGTACTGCCGATTCCTTACGGCCCTCCTCACCTCGTCGCTCAGGGTGCCAGGTCCGCATACCGATACCGCCATAGCGCCGACCTGGTGCTCCATCTCGATGCCCATGAGGGTCTCGATATTCGGCCTGCCCGGGAACATCTGCACCGTCGCGGAGGGGCTGTGGATCTCCTTGGTAGACCTGGGACGGCTGACAAACAGCATGATGCGGAGCACCTCGCGCCTCTTCTCCATGGCGAGAACCTCCGTCATCCACGGCCTGATCCACTCGAGGTGCTCGGGGCTCTGGATCGTCCAGACGAGTACCACCTTCCTGGTCGCTACCGTTCCGTTGGCATAGCCCGCCACGAGTTCCCGCACATAGGGGACCTGGTGCGTAATTCCAACACCGCCGGCGAAGAGCATAACAGTTCCGTAAGACTGGAGCGAGTGGAGGGATCCGTAGGGCCCCTCGACGAGGCAGCTGGTCGAGAACTTTCCATCAGGGCTGTCCGCAGCCTTCTTGTACAGAGTGTGTGTGATGCCGGTTCGCTCCCTGACGATGAAGGACATGGTCGACTTCTTGCCCGAGGCGAGGTCCTGAACGTTCATCGCGAGCTTCTCCGCGTTGGGGTCGTGCGTGTCCTCAGCCCAAGCGACCGAGAAAGGGTGAGACTGCCAGTAGCCGAGGGAAGGAAAGTACAGGTACGCATGCTGGCCAGACTTGAAGGTCCAGGGCCGCGCAAGCGTAACATTGATGCGGAGGGCGTTGCCGGGAAGAGCCTCCACCACGGTCCTGCTGCCACCATTTCCAAAGTTCCTGTAAGCCACTCGGACCATTCGAATGACGCGGTCGGCGCCCCAGAGGGCAAAAGCCACACCAAGCTGGGGGAGCTGAGGGAGGTCGGCGAGCTTGAGGTGGTACCAGAGGCCGACGATCGAGAGGATGGCGAGCGCGATGTGGAGGATCTTGAACGTCTCGTAGAAGGCGTGTCGTAGGGGGCCCGCGGCCTGGAGGCAGATGACAACCATGGCAATGGTGGACTAGGAATTGGGTTAGTTGGGCGAACACGCGCATCTCAGCCGAAACAGCAAAGATTAAGTCGACTTACAATGAATCCCCACATCATGAAGGGGACGGTCCAGGCAGTTGACCACGCGGCGGCCCAAGACCCCTTGGCAGCGGAACGCCAGAGATGAGAAATGGTGTGGGCGAGAGCCTCGAGGGCGACAATGCGGCCGAACCATCGGTGGAGAAGGTTGTACGAGTCAAAGGACAAACCCAAGAGGGGAATCAAGGGGTTGTTACGTCCAGCCAACAAGAACAAGGGGATCTAAGAAAATTCCTTTGTTAGTTCCTCACGTTGCATAACCAATGGTTTCATCACCTTTTCATTGTCTTCTTCCCCCAAAGAAGAGCAGGGGGACAAGGCAAGAAAGGATTGGGGAAAAATGGAGGATCCCACGTACCATGTTGATGACAGCAAGGATACCGGTTCGGTCCCTGAAACGACCGGCGGCGGTGTTAAACTGCTCGGTGAAGGGAATTCCGTAGACGCAGAAGACGACATTGGTGATGAAGTAGCCGACGAGGAAGACAAGCTCCATGCGGGTAGGCAGGGTGCCGACGTTGACGGCCGTGCTGAGCTGAAACTCGCGGTTGTGCCTCTTGCGGAAGATGGGGGCGTAGAGGATATTCCGCTTGAACCAAGAGACGCGGGTGTTGGGGATGGCGAAGTAGCGCTGCTTCTCGTTGTTGAGGCAGGCAATCTGGCGGACCTGCGTGACGAGCTTGGTGTACAGCCTCCATCCGATGAAGATGACGGCAAAACTGCTGCAGATGATCATGAGATAGCGGGCGAGAGCGGCGTGTTCGGCGCCGACCGAAGGATCCTCCGGGGAGCACCACCGCCAGCGGCACGTGCTGAGAGGGTGGAGGACATGGTGATGGCGGGTAAACGTGAAAACTAGATCAGAAGAAGGACGAGTGTCCAAGGCTTTGTGGTGTCGAAGCTTGTCAGCTCGTTGTCCCGCTGTCGATGATGATGGCGAAACCTGCGGGATGCTCTCGACCAGAGAGGGCGCACGTCAAAGGGTCTCGGCCAAGAAAACAAAAGGAAACAAGGAGCTTAGGGACAGGAGAAACCGGACGGGGCGGGTGGTGTCTTAAGGGTTCTCTGGGGTAGCCAAACTAAGAGGCAACGTCATGCGTGGTTCAAACAATGGCTGGCAAGTTGCTTTTCGACCTTGTCCTTTTTCCGGCTTGTCTTGGGTCCTCCGTGCGGGGACGTGACACAAGGCACACACAAACACACTTGACCGAGATACACACGCAAGTCAATGCGTGGGATCGAAGCTGGAGGAAACTCGCAACTGAGGCGAGTATGAGCGGGAGAGAACGAAGAAGAAAGAGGCGCCGGGAGGTTGAAAGCAAGCTGCAGAAAAGTCTTGGCAACGAGGCTTTCGCTATTTGAACGATTTCTAGTCGTGGGGCGCAGACACGCAAATAGAGCGGACGAGAGCAATGAATCGAAAAAGGAGTGGAGGGGGCGTGTGCTTTGTTAGTGAATGCCGCAGGCAAAGTGAGGAGTGGATGAATCGAAATGAATAAAAGAGGATCTGGCGAAGATCTTGTGCCGTTCGGATCGGTAGGCGGAAAGGATCAGTCGAAGCCCCTGTTTGTCGAAAACGAAGTGGTGGCAGGGCAGTATCCCAAGACGAGAAGTAAGCCAGTTAGAAAGAGAAATGCAGTTGCCGGTACGCTGTATCGGCCTGAAAGAAGAAGATGTTTCCTGGAAGAAATGAAGGTGAGGCAATGTCGAAGAGACGGCCGCCGTAGGAAAGAGAGTGTGGTCTAGCAAGGCATGAGAAGAGAGAATGCGAGAGACACGTCGACCAGAGACTGTCCAAGGCACGCCAAGCAAAGAACCAAAGGAGTGGAAGTAAGGCGTTGAAAGGGGGAAGCAATCTACACCTTATTAGCCGCGTGATGCGTCTAGAGTGAGGAAAAGTGAGGAAAGACTAGGAGGGAAAAGGAGGGAGGTGAAGGGGAAAAAGGAAAGCGAAGTGATGCGAGTAAATCATATAAGATAATCTTGCTAAGGCGATCGAGGAAATGGGGACGGGCCCGACCCATCTCTAGAAGTTGCCTTCCATGCTACGTGCAGCCGGGGGAGGGAGGGGGCCACCAAACCCACATGCTGGGAGGGCGGGGTGGGGATTGAGGGCCGCCAACAAACCCATCAATGACCGCTGGTGGCTTGACGGGCTTTGATGGCTTGGGATGGCATGGGTTGATGGAGCGGAGCCAGGTCGCCAGGGGGAGGGGAGCCAGGTCGAGATCGGGTAAACCAGCCAATCTACAAGGTTACGCCCAGGAACGGCCACACATTCCAAAAGAGAAGGGTGAACCGGTGGTTGGGGACGGAGGTGAGGAAATGGTATGGGGTACATTGCTGTCCCGTCCGTCTACGGGTTATGAATCAGAAAGAGTGCTTCGTAAAGAAGTATCTAGTACAAAAGAGTGGATGAGCGGGGCCGGGCGAATCGACGGGCTCGAGTACCTTTTGTCCCTCGAGGGAAAAGTGTGCCCAGAGATGAGCCAGACTAAAAAAGCAGACGCAGGGGGACAAGGCAAAGAAGAGGAAACAAGAGAGCGGCCGAGAAAAGACGAGCACAAAAGGAAAGAAATAATCGTAATTGAAAGAATCTGAACATGTCGAGAAAGAATTGAAAGCAGTAGTGGAAGGAGTAAAAAAAAAGAAACGGAAGTAAAAGGAATGAATTGTCGGCGAAACTTGGTCGGCGACCAAGCGACTTAGAGAAGCCTGATATCGCCGCCGACCTGGCTCCCACAGAGAGTCCTGTGCTCTTGTCTTTTCGGCCCGGGCAAGCAATGGCACCTCACAACAGGAGCAGCAGCACATAAACGACGGAGCGAGGCCCACGGATTCGTAATTCTTCTCTCAGCGGTACCTTGGATCACCGAGGGTACTTACGGTGTGGATTCGCATTGCATGCAGTGGGACCGCTTTGAGGATCTACAGCATGGATTTCCCTGCACACAGTGAAGAAGAGACGACGAGCAGCAGAGAAGGAACCGAAAGGGTGGGAAGGGGCGACTGCAGAAAGAGGGAAGAAAAAAACCAGCTCGTCCAAAGAGGAAGGAAGCAGGGCAAGAAAAGAAAAGAAAGAAAAGAAACAAAAAGAACCGCGCCACTCGACAGCAGCATTTTGGGTCCATCAGCGCCCTACGAGAAGTCTCTTGCCCCAAAACCATCCTCTTTCGGGTAGGATTCCGACAGAGTATTGAAGGTTATATGCTGCTAAGCCCCTATCTTACCAAGAGAAGAAGAGAAAAAAAGAAAGAAAAACAAAACCAGGGCCCATTTTGCCTCCCCTGCCCTTCTTGCTCAATCCTTCTCTCGCGCGGTGCCTGGCTGACTGATCGATCCGCATAGCCCGACAGAGGCGAATTGGGAAGTGGCTTGGGGTGTTAGTGTGGGCAAGCGCAGCATTTTGAACTCTCTTCCCACTACCTCCACCCATTCGCCCACCAGGCTGGGTTGGGAATGGCGGATGACGGACGATGGACAAGAGGTGGATGGATGCAGGTACGATTTTTCTTCTTCTTCTTCTTTTTAGTGTGGCCAAAGGCTTCGCGTGGGCATGTGAAGGCAACAAGCATCGCCCCCTTCAGTGCAGGACGACGAATGGGAACTTAAAAAATGTGTGCCTGGCCCTGAATCTCATCACATCATCATTGCCCGAGAGAGGGTGCAAGTGCATCAGCTAACACCAACTTTTCCATGGACAGAGGCCACGCACGACTCTTCTCCGCTCGAAAACTGGGGCCTCTAGTCTGCTGTGCGTGCCTTGCATTACATCTCGGCTTCGTGGCCGACCAGCGCTCACTCAGCGGACAAAGAGGAAAAAAAAAAAGAAAAAGGTGGGCAAAGGACGTAACCGGTACCTTGCATCGCGGTGACGGCCAAGGCAATAATTTCGTCTTGGTGACCTTGGCGCCCAGCGTTGCCGGCGTCTTGGTGTGTTGGCCGTCAAGGGGATGTGATCGATGTGTGCGTGTGGCTGTTTTTTCCGTTCTTTTCATGCGCAAGAAACACGCAAAAGAGATAGCGACCCCTTTGGCCAAGGGGTTGACGACTTCTCGCCCAAAACTTGCAGTTGCTTTTTCAGCTTAATGTTGCGTTCTTCCTTTTTTTTCTTTTTCTTGCTCAACCAGCACTATTATCAGAACTTCTCAAACAGCCCATCGCCGTTCGCTCACATCCTTCGTCTCACCAGTCTTCCGATTTTCCCGATTCATCCCTTCATCTGTTTCTATTTTCAAATAGTGCTCTCCCTGTGCATGGGGGAACGGGGCTAAGGCTTCAAAAACGACGGGCGGATGTTGGCAGGAATGCAAAAGGGACGAACAGGGACGAGGTGAAAATCGGGCGTCATCACCTCACCTTGTCCATTTGAAGAGTGTTTCGAGTTTCAATGATGTGCTTTCCCATCCATTCATTTGTCCTCTGCCCATTGCGCGTGGCTTGCTGTGTCGTCCAGTCAATTTTCTTTTTCGCTTTCTGGTCCTTTGTCCCCCTCCTTTTTCGCCTCCCCTTGGGCTAACGTCGCTTCGGGGCGTACTTCCCCACCCGGGCCCCCTTTGAAACAACCGGCCGAATGTTGGCGTCGAATCAGGGCTAGCGTTTCCCAGGCCGATAGTGCCGATTCGGCGCTGAGCGAAGGGACAGAGCCAGAGCCACGCGGAATGGCCCAACACCATTCGTCTTCTGGCTGTCAAAAATGACTGTCCCTATGTTTAAGTGCTCTGAATGGATGAAAGCGAGGTCTAGTGACCCTTGCTGGTCTTACTTGGAGGCACGCCGCGTGCGGCATCCAAAGACTTTCTTTGAGGACCATGCTAGGACAGGCTAGAGGCGTTGGTAGCTTCGTATGCCCTTCTATTTACCTTTTTTCCTTCTTCTTTTGAGTCCGTCAAAGAAGAGAAAAAAAAAAAAAAAAAAAAAAAGAACGCCACTCTCGTTACCATTTCCTATTGTGATTTTATTACAAAGCCATGAAGCCATAATAGGCCATGTCAAAAGGCGCTGGTTCAAGAAAGGCTGTCAGAGTGGCACACAGTGGCACAGAGGCAAAAGCAAAGAGCATCCGATGACAACTTGAATGAGACCTCGATTCCGACAGAGAGCCCTCCCTGGTTGGTGCCCTCCCCATGTCCTCGCAGGTGCCATGTTTTCTCGGGAGAGGCGCTTTACGATGCTGATTGGGGAATGGAACGTCCAGGGTTAGGGTGGGAAGAATGGACATGCGGGTTGCAGGGGTTGCATGGGCCCGGGTTCGTCTCGGTCTCGGTGCTGGTCGAGTGCGAGTGAGAGTGACCAGAAAACAGCAACGAAGAGCAGCCAAACAGAGCGCTGGAGAAGGAAGAATAAAGGACTTGGAGATGAAATGGAAATTGATCACATTGCCCATGGAATCAAACCCATGGTCGCTGACTGGACCGGGCTCGTTTAAACAGCACCACCGGCAGAAGCTCCAAAGGGTCTTAAGATCTGGGTAAGCGTGTCTTACTCACTACGGTACCAGGATCCGAATCATATTATGAGTCCACCTGACCTGTGGGCTCTCTCTGGAACAAACCAAACCATCAAACGGCGCAGGTCAAGGGAGGGCTCGCTCCGAGGATCGCGCGGGGAAGACGAGCCAATGAAGCTGCCTGCGGTGACATTCTCCTTCCTCGACTGTGCGACCAAGTCCGGCATTTCGACTTTCGAGAACTCTTTCTTCTTGGTGCGACTGCTATTATCCCGGAGCGGGAAACATGGTGGTGCGTGCAGCCGGCAAGTGCGTGCATCGTGAGCAATGGGCAGAGGGGGCTCAATTTGATCATCATTGTCTTGTTGTGATGGTTGACCACATATACCTATATTCGGACAACTTGTGGTGTACCCGATACGTTTATTGAAGAAACTAAGTTTGAAGACTCCAGCTATCGTGCTCTTTTTCCAAAGCGCGTGGAGCACAAACACACAAAACACACGGGCTTCGCTTCTCCCATCCCCCAAGCCTCCTCCTTTCTAGTATATTAGGCCCGGCACTCGATTGATGAGGGCATTTTCTTTGTTGCTAGTCGCGATCCTAGTCTTTTCCTTCGTCTTAGTCTAGAACCTCCCCCTCCATTTCGATTTCTATGCCCTTACTAGCGTAGCTCCCGCCTTTTGACACGAGGTTAATCTTAAAAAGATGCAAAGAGCGTGAAGGGCCAGAGGAAATGAGGCGATGGGCTCTCGTCAACGTGCAGGTCCACTCCGTACCCGTTTTTCAGTTCAACGGGCTGCTGTGGGGGGGTCACGGTCACAAGTCAGTCGCAAAGTCGCCCACAGATTGATTGATGGCGGCAGAGAAAGCAGGTTGAGCCCCATGCCTTGTGCTTCAAACACCACCTCGTGCAGCCCAAGCAAGACTCGGGGACCCTCTTATCGCAATATAAGAGAGTCCGGGGTACCGCTCCTTTGCCTGCCTTTCATCTGCTCCCATCTCGTCAATCTCCGCTCGCATTTTAATCAAATTCAATCTTGACACGCAAAGTGTCCTTCTCCGCTTCTCTCTCCCATCTCGCATATAGATTTCGAGAGCAGGTACCTATAAAGGGGGGCAGAGGGGGTGAATAGAACTATAAACAGCCATGCGGCGATGTGCTGGATAAATTGAAGCGATGAACCACGGCAGACCAACGGCAGCCAACCATTCCGGTCCCACCAGTCAGAGACGAGGGTTGAAGTCTTGTTTTTTTTTTTTGGGGAGTGCTTTCGGATTCCTTTTGGCGGCTGAGATTACACGGGAGTTTGTGAAGCGAAGTGCAGTGCTTTTGGCGAGGATGGATTTGGAGGATTTGATGGAAGCATATGCGCCCTCATGACCTGCGGCAGTAGACATGAGAGGAACGTGCAGCACGGTGGCCATATCGCAAACTCCCTCAAAGCAAAGGGGGACGGAGCAAGTGATGTGGGCTTCGAATCATCTACATCTTTCGCGGAGTGCATGGCAAAAGTGGTGCATAGTTTGGCACTCTGATTGCTGGTGACACGGCGTACGTCTATCCGATCCCGTCCTTGTGCGCAGCTCGGTAGTTTTCCGTGAGCTCGCCGGGAGGAGGGGGACGCCCGTGATAGTGATTTGCAAGTTTGTCTCTCTATATCCTTGCGCTAGATCTTCCCGAGGATTCATCGTGGAGAAATCGTGGCTGGAGGTCAAGGATAAAGACCTCTCCACCGCCCGTCACCGCAAGACCCCCCGGCATCGTGCACTGATACCGAGGTATGCTGATATGACATATAGATCAATCTGCGTCGCCCCAGGTTGACATCAACCGAACTTCTGATATCATAACCACGCGGCGATCCGTTGTTATTGGCCTCGCGCTGTTGGGATAAAAGAAAAGAAAACAAGCTTTTGACGTGCGAGATGAAGACTCCACCTCTTTTCTCTCTTCTTCGATCGTTACCTTATTTGCCTCTTCTTTTCGCCAGTCTTAACATCCATACATGTAATAATATCATGAATCTTACTTCTTCTTTGACGCTCCCTCCGTCCGTCCGCGCAGAGAACATGGAGAATAATATCGCGTCATGTTTGAGAGGTTCGCCAGCCCCTCCTCTCGATCCCTTTCGTGTATTACCTTAAATTGGGCTTGGGTTTGGGCGCACACGTCCACCTCTTCCTTCTTCTCTTGAGGCTCTAATAAAACCTCAAACCACGGGAGAAGAGGGGCTCCTTGGCCCCCTCCTCCCCAATCTAATTTTGGCCGGGGGCGAGCCAAGAGGTTGCATCGAATCTTGAATCTGGCGCCACTCTTTTCCTTCTTTTCCTACCCTTGCCGCTAGACTTCTAGACTACCCCATGGCCGGGCCCGGGGCTCGGTCGGGATGCCATCGTCGAGTTTCTTTTTAGTGGGGTTGTTTTTTCTTACTTTGTTCTTTGTTCTTTGATTTCTCGTGGGGCTTTGATGTGAGGCAAAAACCCTTGGCCCACGCAATGGCTCGGTACCCATACCCAGCGCAGGGTCACGAATCGAGGGTCAAGGTGCGTAAAGGAAATGGAAGACAAGAAAAAGAAAGAAGATGGTAAAGACGAAGGGTATCGATCGCTTCAAGCCAGCGTATGCTCATCAGCGGCTGGAGAGGTTGCTTCAATTACAGCGGAAAGACTAGAGCACGAGATTGCGGGCCGCCTGCGGAGAATGTGTCAGTTCTCTGCATACCCGATTAATCCATTTGGCGAGAGCACTTGCATCCACCAGAGAGTCCCGCTCCCTCCCCCAAATCAGCGACGCGGCATCACAGTGATTGAAGCACGATTCGCGATTAGCGTGCAGGCTGCTGCTGTTGCTGCAAGCTCAAATTTTAGAGCCGAAAAAAAAAAAAAAAAGGAAAAAAAAACAGTGATGCACTGGGGTTCGGAAGCGATATGACTCTTGCCTTGCAGCGAACTGGGAGCAGACAGACCCTCTTAATCCGACCTCTGAATCATCTCCACAAACACCTCTTGCGACATGCGCAATCGCTTACTGTGCTCCTCTCCTATCTCTCTATCGCAAGGCTGCACAGCCAGATTGCTGTGCGAGGTCGTGTGCGAATTGCCAAGTAATGCGCCTGTCCCCTCCCTTATCATGCTGCGTACACGATGCGCACATGAAATCTCTTTCTCTCAGGTAGATTGTCAGCCCCATGCACCTGATTCAGATGAGTTCGTGCAGAGGCCTACTCCATCTCACGTTCCTATCTCTCTTCTCTCTGTGTTGACGTTGACGCAGACTAACGGATCCCTGATTTCTTTTCCCTCTTCTCCTTTTTCCTTGTTTTTCCCTTGGCGACCCTCGCCGACCCGCTTTCCTTTTTTCTCTCTCTTTTTTCTTTCTTTTTCTTAAGAATCCAAGCCCCCACCGAGGCGCGGGTATCACTTGTAGTGGCGCGGATATGCCGTGTGTGTCGGGTCATTGATGAGCTGTGGAGCGGATTCCTTCTTGCTTCTAGGACACAAATTTCTCCTCCAACCCGTTTTTCCCGTCATGCGCCGCGAGCCTTGCTCTCCCCACCTTGAATTCCTTGTCCCTGTTCCCCCTAAATCTGCTCGGCCCACAGCCCGGTTTGTTGCGAAGAGATAGGCGATCGGCGGGCTATTGACGACATGAAGTACAAGTAGTTCTGGAGGGAGCGGGGGCGGGTACTGGTTGCTGGTGCTGAGCGGACACCCGCCGCCGGCCGCCATCCCGCTTGGATCGGCGTTGGCCAAGCTCATCTCGATTGCGGAGCGACGATGTGATGGTTCATGTCGGGGACTATAAGGATCCTTTTTATTTTTCAAGGTTTGAGCTACGAATTATACAAGGTAGTAAGAGACGAGAAGCACCTCGACGAGGGCACATGGAGACTACGTTGAACCCAGGGGTCACTTGTAGGTTGGATAGGCTCGAGGTATGCCCAGCAGTAAGCTATCGGTTGTCTCGGCTTAGAAGCTCGTAGTATCCGCCTCTTTCAAGCCGCGTCCGCAGAGATATCAAGCAAAGCTCTCATACCTGTTTCTTCAAGCTGGCTCGAGACGGTGTCCGGTGCCGATGCCCCGAGTGCAAGAGGATCGGCTTTACTCGTCTGCAAACACTCGTTTTAAGTCGTGGAGCTGTTTTTTTTTTTCTTCCTCCACGCCTGTCAGGTCCAAATGAGGAAACAGTTGCCGTTGCCATCCACATTCGCCGAGGATAAAGGGTTCTGTGTGTACGTGGAGCATGTTTCGACCTTCGACCCTCATGCTTGAACAACGAGGATGAGTGCATTGACGCGTCTTTCTTCTTTTTCTTCGTTTTCTTTCTTTAGATGGACTGACAATGACGACGACGCCCAAGGGACTGACGAAGCGCCCACACGAGAACCCGCATTTGTCGCTTTGTGAGCCAAACCCTCCCCACCCACAGTCTGCCCTATCTCGTGTTTCAGGCCCTTGTCTAGGGGCCCCATGAAAAGAGGAGGAATAGACGGACACCTTCACCCTCCCATCAAAGTCATGGGCCATTCCCCACGCCAGCTTGACGATCCCCTTTGCCCCTCATAATAACTGCATCTCTCTCCCAGCGTAGCCGCTCCCATCAAAACTCACACGGTACCGATGGGCAAGTCTAGCCGTGACAGTTTCGCTCCACCCACATTAGAAGAGAAAAAACGTGGTGACCATGATGATGCAAGCATTGGTGATGGGGAGACGCGTCTGGCCATTGATTCCGATCATTACACTGTCTTTGAACCCTCGAGATGCCGGCCTGGACCCCATTGCTACCCACAGGGCGTTCACCCGTGACACTAACACGACGTTTTACAAGTGGGTTTCCCTCCACCCACACTCATCATCATCCATTGATCCAGTGTATATACAAACATGGTGAGAAATCTCGATTCCCATCACTATCAAGACACACGCACGTCACGGGTAACGGCCACACACCACGCTGATAGACCTCGTTCTCTCGTTTGCGCCCGGCCGCCCAAGTAGACCCGTTCCCACATATCTGCCCTCATCCTTGCCTACTCAACCCTGTCTGGCAGGTGACAGGAGACCCTTCCTCACGGCCCCTTTATTGTTTCGTTTTCTACTATTATACATGACAATCCGATACCCAGAAAATGCCCAAGATGTGTGTGATAATGCATGCGTTTGAATGCATCTGTATGCTATGCCAGTGTGTGTGAGTGGGACCAGCTTCATCTTCTGAAACCCCCAATGGAAAACGAAAAAAAAGGCCAAAAATAAAGAGACGGGAGCATGAAATCCTCAGAACAACAGCTCATCGTCGCTGCTCCCGCATTGCACCCACGACGAAATCTTGCGCACAGTCTTGCGCCGGACCTTGTCGCCCACGCCCCGCGCCCCCGCCGTCCGCCGCCCCAGTTGCACGTTGCGCTTCACCGCGAGCGGCGACCGACCACCCCCGGCGGCGTCATCGTCATCGACATCATCGAGATCTCGTCGTCCGAGCTGTCCATCTCGGGAGGCGGAGGCGGAGGCTGAGGCACGCCGACCGCCTTGATAGCAGCCGTAGTCGTCGCCGTCGTCGTCGTCGTTGTGGCGCGCGTGGCCGACATCAACACCACCGTCTTCTTGCCGGCTCCCTTGGTCGTCGCGGTCGAGGCCATCGTCTTCGGGACCTTGCGCGTGATGCCCCGGTTCCGCAGCGGTTCCATAACGACCGCTGGCTCCTCTCGAGACTGCAAGGCCTGTCGCGACCGCGTGCTCGCGCGCGGCCCCATCCGGGCGCTCTGCCCCGCGGGCAACGGCGTGCGGAGGATCCATTCGCTGATACCCTCGTCCCACCTCCACCCGGAATAAAGCGAGCTGTCCGCCTTGTTCGCTCCGCTTGCGGGCGGCCGCGCTACTACCCCGGGCGAGGGGATCCCCGCCCTTCTCGCTTCCGTGATGATGACGAGGAGGACAACGACACAGGCGTCTTCACGACGGAGATGCTTGCCTCGGCGTACGCCAAATCCCTCAGATCCCCGTCCTCTTGGCGAGGAGGAACGCCGCCTCCCTCCGCAAGTCTCCGACGCCATGGTGCCGCGCCAGCGTCAGCCCCGCCAGCGGCTCGCAAAGCGCCACCAGGTGCTCGTGGGCAGCGAGGCCCGCCGCCCCTCCTCCGCGAGCGCAGTGCTGCGCGACGGAGCAGATGAGCGAGACCGCGCCCTCGTAAAACTTTTTGTTCGCCGCGTCGGCGAAGCTGTTGCGCGGGGCCTCGATCCGAGCCTTGTCGCCTTTGTGCCCTTGGCGACCGGATGCGGCTGCGGCTGCAGCTGTCGCCATGTAGATGCTAAGCTCTAGTATGAGCTGTGAGTCCGTCGTCCGAACCCGCCGCCGCTCCTGGAGTTTGGCAAGCGAGCCGTTCAACGCGCAGAGGGCCGCTCGGAATATGCTGTTTGCTTTGCCTAGTATTATCGTGCCCGTACCCGTGCTCGTGCCCGCCGTAGTCGTGTTTGCTTCCACCTCCGTGCCCTTTACGCCCACATCCGTAGTTGTCGTCGTGGAGTCGTCGCCGATAAAGGTCGACATGATGGCCATCGCCGTGACCGCGCCCACCGTACTCGTAAACATTTGCGCCGGCGACCGCAGGCTCTTCCCTCTAGCGTCGTCATCTTCGTCGTCGTCGTCATCATCATCATCGGCACGGCTTCTGCCACCACCCGCGCTGGGGCCGGAACCGCGCGATCCCACCGAAAGCGAGTCCACGAGCGACGACACAGCCTCGTAAAAGAACTCGAGCGTCTGCGTGCAGGCCTCGCCTCGCACGACCAGCTTCTCGCTGAGGCCGCCCCAGACCGGCTCCAACGCCCGGATGCACAGCCACTCGCCCGAGAGGCGGTTTTCGCGCAGGAACCGGGCGAGGGTGCCGAACAGCGTCGGCCACAGCGCGTGCCTCTTGCAGAAGCTGACCAGGAGCTCGAGCGGCTCCAGCAGCCTCGGCTGGGGTGCCGGCACGTCCTGGCGCCGCGTGGCGGGCGGGTGGTGCTGCTCGAGGACCGCGACGAGGAGGGCGGCGGCCTCGTTTACGCACCCGCGCCGGGCGCAGACGGCAACGAGGCGCTTCGCCGCGACGAGGTCGAGCAGGGATTCGGCGATGGCGTCACGGAGCGCGGTCACCGCGTGGGCGCGCACCAGATGCCGCAGCGGCCGCCAACCTGTGGCCATGGCCCCGAACCCTTCGAGCTGGTTATACATGTCCTGCGTCGCGTCCTGGGCCTCGAGGCGGGACTTTTCGCCGAGGTGCTCGGCCTCGTTGGCGTCCCACTCCTCTATCCGTTTGAGCTGCTCGGGCACCTGGCGGAGGCACATGGCAATGAAAGACCGTGGGTGGGACGAGGACCCGGGCTGGCCCGTAGCCGTTGTCGCTGCTACTGTCCGGAGCAGCAGCGTGTCGAGGGCTTTGAGCAGCGCGTCGAGCTGTCGGTCCCTCTCGAGTTGAAGGTCGCTCTTCCCTTGGCAGGTGCTTGCGGGGTTGCTGTGTGGACCCGGGCGGGCGTCCTCGGGGACGGCGAGTCGGTTCCTGCGTCGCCTTGGTAGAGTCCTCGCTCTCACTCCGGCACAGGGACGGCATGCGGGGAGATCGGAGACGACGCCTGCCTCTCGCGCCATGCCCCGTATCCTTCGCACGATGGGTGTCGACATGAAGAGTTTGCCGGGTGTCTTGGGTCCAGCCCTCGCAACGGCGCTGGGGAGCTTGAATGTGGCCTTGGATTTCCCGGCAGCGGCGGAGGAGGAGGAGGAGGAGGAGCTGGAGGAGGCGGCCATCTGGCGTTTTCTCTGGGAGTAAGTCACGCGCGGGCGTTTCGGCTTCAAAGGGTCGTACGCCTCATCGTCCTCGTTGGCGCTGTTCCTCTTCCGCCTGACTGGCTTCGTAGGCTCTCGTAGTTCCTGTCGGGTAAACGCCGCCTCCACCTTGATCTGGCGGAGCTTGTTGAGGCTGACGTGGACGGGGCGCAAGAGGCGGAGGCACCGTTGAGCGGTCCAGTTTTGTGCGAGGTCGTCGCTCGGCGCGCTGGCCCCGGCCCGGCGGTAGGGACGGGTAGCGCTAGGCGGCGGTGTGTTGATAGCGATATCCATGCTAGTGGAAGGGATAGGAAAGGATGTTGTGTGGTTAAGGATGATGGGGGATTAAGGGGTAAGCAATTATTCAGACATGTATCGATTGCGACATGATAGCTCTGTTTTTTTTTTTTTGTTTTCCTTTCTTTTTCTTTCCCGTCTTTTGTCTTGGAAGAATGGCCGAGGAGGGCTCGAGCTAAAGATGAATCGTGGAAGCGAAGAGAGTATCGTGCGCGGTCGAGCTGAGGTAAGAGAGGCCGAAGCGGCGTCGGTTGGAGGCTTGGTCGTTGGTAACTATTTTGCACGGAGGGGTAAGGATTGAAGAGGGAATAGGTGTTTTTCCTCGGTGACAGATCCCTAATGAATGATGATTTGAGGATGTGTTGATGTTGACGGTAGAAGAAGTGACTGACTCTTTCCAAGGGTAAGACTGGCTTGACTGGGTTGCTGTCTCACTCCAAGTTCCGTCGCCCCTTCACAGTTGCTGTCTGTTCCACTTGCCCAAGATGGCGGCGGTACCGTGAGACCAGCGTCGTTGTTTAGTCTGCGGTTGCGATGTTTATATATTTCCCAATTGGGTTTAGACTTGTCTGGGGAACCCACAATTTCGGGTGCGTGTCCCTCGCGCCGCCAGTGGACACCAGCTGCAAGAGAAAAGCTCTGCTCCCTGTCTCCTGTTCTTTGCCGTGCGCCCAGCTTCAATGGGCGAATGGACTTTTCTCTTTTTTTGTTCGCCCCCTTGTCAATTGGACGTTCCCAATTCCCGAGCTTTACCGGGTCCCGTTATGCAGAGCTACATCAGAGGGACCTGACCAAACCCAATTTCGCAGGGGAAAAGGGAGAGGAAAAAAAAAAAGAAAAAAAAGTTTGGAAGGGGAAAAAATCTCAGCCGTGACTTCCACGCTTCTTTCTGCTTCTCCTCGTCATACAACTTCTTTAATCCTCCCAATTGGTCTTTGTCCAACCTATTCTTCTTTTTGCAAGCATCTGTCCTTTGCCCACCAAAAAGGTCAGCTACTTTCTTATTCTGAACATCTTTTCCTCTCTCTCTCTCTCTATAGACTCTTTTGTTTCTTTGTATACCTGGGCTCTTTCGGGAACGAAGAAAACAAAAGTTGCTACGGCTTGTTTCTTTTCTTCTTTTTGGGTAGCAAGACATCACCTGTCTCTTTTTTCTTTTTCCTTTTCGTGCTCGCCCTCTCACGGCCCCTTTTCGCATCCTCCTCCTCTGAGCTCGTCTTGTTGAGCTTCCCATCCTACTTGTTGAGTTTTTACGATCTACGACCTCGCATTTTGTCCACTGCTTGGTGGCTTCGAATTCAGAAAACATGGCCCAACAGGAGTCTCCATCTTCTCAGACCAAAGGTTCGTCTTCTTCCTTCTCCCTTGCTCCTCTCCCTCCCATGCCTGACTTTCTGTTGCTTGCGCCGTCATCGTATCCCCCGTCCTTCATCTCACCCATAGCTCCTCCTTGCCTGTGCTGACCATGCCCTCCGCTACTATAGAGAATGGTGTCTCTCCTGATACCACCGTGACGAACGGCCCTAATCCCGAGGGCGCTGAAGCTCCCGAGGAGCAAGGCGACTGTGAGTTGATCGCATCCGAAGCGCAACTGGCGCTCTCCCATCCTCATCTTTAGCTTCGCCTCCGGCTGACTTGACCCCTTAAAAGCTATCGTGACCCTGACCGTGGTCCTTCCTCATGCCCCTGAGAAGATCCAGGTGCAGGTTAGTGTCCATCCTCATCTTGAGCCTCGGTCCGAGGACACCACACTTTTGCATATCCTTGTCTTCTAACCGAATGCGTTTTTCCCATCTTTTAGGTCTCCACAGCCGAACAGGTTCACGAAGTCCGACAGTCCCTCATCGACCTTCAAGCCGCCTTCCAATACACATGCTTCCGTCTCGAACACAACGGAGAGCGTCTCAATGACTTTGTAGCCCTGTCCGAGGTTCCCGGCCTGGTCGAAAACCCGGAGATCAAGCTTGTCGAGGAGCCTTACACCGAAAGGGAGGCCCGTCTTCACTTTGTTAGGATCCGCGAGCTCATTGGCGCTGCCGGTGACCGAAGCGACATCACCTACGGTATCCTTCCTGGTGCCTCGCTTCTCAGCGATCTGTCCGTCGAGCAGAGCGCCGACACCGAGAAGTCGCCCGTTGCCGATTACGACTTCCAGGCGACCCCTACCCTCACCTCCTCGTCCCCGCCGCCGAGGATGCCGCGCCCAAGACATTGAAGTCGATCGCCTTGTCGTCGTGGCACCCTCCTCCCTGCCATCTCCGCCAGAAGGGTCACTTGATGTACCTCGTCGCTACTACCAACGAGGGTGAGCAATACCAGATCACCTCCCACGTCGGAGGTTTCTACGTCAATAAGTCATCCAACGCCAAGTTCGATCCCTTCCCTAAGGGTACCCCCAAGGGCTACCAATCCCATTCTCTCCTCACTCTCATTGAAGCCATCTCCCCCAGCTTCACCGAGTCCCTTGCCAAGCTCCACGAGCACAATGGCCGCAAGGATCCTCTCGCGGCCTTCCAAATTACCCACGCCATCCCCGCCGCCCCCTGGGCCGTGCCGTCCTCTAGCGCGCCCCAGTGCGCGCACCAACCCGACCCGGCTAGGTCTCAAGAGACCTACCTGATTGGCGGCATTGAGAATGCCGACACTCTTCGAGACTGGAACGAGGAGTTCCAGTCCGCCAAGGAGCACCCCAGGGAGTCTGTCCACGATCGCGTCTTCCGCGAGCGTCTCCTCGCCAAGTTCTTCGCCGATTACGTCGATGCCGCCACCCGTGGCGCCATGATGGTGGCCCGGGGCGAGATTCCCCGCTCAACCCCACCGAATGCACGGATGCGCAGATCTTTGTGTACAACAACATCTTCTTCTCCTTCGGCGCTGACGGCGTCGGCACCTTCACCTCGGAGGGCGGCGACGAGGCTGCTCGCGTCGCCACGAGCAAGGACGTTGCCGGCGTGCGTCTCGTCAACCAGCTCGACATTGACGGCCTTTTCACTGCCGCCACCGTCGTCGTAGACTACCTCGGCAAGCGCGTTGTTGGCCAGAGCATCGTCCCCGGCATCTTCAAGCAGCGCGAGCCTGGCGAGCACCAGATCGACTATGGTGGTGTCGACGGCAAGGACGTCGTCACCGCTGATGAGCGGTTTGCTGTTCCCTTTGAGAAGCTGTCTCGCGCGCTCAAGGTCAAGAAGCACCCCGTGTGGGACAAGGAGGGTAAGCGCTTCGACCTCGAGGCTAGTGTGGAAACTAAGGGTCTCTTGGGCACTGACGGTCGCAAGTACGTGCTCGACCTCTACCGCGTCTCGCCCGTGGACATCGCCTGGCTCGAGGAGACCGAGTCCGATGAGGCGGCCAAGAGCGGCGCTACCTACCCCCACAGGATGACGGTCCTCCGCCCCGAGCTCGTGGACCTCTACGCGAGGCAGAAGATGAAGGAGTGGGTTGATGCTGAGTTGGCCAGCCGCGCCAAGGCCAAGGAGAGCGAGGCCAAGGAAGACGATAAGAAGGCTGAAGAGGAGGGCGAGGAGGAGAAGGAGGAGAAGGAGGGAGAAGAGAAGAAGCCGGATCCTCGGGATCAGATTGACCTCTCCAAGTTCCGCTTCGCCCTCAACCCTGACGTCTATAGCGGCCAAGTGCCCCAGACGGACGAGGAGAAGGCCGAACTCGAGGCTGACGAGCAAAAGGTGCGCGAGATTTGCCAGCACCTCCGTGACGGCGTCATCGCCGGCTTCCTCAAGGACCTGGTCGAGTCAGATGCTGGTTTCCCCATGGACGGCACCTCGCTCAGCCGCCAGCTCCATAAGCGGGGTATTAACGTCCGATACCTGGGTAAGATTGCTTCCCAGTGCACCGACGCCCGTCTCCGGTGCCTGCTGGAAGTCTGCGTCCAGGACATGGTCTCTAGGGCCTTCAAGCATGTCATTTCCGGCTACCTCCGCCGCCTCCCCTACACCCTGGCCCCGGCCTGCTTGGCCCACCTCCTCAACTGCTTGCTGGGCTTCCGCGTAAACCCCAAGCCCACCGCCGACGTCGACCCGGCCCTGGCCTCGCTCTACTCAGAGGCGGACCTGTCTTTCGAGAAGGTCACGCCCCAGAGCATCCGCGCCAGCGTCGAGGAGCAGGTTGCCCAGCGATTCAGGTTCAACCTGCCTGAGGGCTGGGCCGAGCAGATTAAGCCCCGCCAGCTCCTCCGTGAGGTCAGCCTCAAGCTCGGCCTCCAGCTCCAGGCTCGCGAGTTCAACTTTGGCACCGAGGCCGCGACTGAGCAGGGATCCGTCGCGCAGCAGCAACCCGCCAACGGCCAGAAGGAGGCCTCGTCCGGTGCCGGATCAGGCGACGCTAACGCTAGCAAGAAGAAGAAGAAGAAGCCCGCGCGCGACAGCTCGCCTGCCTCGACGGCGTCCAACGCCTCCCCTAGCACCTTTACGGCCGACGACATCCTCAACATCGTCCCCGTCGTTAAGCACTCGGCGCCCCGCAGCGCGCTCGCCGAAGAGGCTCTCGAGGCCGGCAGGATCTCCATCATCCAGAACCAGCGCCAGCTGGGCCAGGAGCTCCTCCTCGAGTCTCTCTCGTTGCACGAGCAGATTTACGGCATCGTGCACCCCGAGGTGGCGCGTGCCTACAACACGCTGTCGATGCTCTACTTCCAGATGGATGAGAAGGAGATTGCCGTGGAGCTCGCCAAGAAGGCGGTGGTGGTTTCGGAGCGCACCGTCGGTATCGACGCGCCCGAGACGCTCCTCAACTACCTCAACCTCGGACTCTTTGTTCACCAGGCGGGTGACAGCAAGGCGGCGCTCACGTACGTCAGGCACGCGCTCTCGCTGTGGAAGATCATCTACGGACCGGACCACCCCGACTCCATCACGACGATCAACAACGCGGCGGTGATGCTCCAGCACCTCAAGGCGTACCATGAGTCGCGCTTGTGGTTCGAGGAGTCGCTCCGCGTGTGCGAAAAGGTGTTTGGCAAGCAGTCGATCAATGCGGCCACGCTCCTGTTCCAGCTGGCGCAGGCGCTCGCACTCGACCACGACTCCAAGGCGGCGGTGAACCGCATGCGCGAGTCGTACAACATCTTCCTCAACGAGCTCGGCCCCGAGGACAAGAACACCAAGGAGGCGGAGAGCTGGCTCGAGCAGCTGACGCAAAACGCCGTCTCCATCGCCAAGCAGGCCAAGGACATGCAGGCCCGCCGCCTCAAGGCCGGCGTCCGCGTTGCCAACACGCGCACCGTTCTCGGCCAGGCTCCGGCCGGCGGCGTCAGGGCTGGCGTCGTGCCCTCAGTCGCTGCCCCCGGCGACGTGTCCAGCGTGGACCCCGGAGCATCGACGAACTCCTCCGCTACATTGAGGGCTCGGATCAGAAGGGCAAGAAGCAGACCCCCAAGGGCGGCAAGAGTAACCCCAAGAGGAGGAGCTGCGTCGGCCTCGAAATAAATACAACAGGAAACTTGAGGGGCCAGGCCCTCTTTTTGTTTCGAGAAAACGCCCCCATAACCTTTTCTTCTCTCTTCTCGCATCCTCCCTCTCTACACTTACACATCATAATCTATGTATTATATATGAGAGGTGGCCTACCCTCCTGAGGAGGGTTGTCTCCTTTCTTGACCTCTGTCTCCCTCACTGTATTCTTTTACCCTCCCCCTTTTTTTTTTCTTGCATACATCCATGTTTTTGTTTATTTGGCCCGAGATGTCCAAAAATTAGCTCTCTCCTCTTCCTCTGGTCCTCTTCCTCACTCACATCCCCCGCCTCCCGCCCTTCTATTTTTGATTTTTCGAAATTGAGGCCGGCCTTGGCTTTTGTTGTAATTTTATTTATCCATCCTCTTGTCTGGTTTTGCATTACATTGGCGGAAAATAAAAAGCGGAGGCGCGAAGCTGGATGTCGTGGGAAAGAAAAAGACTGGCGCCGAGGTAGAGATGGCGATTGCTTTGTGGGAACAAGAAGAGATGAAATGTTGTGCCCGGTGACGGAAAATAAAAGCAACAGGAGAGAGAGGGAGTTTCTCTTTAGAGCTCGCGTGTATGAACAAGAGGCAAAAAGTAAAAATATCAAAATCTATTTGGACAACAATGAGCGACTCCTTGGCCCCCTTCCCAGGTGATTTCAACTTGTGGTGTTAGCCTTGATGCTTTTCCGATCCTTAAAGAAGTCCAAGTCGAGAAGAGGAAGCGGGAACACACTTGCAAGATCATTGTCCAAGGAAACATGGAAACAGAAAGCTAGTGCGTGCGTAGACAGACAGTGTAGGTGCTTTAGTTGGCTCGTTATCGAGAGGAAAGGGAATTCGGCTTCTTCTGGTGGACGTGGGCAAAACATCATGGATCTATCACGGCGAGAAAAACGGCAAGAGTCAAAAGTCGGGACGAAGAAAAAGAGAACACCAGAGTCTTGGAAGGAGGAAGGAAAAAGAGGACCTCATTCCTTGTCCTCTGCTCAGATATATCGTCATTACCAACATCCGATCGACCTAGATCCCAAAACCTTTGTGATCGAGAAGAAGAGATGGAAAAAATATATATATCTCAATATAAATAGAACCGTTTCCCTTCCCTCGCCTTGGGAGAAAAGAGGAAAAAGAAAAAGCACAAGGACCGCCCACTACGTCCGGTTACCCGTTTTGATCTATCAGGTGCACCGGTGCTTCCCGCCGCCGCCCCTGTTCTTTTGCTAATCCGAGTGACAGCGCCGAAAGGAAAAAGAAAGAAAGATTCGTAAAAGGAACAAGGAGAAGAGAACAAGGTAGAGATGGAGAATCGAAACCAAGCAAGTACAAACACTCCCTGACCCACAGTCTGTTCTGCTCATTGCCCCATCATTAGGAACGAATGAATAGGCGAGCACAAAGAAGGCCGAGACGAGTCAGGGGAATCCCATTACGAAGAGTGAAGAGAAAAATGGGAGGAACTGGTACGGGAAGAGAAGAGAATGGTAAACGACTCGCGAAGAGAAGAAAAGAGAAACGCCGGTAACCGGGAAACGCCAGAAAATACTTTTGGGAGAAAAGAAAAAGAAAAAGTAGCAAAAAGGCGAGAAGTGGGAAGAGAGCAGGATCCAACCTCTTCTCAAGAGGTTCGGCTTCCTGCAAAAGAACCACTCAACAGAGTCTCGTTACCCGCTGGGGTGAAAGAGCTAGAGCGTTTGGCGGATCGGCATCAAGTATAAACAACAAGAAAAGAAAGAAGAGTAATGAAAAGGAGGCAAGAGAGGCAAACAAATACATAGAAGGGTAATAAAAAGGCAACGATTTTCCCTCCTCCTCTTCTACTAGCGAAATGGAGGAGACAAGGGTTTCGGCTTAAAAGGCATCCCGCGCCTTCGCGATAGGTACGCCCTCGCTCACGGGTGCGTGGTACGACCCAATGCTTTGGAATCCCCTGATGACGCGCAAGTTAGTTAGGAAAGAAAAGAAAAGGAAAAGAGGAACAACGTACTTGGCCAAATCGAACCCCTGGTCCTCCTCTAGATCTACACCACCTCCACCGCTCTCCGAGGGTGGTTCCGGTGGAGGTTTCGAGGGGCTAAGAACGGGTGACTTGATCGGCCGCGCCGGCGGGCTACTGCTGTGCGGTAACAGGCCCCCGCCTCCACCCCCACCCAGTCTCCGGGACGGGCTGGCGTCGAACTGGGCCGCGGGGCGAAGGGGAGTGCTCCCAATGTCGGCGTACTTCCAAAATGGCGCGGGCGAGCTTGTGGGCATGTGCTGGCTGGGCCGGGGTGCTGTCGATGGCGGAGCGAGGCGGGGGTGCACCCGCGGGGTGCGGGAGTGACAAACGAAGCATTCTCGTCCTGGAGGTACGATGACGCTAGCGTTGGCGACTGCGGTTGGTACGTCGAGCTCGTCGGCGCCGCGCTGGGCACTGGTTTTCGCGGCCGTGGCAGGGGCTACCATCGCTGGGTAGGGCGGCTCCGCCTCTTCGGCCCCGGCTGCGGTCGGGTGTGGATTGAGGGATGGCGAGGGAGGAGGAGCCGGGCGGAGGCGAGTGGATGGGGGATAGCTTGCGCTTGCGGGCCGAGGCTGGGTCCCGCGCGAGAGTGATGTAGTTGACGTGGCTGGGCGACGAGGGCGCCGAGCTACCCCGGTGGCCCCCGCGACCGCCCTTGAACGCGTTGCGAATCATTTCATCCTTGTACTCGTTGACAATCTGCCACTTCATACCCTTGCCCGGCTCGTCAGTAGACCTGGGTACTTTTTCAAAGGCCTTGTTCAGTGAGAGATTGTGCCGAATGGAGTTCTGCAGCAGGGGCGAGCGCAACAGTGGTTAGCAAAAAAAAAGAACAAGAAAATTACGACTGGCAAAAAGAGAGGAAAAAGGAGGATAAGAGAAGCTCAGGGCGAGAATCCCACGTACCTGCCAACCGGCGGGCTCCTGATGCCTGTAGTAGGCGTAGTTGTCCATGATAAAGTTGTAGATGCCGTTCAGGTTCAGTTTGCCGTCGTCCGTGTGCAGGATAGACTGGGTAATCATCTGGGCGTAGCTGAACTGGGGTTTGATGTGGCGGTTATCGTCCTTGGACAGGTCAATCTCGAGAGACATGCCAAACGGCGTCGCGCTGCCGGGGGCCTGCGGCGAAGTCATCTGGACCATGGTCGTGCGCCGGCGGGCCGCCGAGGGAGGGGTCCCGGGGCGGCGATAATTGGGCGGGGCGGGCGCGATGATTTGCTGCGAAGGCCCGCTCTGGCTGCTCCGGGAGGCCTTGGAGGCCGAGGGAGCCGAAGACGGCAGGTCGTCCGACGGTTGCGTCGTGGAGATGAAGGGCGCTGGCGCGGGGCTGGGCAGCTCCGAGGGGCTGATGCCTGCCCTCTGAAGGTAGGTTTCGTGTATGTGCAGGGGCTGATCTCGGTGGGGAGCACAAACATCATCTCGACGCCGCCAATCTCAATGACCTCGCCGCTGGCGAGGGCGCGCGAGGTGCCCGACTTCATGGGCTCGCCATTGATTTTTGCGCCGTTGCGGCCCTTGACCCGGAAAAACCACTGCTCCTCCTTGGTGTCGAAGCCGATCATGGCATGCTGGCGCGAGACCGTCTTGCTCGGGCCCAGGTCGATGTGAACAAAGTCGTCGTCTTCTTCGGTGGGGGTTGGGCGCGGGAGGATCGAGGCGCGGCCAATGTTGACGTCGAGCTTGGTGATGTAAAAGTCCAGTCCTGGGCAGCCACTTTGGCGTACGCCTTGACCCCGTCCTTGTTCGCTTCGTGGATCGCGTTGGAGTGGTCCTTGCTCGCCTGAATGCGCTGGTCCTTGGGCGTAGTGAGGTAGTGCACGACCCTGGACACGAGCTGGTCTCCTTCGCTTGCGTTGCCGAGCGCGGATTCTTCCTCCTCGACGGGATCGGTGGACGGCATGAGGACATGTGCCGACGAGGGCCCGGCTGTGGCGTTGGAGCTTACCGCCGCTGTGGAAGACGGTTCATCGACCTACAGAGAGTAGAGTCGCAATGTTAGCCCAGATGCTCTAGGTCCTCCTTGGAGACGAGAATAAGCCACGGGCCCGTATTCCCGGCAGCGCTTCGCCCTTTTTTTGTCTCTCCTTCTTCGCCGCCAGGCGCAAACACGCTGGGGAGAGTTTGAACGCGAACGAGTTCGCGCTCTTTCGACCCGCCCCATTCCCTACCCCTCTCTCCTCCCCAAAGAATGAGGCCCATATTCCCCACTCCATATTCAAAGCTTACCTTCCTCCTGCGCTTCGCAGGACGTGTGGGAGAGGAATCGAGAGCAGCAGAGGTCTCCCTCTTTGGCTCGCGACGGGCCTTTGTGACCGTCGCGCAGACGGAGGCATTGTGTTCGGTAACCGAGTTCGAAGGTAGAAAGCCTATTCTGATTTTCGTAGGGTCTCTGAGGCAGATCGGGGGATATTAGAATAAAATAAAATAAAAAGCCACCTCACTCTCCCCCAAAAGGAGTCCGGGATAAAAGGCGTTCGTAGGGGAGTGTGTCCCACGAGTGAAGAAGAATAAAACAAAAAGACGCTCTCTAGCAGATGCAGAAGAGCAAGACCCCGGTGGGTAGGCGCGGGCAGCTAGGGCAAAGAAAAAGGCTATTTGGCGTTTCGAGGAATTTTCGTGACGTGTAGTGGAGGCAAAGTTGGACCAAAGGGGAAAAAGTCAATAAAGGGAGTGGCAGAAGTGACAAAGAGGCGGCAGAAGTGGCCTCGAAAAAATAAAAAGGTGGAGTTGATCGCCCTCCCAGACGGTACCTGCCTTGCCTGCCTAGGCTGTGTGTTCTTTCCCTCCCCAAATTCAACAACTATCTCAAAGTCTGGCGTCGGGAGCCAGGCCGAAGCGCAGCAGTTTCTAGCACTCGCAAGATCAACGGGTTTCCTCGAAAATGGCGATCGAGATAGAGAGAGAGAGAGAGCACTAGATACGGTTGCGCCGGGTGGGAGAAGAAAGAGTCGCCTGCGCCGGCAAGTTTCCACGGACATGGATTTTGATGACTTTCAAAGGGGGAAGCTGTCCTGGCACCTGACGCGTTGAGAGGTTTGATCCAGCGCGGAACTCGTGTCAAGACCCAGTAAAACCACTAAAACCCAGCGAACCACTGGTGCGCCCTTGGCCCGTCCCACTTAAACCCGATGCAGCAAAAGTGGTCTGCTTACCTAACATTCTGAATAGGGGTTATTCTCGGATTGGTTGGTCCCCCAAGACAAGTAAACACGGTGCACGGGCCAGGACGCTGTTGGAAATCAGTTCTCCCCCGTTTTTGGACGCGCGCGTGAACGAGACGAGACGTATTCCAAAAGGTATGATTAGCACAGAGTGGCGTGAACGGGAACGAGAAAAGTTACATAATCTCGAACTTCGTCTATCATATGTCAGCAGCCCTTCTCAGCTCTGGCTCATGCGCTGCGGTGTGTAATACATCTCCCTTGGATGGATCCATTATACTACTATGTAATAATATTGCACCTAATGACAGCACAAGCAAGCACACTCGCAGACACACGCACACACGCACACACACACACATCCGCACGCACGCACGCATGCACATCTCCATAGTGTATTCTTTAAAGGGGCGAGATGTGCTCCTCCACTGCCCCTAGTGCCATCCAGTCCCATGGAGCCCTACCCTATGACGAAGCGAGGGGAGCAGCGAGCAAGCGGACGTCAGTGACGCTACCGCGACGCTCCTCTCAACGCCTGCATGTACTTGCTTGACATGGATATGCCCTCTCCTGCAGATAATTGACCTGGCCTCGAACCTTTAGGGAGGGGACTCAACACAAGATGACCAGAGGCCCCCCCAGCCCAACCCTCAAGCTAAAGCTGCAAGGACTCCAGGGCTAGCAAAGAGAGTGTGGTATAATAACTCACCTCTCTCAACTGTCGAGTCCGGTCGACCCCCCCTCAGATGGTCCAGAACCGGAACGCATCCACCATTTTGCAGATCATCTTTCTCCAAGTACAAAACATGCCCCCCCGGCCAGCCCCGGGATGGTCTTGAACAAACCGCTTCCCCCTCCCTTCTCCCTCTCACCAGCCAATGCAAGACTACACGACCCTCATCCTCTTCCAAGGGTCAACCGTCAAGTCATGTGCCTCCTAGCCCCTGCATTATCGATCCTTCGGTCCTGGATCTTGTCAGTTCTCACACCCCAATGACAAAATCTGAGAATGGAAAAACAAATCCCCGATGTTGAGGGAAAACGCGGAAGAGACAAGAGGTGGGATGACGGTGTAAGTAGTCGTAGAGCGTAGCGTAGAAATAAGCAAGAAAAGAAAAGAAGAGAAAATAATCTCACAAAGGCCCAGGCCAAACACAAAACAAAAGGGAACAAAGGCAGGGAAAGGAAAAATAAAATCCATGCGATTCAATTTTGTGCCGAGTCGTCACCGGTCCTTCGTCGCAATTGTCGGCACGCGCCCCCTTCCTCTCTTTCTCCTCTCTTGCTCCGTCTCTCCCTCTGTTGCTCCTCCCTCTGCCTCCCTCTGCCTCCCTCTGCCTCCCTCTGCCTCTCTCTCTCTCTCTCTCTCTCTCTCCATGTGTGTTAGGCCCCTTCCCCTCTCCCATTCCTCCCACCCAATATCCTCCCCATTCCAGTCTATCCGTTTGTACTTACTGTTTTAGTTCACTTGCCTCATTCTCTCCCACCGGTTTCCTGTCACTAGGCGGGCATATCTGCAGCCATTAATAACGGTTTCTCTCCATTCCTCCCACTCCCCCTTCTTTTTTTTTTTATCCTCCTTATCCGCGGGGAGTGAGAGTACTACCAAAACCCAAAACCCGCCCCGAACGCCACTTTCCCTTTTTTCTTTTCTTTTCTTTTTCTCCTTCCCTTCTTGTTTGATGGGAAAAAGGGCAAATGAGGTTGATAGTCGGTGAAGCAGTCGCCGTCACGTTGCTGCCACTCGACCAAGTACATGTTGGTCTCGTTGAAGAGGCGGTGCGTGCCAGTCAGCACGCTAAAACACCAATCTCCCTTTCCGGCTCGAGGCTAGGACCCCATCAACCCGAGAACCCTCCCGCCCCCTCGGAGGTCGCCAGAACGGCGTCATCCCGTGCCAATGGGCGTGCCTGGGCCGATGATGCAGATTTCTACGCCAGTGCGCGCCGGCGTTAAAGATCTCCGGATACGACGTACCCTACGAGAAGAGGGTGAGTAGAGATGGCTAAAGCTGTGCTTCCGGGCTTCAAAAAGACCAAACATCAGCCCCTACCCGATCCCGTTAGTCGTAATTGTGTCTCTTCCACTTCCTTCTGTACTGTCCCGGCCCTAGTTCTCCCTGTTCTACTCGGGCCATCCGGCCATCGGTCCTCGGCCTCCCTCCTCTCCCGCCCACCAGTTCCACCCCCTCCAGCCCGAGTGGTGGGTTAGACAAGCTGCACCGCCCAGGAGCAAAGTTTCCGAAGAGTACGCATTCCATCATGCTTGCCCACTCTGTTTTGCCTGATAGGAAGAGGAACATCTGGCGCAACGCGTGAAGTCGTCCACCGAGAGATGGCGCAAGGGAATCATTGATGAGGGAAAGGAGAAGGGGGAGTGAGAAAAGAAGAGGAAAGCCAGCGAGTGCAAAGGGAGAGCAAAGGGAAGAGACAAGCGCCCCCTCACCCCCAAAAACGGCAGCAGAAGAGAGCGGCCAGCAGCGAAGAGCAACCAGACACGCGCCCATCCGTCCAGTGAGCGAGGGCAACCTTTGCGCCCTCCGTACCCTCCCCACGTCACTCTGCAGGTTGGCGCATATCATGAAATCTGCATCCTGTCTGCGTTTTTTCCCCTTGCTCTGCAAAACCCCGGTCGCCAGCACCTCCCCAAAGGAAAAAAGAAAAATCCTCCCATCTAGACACACCGTCGATTGGCAATCCACATGGTCGTGACATGTCACGTCACACCTCTTTTCCTCGGCATATGCTATGCTGTTCCCTGCTCTCCGAACGGGTGGACGAGCCGATCAGCAGGTAGACCTCCAGCCGAACTCATCGACGAGCTTGCCGATGCCACAAAAAAGAAAGAAGAAAAATCCCGCCCGTTTGTTGCCTCTTGAGCCGGGTTCTACACCGGCCCCCGTTCTTTGCGCATCTTCCCTGCATAACTCGCCGCTTTTTGAAAGGCCTAGCTCTCTGTATCGGCCCCTTGGTGCACTTCCCTCCCCTCCCCTTCCTCCCTCTCCTTCCCTCTCGAGACCCTTGCTTTTCAAAATCAACGTCTCCCTCCAAAATCCGGCTCATTGCGCTAACCTAGTCGGCGAGCGTGTGTGTCTTCGCCTTTGCGAAAATGGGCCTTCTCTCGTTTGTTTGGTTCGATCTTCGGAGCCCTGACGTCTTGCTTGCCCCCTCCTTTTTTGTCTTATCCATCCACATGCCTAAAAGGTATAGTGGGAGAAGGGAGAAGGGAGAGGGGAAAGAGGAAGATGGGGAGTAGAGACAGAAAAGTGCCAAAGAGATAGCTGCAGAATCATGCCTGCCCGTGGCCTAATACGTAATATTTGGCAACCGCCGTCTTGATTCCAACCGTTCACGGGACACTTTTTTTTTTTTCCTTCTTTTACCCCCTAGCGGGGGTCCAACGTCTCTTTCCTCTGAGGTTGGTTTTTTTCATTTTCCTCTCTCCTTCGCCCTCTCCCTCTCTTTTCTTTTTTTCTTTCCTCGTCGCCTCCAAGGGACCCCTTCAAATTCTCTAGGCACCGGCCCGGCAAACAAGCATAGGTAAACGCACCCCCGGCAAGCTGAATTTGTGCCAGCTCCAACCCCCTCCTTTCCCAAGCTGGGACTGCGGTAGCGACGGGTGTGGGGATCTTGCCTTGTTTTTCTTTTTCTTGTTCGCTTGCGCTTTGTGAAGTTGATCTTTCCCAAATCATCAGCCTTAAAGAGGAAGAATACCAAGAGCAAAGGGGGAAAGGTGCAAGGAGTGGGCGAGTAGAAGGAACGAGCGAGGGAGAGAGGAAGAGAGAGAGACAGACCAGGCCCTCCTTGTCACTTGCTACCCTCGCCCATGCCCCGGAATTCGGTGGTTCCTTCCGACGTGAACCGACTTGGCCTTTGGGGTCCGTTTTCATGTGGCCCTCAGAATCAGCTCGGGACCGATTCTAACATCCCGAAACTCCTTCCCTTGCTAGGAGCACCCTTCCTTCCCGCCCACCTTTCCCGAGACTCCTGCGGGTGCCCTTTGACCGCGAGCTCAAGTTATTTGAGGTATCGAGCCGTGACACATCCAATGCCTATTCCGCCGTTTGTTTGGCAAGGATGAGGATTGGGCGCCCCGGCCACCTCTACATACGATGTCCTTGCCAGGCGACGTAGATATAAATATCGCGGAGCTCCCCTTGAGTTCTCCAGCTGCATATCTAGCCATAGCCCGCAAGCCTGATAGCTTATCTCTCCCCTTCTGACCACAATTTCTCTTCCAAACTAAACAAACAAACAAAAGTGGAAAGAGAAACCCGGGGCGCCGTCTCCAGTCATCTCCACCCATCTCCAGCCATATCCCCTGCTCCTTCCCTGCTCCCTCTCGGTGCTCTTAGCTCCTTCTTTATTCACATCACTTTCCTCCACTTACCCCCGTACCTTCCTGTTTCTCGACCGCCCCCGACAAGCTTGTCGCTTTCCTCCTTCCTCGCTCTCTTTCCTTCTTCTACTCTCCCTCGGCCCTTCCTACCTCTTTGAACTCGGCAGAGATGGGAGCCTACTCTCAACCAAATGGTACTTTGGCCTCTCACCACCAAATCATCAAGGCTCTCGAAACGCCCCGGCAGTCCTGTCGCAGCAGCAACAGCAGCAACAGGAGCAACTAACTTCCGAGAGGCACCAGCCGGGGTACAGTGCTGCGGAGCCAAACAGGCCGGTGGTGGTCTCGGCGCAGGGGCATCACTTATTCCTCGAGGATGGGCGGCAAATACTCGATGCGTGTGGCGGCGCGGCAGTGTCGTGCTTGGGCTATGGTAACACGGAGATTCTCGAGGCCTTGATGAGCCAGGCGCAGGAAGTGCCCTACGTGCCATGGGCGTTCTTCGACTCGCGCAGCACGAGACGGTTGTCCGACTGGCTAATCAAGAGCACTGGTGGGGCTATGAGCAAGGTGTATATCATGTCATCAGGTGCGTAAGCCGTTGCCGGTCCAATTCTTTACTTCTTTCCCTTCTCCTTTGTTGTCCCATTCCTGTGCTTGACCGCTTTTTTCCCACCTTTTTCTTTTCCTTCTACTTGAGTTGGGGCAGCCGGTAGCACGATCTAACGGCAAATACGACAGGATCCGACGCCGTTGAAGGTGCGCTGAAGCTGGCGCGGGAGTATTTCGTTTGGAAGGGCCAGCCACAGAGAATTAATTTTATCTCCCGGCACGGTTCCTACCATGGCACGACGCTCGGGGCGCTCTCACTGTCGGGTCACGTTGCAAGACGGGCACCATTTGAGGATCTTCTTTCGCGCCATGTCCACAGAGTATCGTCGTGCAATGCGTATCGACAGAGGCGGGCCGGCGAAAGCGATGGAGCGTTCTGTGCTCGAAAGGCGCGGGAGCTAGAGGAGCTGTTTGCCAGACTCGGGCCGGACACGGTTGCGGCATTTGTGGCAGAGCCGGTCGTAGGAGCCGCCCTCGGATGCGTGCCTCCCGTGCCAGGCTACCTCGCCGCGATGAAGGCTGTGTGTGACAGGCACGGAGCACTATTCGTACTGGATGAAATCATGTGTGGTATGGGACGGACGGGCACCCTCCACGCATGGGAGCAGGAAGGCGTAGTGCCCGATATTCAGACTGTCGGCAAGGGGCTTGGAGCTGGTTACCAGCCCGTTTCCGCCGTGCTCGTGAGCCGAAGCATCGTGGAGGAGATGCGTCGTGCGGGTACAGCGTTCAACAACGGTCACACGTACCAAGACTTTCCCGTGGCCGCTGCCACGGCTCTCAAGGTACAGGAAATCATCCAGGATCGGAATTTGCTCGAGAACGTGACGATTCAGGGCGGCCTCTTGGGCCGCCGGCTGCAGGAGCGATTGGGCAACCACCCTAACGTGGGCGACATCCGTGGCAGGGGCCTGTTTTGGGGGTCGAGCTCGTCCGAGACAGGACGACGAAGGAGCCTTTTGACGAGGGCTTGCTCCTGGCCAAGAGGGTACACGATGTCGCTCTCCGTGAGCCGTATAACCTGATGATCTACCACGGGCAGGGGTGCGCAGGTGGCCGCAAGGGCGACCACATTATGCTATGCCCGGCATACGACGTGACGGCGGACGAGATAGAAATCATCGTCGACTGTGTAAGTGGCGCTCTCGAGGACGCACTGGCCTCTTTGGTCAAGGTAGGGAAGCTGTAACAAAACTTTTGGCGGAAGGGGAAGGGGGTGGTGGTCTGCGTCTCTTTTTTTTCTTCCTTTTTCTTTTTTTCTCCCTCAGTGCTGATTGGGGGCGTCTACTTTGTGCATGATAACGAGTTTTTCATCTTTCTTTTCTTTTTTATTCTTTCTTGGGCGCATCTGAAAGGAAGATATAGCAGCCAGTCACAATCACATTAACCACTTCACTTTTTTCCTTTTTCTCTGGTGCTTGATGCACAATGCTTTTCATCATGGTCCGGGAGGAGCAAGCAAACACTGGAGTCTCTGCTCTATTCTAGGCAAAAAGAAAAAAAAAAAGAGAGAGACAGAGAGAAGAAGGAGCCCCTATAGATCCTATCTTCATCAATATACACCTTAGTGCACAGCCCTTCTCATTTTCTTTTCTGCGCAAACAGGCGAAAGCTTGGTTACATCGTTGTGTAAGTGTGCGCCTTGCCAGGCTGGGCGGGAAGTGAAAATCCCGGTTACGTCAGGTGGATGGCGGGGTTGCTAGGTTGCTAGCTCATCACCGATCGTGGGGTGAAATTTGTTCCCACCACACGCCCTATTACCCACTCTGCCGGTTGAGCCTCATCCGACGCTGACAAAAGGCTAGCTTCCTGTTTCCTCGTTGCCCAACCTGGAGTTACGCCCACGCTCATCCGCACATACCCACCTCTTCCGATCCTTCAACCGAAATCCCGGCAGGAAAACACGAGAGGGAGAAGGGAGGACAAAGGAAAAAGAAAAGAAAGAAAACAGGGCTGCACAGGACAGACCGGGAGGCGCAAGGGAGCAGGAAGCAACTTTTGCCTCAGGGCGCGCAAACGCCAGATATGGTGCGCGAGATCATCACACTCCAGCTTGGTGAGCTGAGCAACTACGTTGCAACGCATTTTGGAATACTCAGGTACGTACCGCGATGAGGTGAGAATCCTCTGCGTCTTGGTGGGTTGGTTCTACTCTCTCCCTCTCGCCCTCTCGCCCTCTCGCCCTCTCTCGCTTATAAGCATCGGCCTCACTCTTTTCTCCCACCGGATCCCCTCTCCCTTACGTCGTCTTGCCCCCAAGAACAAAAGTAAAAAGCAAATGAGGCCGAAGAGTGCTTGCAACCCCTTTATCACATGCTCACCTGCTGCGCCTTTCGGCGCCTTGGTCTTATCAGGCGGGAAAGGCAAACTCTCTCATGGCCCTTGACGCGCTGAAGAAGGGGTGGGGGTGGAAGAAGAGGCGAAGAGGGTAAGAAGAGGCGAAGAGGGTAAGAAGAGGCGAAGAGGGTAAGAAGAGGGGGTAGGGGGTAGGGGGTAGGAAAGTAGAAAAGAAGAGCAAACTGACCAAGGGATCTCTTGAGCACGTGTAAAGGAGTCATACTTCACCTACGGAAACGAAGAGAGATCGCCCGTGGACCACAATGTGCACTGGCGACAGGGTATCGGTGCGGACGGATCCGAGACATTTCTCCCGCGGGCGTTGATTTACGATTTCCGATCTAACTATGGACCGCTGGGACGATCGAATCCACTTTACGAGAGCCAGGATGATGACCCTAACCGGCATCTCTGGTGAGTTTCTTTTCTTTTCTTTGCCTTTTTTCTTTTCCTTTTTTTCTTTTTCTTTTCTTTTTTTTTCTGGCTTCCTTGCCGTGTGATACAGGCCCAGGACGGCCTCATACTTTGGCGAGTATAGGCAGGATGGGAGAAAAAGAAAAGAAATAAATAAACAGCAGAAAAGAAAAAAAAGGAACAAGCTGACACGGGAGATTGTAGGCATGGCGACGCCACCGTCCATAAGCAGCCTCTCATCCCCAAATCCGTCTATCATGCAGCCCTCGAGGCCGGCACAGTCCCTTCCCTGACCACCTCGGCGGTGCGTTATTGGTCCGACTTTTCGCGGCCCTTTTTCCACCCACGCTCCATCGTTCAGCTCAGCGATCTCGGTGGCACACCGACCGCTCCCAAGTCCGGAAGCTCGGCTGCGGCCAAGGGCGGCGGCGGCGAGGCCGGCGCACCGAGCCTAGACTCGTATGAACACGGCAAAGCGCTCTTTACCGGCCTGGACACCGCCGAAGACGTGCTCGACGGGCAGCTGAGGACGTTTGCCGAGGAGAGCGATCTCCTGCAGGGAATGCAGATTCTGGTGGGCGGAGACGACGGCTGGACCGGCTTCGGCGCGTCGCTACTGGAACGGGTGAGGGACGAGTACGGCAAGACGTGCGTGTGGGTTTGGATGCCCGAGGGAGGCGAGGACTATCTCGCCGGCGGCGGCGCCAGGACGACGAGGGAGAAGCAGATCCTCCGCCTCGTCAACAAGGCCAAGGCCCTCACCGACATGTTGCCCCTCTCCACGACCCTGGTGCCCCTCTCCCTCCCCGCCGTCACCGCCGCCGCTGCCCGCGCCGCCCGCGCCAGTCCGACGTACGCCCTCGACCCGACCTCCCCTGGCACGTCTCCGCCCTCCTCTCCACCGCCCTCGAGTCTTCCACCTTGCCTGCCCGCCTGCACCCGGGCTCCCAACAGGCCACCCTCGACGACCTATCCGCCGCCCTTAACCTTCACGGCCGGCAAAACCTCGCCCGGCTACGCCTGGGCGTCGGCGCGGGCCGCGGGGAACCAGACGACGCGTCTTCGCCTTCCCTCACCGCACCATCCTCTTCCTCTCCCTCCTCCTCCTCGCCCTCTTCCGCCTTCAACGTGGACCTGTTTGACCTCGTCGGCCGCGCGAGCAAGGTGCCCAGGGCGAGGGGCGGTGACTTTGGCAGGGTTCTCGTCCAGCGAGGCGACGCCCGCTCCGAGGAGCAAGAGGACGCCGTCTTCAAGGCCCTGTTCGACGACGAGTCAAGCAACGCCCCGACTTCTCGGTGAGTTTCTTTCCTTTTTTTCCTTTTTCCTTTTTCCCATTTCTTCATTCCTTCCCGCGCACGCGCAGTCAGTCCCACCCACCCACCCCCAGCTAACCTTCACCAAAGATACAAATCTCCCCTCGCCTACCCAATCCTCGACAGCTTCCCCCATCTACCGACCCCTCGCGCACAGCTCCTCCTCGCAGGCCCTCACCATCGACTCCCTGCTCTCCACCGACGCCCAGGTCCACCCGGCCGCCAAGACCCTGCGCCGCCTCGTCATCCCCGCCCTCCGCGGCGACGAGCGCGAGCTCGTCGGCAACGCACTCGCTGAGCTGGCTGAAGACTATCACGAGGGCTGGTCGAGCGGAAGTGATGACGACGACGACGACTATTGAAACAAAAAGAAAAATACTCAAAAGACTAGGAAAGGTGGGGAGATCTCGTTGGAAAGCAGATTTTGGTTCTTGGATGACATGGGATTTATGGCCAAAATGTGAGGACGAGAAGAAGAAAACGATCGAGGGCGGAGTGACACATTACCGGAAAACAGCAAGGAGAATAAGGAAAAAGAAAATACCCACAAGGAAAGGAAATCGGCATGTATTTTCTTTCTACTGCATGGAGGCGTAGTTACAAGTTGAAACGGGTGGTTTTATTATTCCTCGTTCTAAAAAAAAGCATCTTACGAAAGTTAGAAGCGTCTGGCGTTCTATCTCCTCCCCCACCATATACCCCCACCCGTCATCCCCTTCTCTGTTCTTCCCTCCCTAGCTGAGCTATGTGGGCAAGGAAACCCCTCAGGCAGCCAGGGGAAGGAAGGAGAGGGAAGGGGTGGCGTGAAAGACTGAGTAGAAGGGCAAAGGAGGGGGAAGGAGGGCGATAACGGGATAGGTTAGTAGGAGAACCAAGAAACCGCCTCGCAATGTCCTTTAAAAATACAAAAGTTCTCATGTCCGTTTGGCCGGCCACACCCTCTCCGTAAAACAAATGACCCTAGTAACGCGTAGGAGAACGCAAAGAAGAAGGAACAAGTTAGGAAAAAGAAAAAGAGGCCAATATCAAACCCGTAGACCCTGGTTTCCCTAAAAACACCGCCGGCTGGCTCCTTGCCTCCAATTTTTGTTTGGCTTTTGTAATGGATGGATTTTGTGTCGCAAAAAAAAAAAAAAAAGAATAAAAATATGTCTCGCCTCCCTTTCCGCCCCAATCCGTGGGCTCACGATGAGATGATGCAAGGCTGTTGACGATGAATTAGGTTAAAAGGGTAAACAACGAGAAGAAGACGGGAAAATGATGCAAGAGAAAACCGTCTACCGTAGACAGCGTGGCATTCCCCTCTCGCGAGGAAACGGCCACGCCCGTAACCTTGGGAGACCACGTACGGTAGAGGAAGCCGTAAGGCCCTCGAGTAAGTCTCTCCTTTTGTTTCTGTGCATATGTGTGTCAATGATCATGGCGCCTGTAAAGAGAAAAACTCCGCCCTATGTAGGTAAATGTTGTAGACAAAGGGAAAGGCAAACAAAACAAGCAAGGGGAAAGAAAAAGGAAAAAGAAAACACAGTAGGAGCTGCGAGAAGGAATAGTGAAGGTGATAAGGGGCCAGAGGGCTTGCATATTGACCCACGAAGTGGTGGGTACCGAAGCATTATAAAGGATGTGTGGACGACGGTGGCCGCTTGAGCAACCAGAAGCCTTGGTCAATGGCGGGTCGGAGGGTGTGAAGATTCGCCTGAAGTCTAAATTGGCGGTGTGTGCCCTTGGTCTTTGGCTCTCGGTCTCTTCCTAGACGAGTTATCTAATCTCTCCCGGTCTAGCTTTACCTCTTTTACTTCTGCACAAGTTGCTGGTTGATAGCCTAACGAGCCACTCGACAATCACAGTCGACCTGTACTAGATAAACCCACAGGGTCCTACGCCGGGACGGCATAGAGAAAGAGTGCGTGAGCGAGAGAGAGAGAGAGAGACAGGAGAGAGAAGCCGATGTCTCGACATCTCATCGTGTAAAGAAGAAGAAAAAGGGTTGTATCTCAACCTGCAAGGCCATCGTTCAGCATAATGACGTGGGTTAAAACAGTTGTGAGGCGTATTCCGGGTCTGGCGATTCTCGAGACATGGTGCTTCATCTCGCAAATTGCGAGTATTCCGACGCGGCGGGCTCCTGCAAATTCTGTTCTTAGGCCCAGAGCCCATGCGCCCAAGAAAGGCGCCTGATGCCTGCTTTCTGGGCTGGAATTCGTTCCAGTGTTTTTTTTGGGGAGGGCTGTTTTCTTTCTTTTTATACTTCTTTTTTCCTTTTTGGTTCGTACTTTGCTTGGTACTCGGATATTATTCTCCCTTTTAAATGGGTATTTCGAAGCAAGGGAAATTAGGTCGCCCCCGTCCCAAGAGCGACGTACAGCTTGGTCGACTGCTTCCGCAAGGAAAAAACAACAAAAGGCCCACCGGACGCTGGCCTGGCGCCTGCGTGACGGCTTGCCTCGGTCTGGTTGGCTCCTTAGGAATTTCTTCCTACCTGCTTAGCCGGCTGCAGCGACAGAGGCAGGTTGTCGTCTCTTGGCAGGCGGTGTACCTGCCGCGGTGTGCTCGGCAGCAGGGCGCTTCTTAGTGTCGGCGTCGGAGGGAGCCCCGTTGGGAACCTGGCTGTTGGGAGCCGAATTCGGCGCGCCATTTCCCTTTCCCCGCGCAGGCTTCCTCCTGGGCTTGATCTCGCCCTCGCAGAACACGTCGTCGGGGAGATCCCAGCTAGAAAAAGAGATTGTGGTTAGCTCCCATACGCAAGCAAGCAAGGCTTGGTAAAGTGTGGCGGTGAGGAAGAATGGACTCCATCTTACTTTCGAAGGTGCTGCACAGTGATAGCGTTCAGCTGAGAGTCAAACTTTTCCCAACCTTTGCAAAGCTTCTTAAACTCTCCAACCTCGCTGGCAAGATTGATGCTCTTTTGGCCTGTAAATGCGGTGTCAGTTTCCCGTCAATAAACCGAAAAAATCCGGGTATCCCGCGCCCCGCGATACGCGCCGCGGGGGTTTCCATCGGAGACAACCTACCTGGTCGGAGCGCCAGCCCGATATAGTGCGTTGTCGTGTAGATGAATAGGTCCTCCGCCTCGCCCTTTGCGCCGTTCTCCGCCTTCACGGCTTCGGCCCCGTTAGTGTCCACCTCATCGGCCTCGGCCTTGTCCAAGTCCTCTTTGGGGATGTCTTCGGGCTTGGCAACGAAGTTGAGGTCTCCCTGTTGCACTTTTTGGATCTCGTTGTCGGCCTTGCACTTGTGGACGCGGTCATAGCCCTTGACAAAGGTCTGCGCCAGCCCGATCGTATCGTGCTTGTCGAGCGCGAGGACGAGCATGCGAACCTTGGACTCGACGAAACCCGACCACTTCTTGTGCGCTTCTTTAGTGATGCCCGAAGACACCACAGCGAGGTAGTACTTGTAGTCGACCGTGAAAAGGTGTGCTTCTCAAAGAGCTCAGCCCACGACTTTTGGCCGGCGGCGATGGCATCCGTGATGCTATCAGCTCGCCCAAGTTCTCTTTGGATGATAGACATGGAAGACCTGTTGATATTGTACGCGGCGTTCATGGAAGGATAGGCCGGGGTGATGATGGGCATTAGGTGATGCTTGTCCGAAGGATACACGACCGGATTCCAGATCCTGTATCCAAGGGGGCACGCTCAATGTGCTTGAGAAGAACAGGTTGGGGCCAGGGCCACTGTCGCACGATCCAAAAGAACTTGTTGACGATCGTGGCTGCCGTCGCCCTAGGGTAGAGCTGGCAAACCCTGGCAACCAGCATGGCCCAGGCGACACCACCAGGATAACCCATGACGTTGGCATAGATGGCTCGCCTCTGCGCCCAAAGCTTGATAGCGCGGAGCGCCATCTGGAACGTGCTCTGCTCGGGAACGAGGTCGAGGATTTCGTGGGCTACGCGGGTTCCGTTCAGGGAGCGGATCTCCGTATCGTCTAGGCCGCGTAGGAGCGCCGTATCGGTCAGGCTGAACTGGGACGTGTTGGTGGGGAGTTTCTTGAGCACGGCGATCCTCGAGAAAATCATATCGATGCTGATGCCCCAATACTCAAACTTGATAATGGGCACGTACGCGTCCGTGACGACGGCGAGGTCGGTGATGGCACCCTTGGGGGCCATCTCGAGAAGAAGGTCGGGGAAGATTTTGAAGTAATCGTCTCGCGTGACATACTTGGGAGCAACCACAAGGGTATCGATATCGGAGCCGGGACCAAAGACGCCTAGACGAAAACCACCGTATGTGAAGATCTTGCCACGGGCATCTCGCGCAAGACCACTCTCCTTTTCCTTGGCAACTCGAGTGACGAACTCATCGCACATCTTTTGGAGGGATTCGAGAACCAAGTTCCTAAGATGAACGTAAGCCTCCCACCACACCCAGACGAGAAAAAAAGGACCGAGATGCCTACAGCCCATCCCATAGAGTGGTGGGCTAGGCAACCTCGAATAACTGGGGTTTGCTTACCTCTTATCCGTCTCCTCCTTGCTTTCAAAAATACCTTGCTTCCTCAGCTCCTCCACCATGGCATTATTGGAATCGATCTCGGGTTTCGTCGGCAATGACGACGAAATGGGCGGCGTCACGCCAAGTTGTCTATCGCCGGACGACATGGTCGCGGTGGGTTTTTGAGCAGGGGCAAGAGGAGAGCTAGCCCACTTGCCGAGGAGGTTTGATTCTTTACTCCCTTCTGCGTCGAGCAGAGGGATGGATCGATGGATCTTTTCAAGACACCTCACCGGGTCTGCAACGCGATGGCGAGACGAGGCGTCGTTTGTCGGGGGCGGCTGGCTGGGTGCCTTGGATCTGCGCTGCTCGAAGGGGAGGGGCGGCGGGCGGTATGTGCGTCGACAAGGTGTCTCTTATTCGTGCTATAAGATGCGGAATTAAGAAAGAAATAAGATGGTCTCAATTGGGGTGCTTGAAAAGAGATGCGAAGACCAGGAGAAAGTGTCGGATGCGGGTTCGTCAAAGAGGAAGACTCGTGGGCCGACGAGGTGGGCTTTCTGTATCAACCTGCTGTCTAGCGGAGCTGGAGAGGTGCAGGCAAAGGACCAGCGGAGAGCGAGAAAAGAGGTAGAAAAAAACAAGAGGAAAATTGAAGGCAGGGTCGGAAGAGAGGTGTCCGAGAGGGGGAGGAAGAAGGATATCGAAAAGGGTCGACGAAGATGGAGCAAGAGAACAATTCAAAAGACCCTCTTTTTTTTTTTTCCTTTTCCTCTTCTTCTTCTTCTATTTTCTATTAAGCCCCTTTCTTCGACAATGCAAAACGAGACAGAGGAAGGAGCGAATTCGGTTCGGTGTCGGCCTGCTAATTCCTCTGGGTTCGTCGCCGGTCCAGGTCGAGAGAGAAAAGTCTAGCGTTGTCCGAGGCGAAAGGGCGATCTCCTCGAGTTTGGTTGTCGTGAAGAAAGGCTTAACGAAGTATTTCAGAACACCCAAAAGCAACCGCCAACTTCTATTGGATGGGACAGTTGGCGTCGACGCGAGGGAGCAGGGGCGATCCAGTTTCTGTGTTCTTCAGGTACCAGTACTTCCACCGGACCGTGGGATTGGGTGGCTTTGCGCAGGAATTGCAACTGGGGTTGGTGGCTGACATCAAGTATTGGTACCCTAAGGGCCGCCGTTGGTCAGAAGGGGGGCTTGCACCGGAATAAAAAGGCAGGAACAATCCCGAATTCTTGGGGCAGGAGGAATGACAGGCTGAATAATCAGAACAACACAACGTGAGGTACCAGGCACTCGACACTGTTCTCCACGAGTTGGCATCCATGCATATAGACGTGAAGCTGGTATCATCGACATGTTAACGGACGTGAGTGTGTCTAACTAAGAAAATACAAGACTTCGTACAAGATCGCCATTTGCATGGCATGGCCGTTCCTCCCGAGTTCAGGGTGAAAGTGAAAAGCAAACCCCCTCGTCCATGGGATGGCCATCTATTTGTCTTTTAAGCAAAAAAGAAAGGGCAAGGAAAGAGGGAGCGAGATCATGACGTTTCCCTCTGTCATTGCCCTTCCTCCACGTTTCTCTCTTCTAGGCTCCAGGCCCCCGCATACCACATCCATACCCCAAAAGTCCCCAGCACGCCCACAGTTCCTACGACCTCGACAATAGTTTGTCCGCGGTGCTTGATGCTTCCGAGTATCTGGAGTAGTCCCAAAGGGTCTTGGTGGGTCTTTGGCTGTGCCATCCTCGCACGCCGTGCGGCCTTGCCCTCCCGCCTTCTCGCCACCGTCATGTCAGCGGGGTGGGTGAGCTGGAGGAGGTTGGCATTTCGAATCACGTTGTTGCTGAGGCTCCTCCGCAGGGCAGCCGCCCAGTCGTCGAGGAGCTCGTCTTCTGTACGACTGGAACCAATGTCGCGACGCCACCGGAGGATGCCTCCCGCCGGGGCTAGGTCGTGAATCGACAGCCTTGGCGCAAGGCAAAGGTCCATGCCGTAACCGTACTGGGTGTGGCGTTTCCTCCACTCTAGATAGGCCTTTGCCGCCGAATGTCGGAGCCAGGATGCGCCGTTGGGGCAGAAAATGTCGTCGACGAGGCGGGCGAGATCCGTCGTGACGAGGGGTTGAATGTATTCCGAGTTGACGAGCAGGCTCGCGTCCGTCAGATCAAACTCGGAGCCGGGAGAAGACGAAATAGCGTAGACAGCTACGGTGCCCTCGGGGACGCCGGAGTTGCTAAACGTAAACGGCCGGACATAGTTTTCGGCCAGCTGCTGAGCGACGGCTTCTTTTACAGAGGCCACTTCCTCAACGGATAAGGTGTCCGCGTGGGATATTACGGGAATGATATTGGTAACTTGCTGGAGTGCCAAAAGGACCTGCATGTCTTCTCTAGTGAGGCCTACAGTGTTGCCCGTCAGTCTTTGGGTTAAAAGGTCAAAAGGTGGGCCCCATAGGTTGAACTTACCCGTAGGTGAAATAAGGTATAGGACGGTGCTGACAATGGAGCCACCGCTAGCGCTCAGGAGCTTAAGCATATCCGCATCCGCGGCCGCACTCGACAAATGGGGCGTAAGGTGGGACTCGATGTAGCCTCGGACAAGCGATATGCAATCGGGAGGCTGTTCAAACGGATTAGCCAAGAGAACGCCTCGCTACACCCTCCCAGTCGGCAGAGAGTTTCGCGTGAAGCTTAGCATGGAGATAGATAGATAAGACTTACATTCAAATCTGGGCCGTGCCCAGGGGTATCCACGAAACAAATATTCTTGTCATACTGAGTGTCTAGTTCGTAGTCTTGGCAAAGCTCGGAGGCGTCGTCTCGCACGGCGTCCACCATGGTGGGCGGGGCATCGTGCTCGCGAATACTTCGGTGAGCTTCGAATCGCTTTCATGCCGGGTAAGAAGAGGCCGTCCGTGGCTCCGCGTTGCCTGAGCATTTCTAGCCTGTCCCACCTGCACGATGTGCTCGCAGCACTGCAGTATCGCCCTGATAAGGGCCGTCTTCCCGGTGCCTAGAGAAACACGGGTAAGAGATTGATTCGGCCGAAAAGAGAATGTACGGGGGATCAATGAACTAACCTTGCGCGCCGGCCACCAGAATCTTGAGCCCGCCTAATGCCTTGCCGATTTCTGTAAACGGCCTACGGTCGGGAAGCGTGATAAGGGGCATGATGAGTTGTTGCTCCGAGTGCTCGGTGGATCGATCTTGAGGAACCAAGGAGCTCGTTTCTAGGTCGTATAGGCCGCTTGGGGCATGGCTAAAAGGGTATTCGGAGAAGGAAGCAACGGGAGAATCATGCGGGGAATGGAGCAGCTAAGGTCGGATATGGCCACGGAGCCCTCCGGGACTGAAGGGGAGAGTATCGAAGAGGGGCGTGTGTTGGTCGGACGCGTAGTCAGGCCGGAGTCGGTAGGCTTGACGGTCTGGGTTGATTCACGCCGGAAGATGCCGCCTTCCATCCGGGTCGGGGATCGAGGTTCGCCCGAGTGGGCGGCATCTTCGGTAGTAGAGCGCCCTCGAGAACGGGTTTCGGGACATCTCGCTGGGGACGGCTTCCGGCAGGAGGGAATGGGGTACATCTGGGACGTTCGCGGCGGCCTCTCGACAGAAGCGTTCAGGTCGTCCTCGTTGACGAGGCAGTATGACGTTTGAAGGGGTTCGGCGGGAGAAGCAACGAAGGGCGCGCCGAAGCTGCGACCGTTGGGACTCGTGGAGCCAGCGAGATTCCGCATAACTAGGGGCGGTTTCGGGAGGTATGTGGTTGGAACGGGAGAAGAAGACTAGTCTTTGGGGTCTTAGTGACCTGCAAGTGGCCAGAAGAACAGCATTAGTGAGGTTTTACAACGAGATATGAGCTTTTGTAGAAAAGTGTCCAAACAGTATAGAAAAAGAAAAGTAAAAGGGGAAAGGAAAAAAGAAGAGGAGCTCTCTTGGCCTGCTAGATCGGAGTGGCCAAGCGGAGCTAAGGTGTAGGGCACTGGGGGAGGGGCGGTTGCATACCCAAAGGGAGGAGGGAGCTAGAGGTGCCGCCCATCAAGTGGTAGCAAAATTGATCTGGGCTGATGAGCAGGCGATGTGTGGTACGGTAGATGTACGGGACACAGCAAGCGAACGGAGGAGAATCGGAGGGGATGCGAGGGGTTGGTATAGTACTGAAACTGAAGAGTGGTGCCAGATCGAAGGGCGGTCGGCGCAGAGGCTCTCAGGGAGAAAGGGGGTGTATAATAGGAATGGACGGGGTCTATTGTGGTAAAGGCGGTCAAACTAGCGGCCAGCTGCGGTATTATCAACTGGAACAGGTCGCGGGGTGAGAAAGTGGGACTCGGATCTTGTGCAATGAACCAGGTCGAGGCTATCTAGACGCCCTACGAGAAGATAAGGAGTTTAAAAGAAGGTTGGGAAATTGTGAAGTTTGAAGAAGGGATCACGTATGTGTGTGTACGGATTAAGATAATCCTCGTCTGCTGCATATCCTGATCTAACTACTGGCTTTGGGCTGAGTATGGCTTTGGGGGATGAAGAAAGTATCCGTGGACGGAGTGGCGGGCGAGAGTACCGCATAAAGGCCAGGTGTAGTTGGCGTTCGTGTCTCGTGGCTGCAAACGGGGGATCAATATCCTTTGTTTCCCGCTGTGACGACGTAGTGTACTTGGACTGGGGAGGGTGGCGGCGGATGACAATCAATCATCCACGGAACCATGTGCCATCGTACAAATCCTGCTACCCAACAGAAAGCAAGCAGAGCCAGATCTACTTTCTTCCCCTCCTCCTCCTATTTTGGCTGTTTTCCCAAATGGAAGGGGAGAAGGGGAGTGTTCAATGATTTCAGCGCGGTCTTGTGTCGTGGCGCTGATCACTTGTACCGCCTGACGTAGCGTGCATGGTAAACTCCATGGTGGGGTAAAGGTTGAACGTGTGCCAAAGTATCCGGTACCCCTTCAGACCCCACCCGTAACTTACTCCAACAACGCAACACGGCCGCGTTCTCGAGAGTTAGCGCTGGTACCAGGTACGCGATTGCCCCCTCACTCCTCTTTCGATTTGCTTGCGTGCCCGCAACCCCGTCCCATGCCACCTTTCGTCAAGGCCCCAAGGCCCCCCCCAACCACAGCACCTTGAGAATGGGGAGAGCTTGAGGCAATGGAGACTTCTGAGGATGGCTATCGGGGGTCCAATGGAGAGTTGACGTTCGTCCTTCCTCTCCTTGTAGGTGGCATCCATGGATCAATCAATGATCTACGGCCCCTCCCCCACGGCCTTCCCACAGTGCACGCGCTCGGGTTTAACGCCCCTATGCCCCTCCCCCTCCCCACACCCCTTCCTCCTCGCTGGGCTACCACCACAACAAGGGCCTAGAACTTGGGAGCCTCGAGGCATCTCCTAAAGTAGCTTATCGAGAGAGTATGGACTCAACAATGAAGTCAAGTAAAAGCTAGTGTAGGTTTGCGTGTGGCTGTCGCCTACTTGGAAAGCGTTGGCCGCTCCCGCTCTTGCCGTTCCAGCCTCCATAAGAAAAGTTGTCTTGTCCAAGAAAGCCGTGATGCTCCGCCAGTCCCGTGTTCTTGGGTTTGAAATCAGATGCTGTCTCCCGATTAAGCCTGACAATTCCTTTGCGGGTGGGCAGGACACGCAGTCTACCAACCAGAGCACCCCATCCCTCCAAATGGCCGTCCCTTGCCATCGTGAAGCGACAACGCACTAAATCGGATACCGACACAGTAGTCGACCAAGCACCAGCACAGCCCACACACACCTTCCTCTCAGGCACAAGCAGACTGCAGTTGCTTGGTTGGCGGAGCTTGATCTGAGTCACGGCAGCGCCTCTTTATTTTTGGTGGACTTGGACTATTGGACTTTTTATTTTATTTTTGGGGCCACCCTCTAGGCCTACTATCTTTCTCGTCTTCATCTAGCTTTCCATCGCCGATTCCTCGACTTCCCCAAAGGGTCTTTTTCCCCAGAGCAATCTTTTGGTGATTGGCGACGTTCTACGAGCAGGGTTCTCACGCCTGCGACCGGAAACAGTGGCGGCTCTGCCCCTCCCTTGTACCTCCCCTTCTTTTTGCGCCCGCCTCAACCTCACGCCAGCCTTTCTCTTCCCGCGCGGCTGTAGCGCTTCTTGCATCGCATCGCGAGGAACAACCCCCTCCCCCAAAAGACAGAAAAGAAACACCCCGCCGTGCACTTTTCTAACCCCCTAGCCGACCCCGATATCTTACCAAAAAAAAAACATGGACGGCAAGAGACATCCCAGCTCGTTCCAGCAGCTGGAGAAGCTGGGCGAGGGCACGTATGCCACGGTACGGCTCTCCACATCCGATCCTGTCCGGCCCTTTTTTATCTTCGGTTCGGTCAGGTTTACTAACTAGCCATGTTTCCTCCCCGGGCGCGTAGGTCTTTAAAGGTCGAAACAGGCAAACCGGCGAGCTCGTAGCCCTCAAGGAGATCCACCTCGACTCGGAAGAAGGCACCCCCTCGACGGCCATTCGAGAAATCTCCCTCATGAAGGAGCTCAAGCACGAAAACATTGTCGCCCTGCATGATGTCATCCACACCGAGAACAAGCTCATGCTCGTCTTCGAACACATGGATGGCGATCTCAAAAGTACATGGACACCAACGGCGACAGGGGCGCGCTCAAGCCCATGACCATCAAGTCCTTCATGTACCAGCTGCTCAAGGGCATCGACTTTTGCCACCAAAACAGGGTCCTCCACCGCGACCTCAAGCCCCAGAACCTCCTCATCAACAGCAAGGGCCAGCTCAAGCTCGGCGATTTCGGCCTCGCCCGCGCCTTTGGCATCCCCGTCAACACCTTTTCCAACGAGGTCGTCACCCTCTGGTACCGCGCCCCCGACGTCCTGCTCGGCAGCCGTACCTACAACACCAGCATCGATATCTGGTCCGCCGGCTGCATCATGGCCGAGATGTACACGGGTCGACCCTTGTTTCCCGGCACCACCAACGAGGACCAGATTGTGCGCATCTTTAGGATAATGGGCACCCCGACCGAGCGATCGTGGCCCGGCATCACCCAGTTCCCCGAGTACAAGCCCAACTTCCAAATGTACGCCACCCAAGACCTCCGCCAGATCCTGCCCCAGATCGACCCCGACGGCATCGACCTGCTCCAGCGCATGCTCCAGCTCCGGCCCGAATTCCGCATCAGCGCCCACGACGCCCTCAAGCATCGCTGGTTCAACGACCTCATCCTCCAGCATCACCAACAGCAGCAGGCCGCTGCCATGCAGGCTCAGGCTCGCGGATACCCTCAGCAAGTACCACCCCAGGGAGCCCCATACGACGCTTACTAGGGGTTCTGTGTGCTTCTTACATGTCCTTCGTGGGAGTAGTTGCCTTTTCCCTTTAATCTTCTCCTTTTCCTCCCCCTCCCTTTCACCGTTGCTGTAGTGCTTTTTTGTTTCTAGTCGGGGGCTAAGGAACTTACTATGGTATCACGCTTTGTCGGAATCGCGTTTTTTTTTCCTTTTTATCTTTATTTTAAACGGAAGGGCTGGGAAATAAAACATGAAAATGAAAACTTGGGAACGTTCCCGATGTGAGGGGTTGGGTCAGTCAGGGTGAGGGGAGACCATCTATTCCTAGAATATCGGGATCGGACATTTGGTGTTTAACGGTGCATCATGTATTGCGACGGTACAGAATCTTTCTTTATTCCCTTATCTACCTTTTTCTTTTTTTTTTTTAAAAAAAAATCAATATTCATTAGTCGATCCTTGCGTAAAAAGATGTCCCGTAGCGCAAAGGTTAGTTCGTTTGGCTCATTACAAAGGGAGAGAGTATCTCTACAGGGGTTCAACGCGAACAAGCCCTCAGAGATAAAATACGAGATATATTGCCCAATGTATGATGAGTGCTGGCACGAGTAGCGGAGAATCGTCCGCGGGGTTAGCACTGGAAGTTCGTGCCATCCCTCTCCACAACATTCCCCGCCGGCGACGAAGCCCGTACCATCGGACCTCAACTCGATAAGAGTAGCCGGCAACTGTAATTTAGCCTTCTTCCCCGCCGGCGCCGGCGCCGGGTCCACGTCTACTACATCCTCGGTTCCGTCCTCCGCGCCCGACTTGTTCTTCTTCTTCATATCCTTCTTCCTCTCGGACAAGTCCACATCGCACACATAACACGTGAGCACGCCCTCCTCGCCCTCTCCTCCCTGGGTGTCAGCGTCGGCGCGGGCGCTCTCGACGAGGCGGACGGCGCAGGCGCGGCACAGGACGTGGCCGCAGGGCTTGGCGAGCACGGGCTTGGACGGGTTGGACAAGGTTTTGCGGCAGCAGGGGCAGATGCGCTTCACGGCGCGGGCGAGGGAAGAGGAAGGGTCCTTCTCCTCGGTGAAGAGGACGGTGACGAGGTGTTTTTGGGAGAGGATGTGGGGCGCGTCGGAGGGCGAGCAGGGGCAGATGGGGGAGTCTTTGGGCTTCTTGCGGGAGGAGAGGGCGGTTTCTGGGTCGATTGTGGGGGTGAGGGAGGGGTCCAGAAGGAAGGGAGGGTGGGCTTTTGGGCCTATGTACGCGGATGGGGGTTAGTATATTCGGGTTTAGATACGGGTATTGTTGGGAGACGAGGGGGAAAGGGGGAGGGGGAGGGGAATGTCCTTACAATCTCGGCATCAAGAGCCCTCCTCGCCTTGTTCACGTCCTCCTTTGATATCCTATCCACCTCCTTCTCATCCAGATCAAACTTGCGCTTCGTGCCCTGCGTAAGCAATCCCGCCGGCGCCTTACTACCATCCTCCCCCAGCCCTTCCGCCCAGCCCTCCTCCACCGCCATCATCCCGGTCGGCCGCCGCCGCCCGCCTAGTAGCCAAACCGAGCTGCACCATTTCAAACTCCTTGACGGCCCTCACCTTGGCCTCGGCCTCGCGCTCGCCCCGGACGGCCTCGACCTCCTTTTCCGCAACGTCCCGCGCCCGGGCCAACCGCTTGATCTCCTTTTTTGCGCCAGCAGATTGGCCAGCGCGCACTCGCGGCAAAACACGTCGCCGCGGTGGCACGAGACGGGGTCCCGCGCGGGCTCGAGGCAGAGGTTGCACGAGCCAAAGGGTAGGAACGAGTCCCGAGTGAGGCGGGCGGACGAGGACGTCCAGGCGGCGCGGGCGAGCGCGCGCTCGTGGGCCGTGAACACGGGCCGCGTCGTGTTCCTCTTGCCTGCGGTGAAAAGGAAAAGAGGGGGTTAGCGCCTGCGATTTCTTGGTTGTGGTGGGAAGAGAATGCCTTGAGAGAGGATGGAGGAGGTTGGTTCTTACTATGGGACATTGTGAGGCGCTTGGGTTGTGTCAGTAAAGATAGGGATGAGAGGCGACTATGAGCGGAAAGAGGTGGAAAGAGTAGATCGCCCCTTGTTCTTGAATTGTGCTGGGAGCAGTATCGTTGCGAGAGCTCACGCCGTTGAACAGTGAGGTGGCCGAGAATGCCAAGGCGCTGTGAACGATTGAGGACGGATGCGTGTGGCTCTCATACAGGGAACACGAGGAGGAAGTAAAAAGGAAGAAGGATACGTCTTGTATCCTGGATTTATTTTCCCCTTCTTTTTCTCTCTTCAATATGCTCTCTTCAGTCGAGATGTGATGAGAGAGTCGCGATGAAGTTGAAATTCATCAATGGTTGTCGATGAGTGTGAGTACCAGGCTTAGGCTGGTTGTCGAGCTCCAATGTATTAATGGGGGTTATTCGTCAATCGAAGTACAAGCCAACGATTTTTGGGTGCCGGCGCGTCTTTGGCGGTTTTACCCGTCTCAACAGCTTGTGAAAGCTTCGGTTAAGCTTCTTTCTTTTTTTTTTTTTCCTTGGGGCCCGTCTTTCTTTCAACCTCCTAACGGCGCATTGATTCCTTCTTCAGCTCACTTCTCCCAGGGCACCTCTTACGGTCAAGTGGCTGGACTGCCCTGAGAGAAGTGTTAATTTCTTTTTCTTTTCCTTTTTTTCACCTCCCTTTATCCTTGTGCGAGGGTAGGGATCTCATGCGCCATCACTAAGAATTCAAGATCCGCCCCTTTCCTCTTACACGCCCAAGCAGAGGGACGAAAGCCAGCGCAAGCCAAGAGAGGAGCCGGAGCTGTGGAAAGCTACTCCGAGGAGAGCTGGAAGAGGACTCCAATTGCTAGCATCCATCACATGCAGCGCCGCCCGACATGACCAACACAGCAATCGTCCCGCGCCGTGCTGCGCGCGGGGCGCTCTGGCGGGCGGGCTCCTCCGTCATCATGGGACTGACGGGAGTTCTGGGCAAGAGTTTCCTGTATGGGCTGAATAGGGTACACCTGGAAGGGTATGAGACGTTCATGGAGGTCCTGGAGAGGAGGAAGCGAGAGGGGAGGAAAAGAGGGCTTCTCACGGCGTGTAATCATATCTCTGTGTGAGTCGAACTCTCCCTTCCCACGTGCCCTTTGTGTCACACAAGGTCTTTTTACCATAAGAAGAAGAAGCATGCTTCTCTGCCGCAGGTGCATCGTAATGAGACTCGTAAAGTCTAGTCTTTGTCTCGCGTGATCCTCCAGCGCTGAAAGTAGAAGAGGCCTGCTAACAGACTTGCGCATCTTTTAGTCTAGATGACCCTGTAATATGGGGCGTCCTACCCCTGCGCTACGCCTTTGATCCTTGGAATCTTCGTTGGAGCTTGGGTGCCCAGGACATCTGCTTCAAGAACAAGTACGTGCCGCCCCTCCAACGCCCCTCGTTACTGAACGGATTCCTTCGTCTGCGTTGAGTAAACCCCGTCGTAGACTCTCACGAGACTAACAATTGATGCCTACCAGAGCTTCCGCAACTTTCTTCAGTCTCGGCCAGGTGCTCCCCACCTACCGCTTAAAGCACTCCCCCACGGCGGCCTCTACCAACCCACCGTAACCGAAGCCATCCACCTACTCTCCCGCGCCCCTTCCTCATCCTCCTCCTCCCCCTCGTAGAATCAACCCACCCCTCGAACCCCTCGACCTCCCCCCTCCTCATCCCCACCCCCACCTCTCCTGGGTCCACGTCTTCCCCGAAGGCTGCGTACACCAGCACCCAACCTCCTCCCTCCGCTACTTCAAATGGGGCATCTCCCGCCTCCTCCTCGAGTCCGACCCCACCCCAGACTTCGTCCCCATGTTCATCGACGGCACCCAGCGCGTCATGGCCGAGGACCGCACCTTTCCCCGGTTTCTGCCCCGCATCGGCAAGGACATCACCGTCGCCTTTGGCGACCCCGTCGACGTCCCCGCGTCTTTGGCGACCTCGTCGAGCGCTGGAAGATTGCGCGCTCCCGCGTCGGCGACGCCGTGCATGACCCGCCCCGACCTGAGGGTGAGGGCCCGCCCCTCGCCGCCGCCGATCCTCTGGAGCCGCCCCGGGGCGTGGATCCGGCCGCGTGGCAAGAGGTTGTCGATGTCAGGATAGAAACGGCTCGGCGAGTCAGGGACCAGGTCGCGGCCTTGCGCACGAGGCTTGGGTACCCCGACGACGACGTGAAGCTCGAGTTGGCCGAGACGTGGAAGAGGGAAAAGGTGGAGGATGCCGGAACGACGACGCTAGGCCAAGAACACGTGTCGAGTAAGAGGTAGTCCGTTTGTGCTCTCACGGACAAAAGAACGGCGCCGGGAACAAAGCTAGGGAAGAAGGGAAAAGAAAGAAAAAAAGTTGAAGCAAAGTTAAAAAAATGTGTAAGAGAGAGAATAAGAGCCAAAAGGCTCGATACTCGAGAACCTGTATGTTAAGACTCCAAAGTGCATACGTATATACAACTACATATCATATAACATACCAATTTCATCACCGTATCCAATATTCGCAGTATGGGCCTACGGGGCGTGGTAACAAGAAGATTTCATAACCAATTTCTTATTTAGTCCGTTTCCATTTTTAAAATGACATGTAGACTCTATATAGAGTTCTTGTTGCTTGCTTCCAATGACAATGATGATAACGACCCATCGTGATACGCATTGCCATTCCCCCATCAGCAAAGAAAAAAACCCCGCCGACTTCCTCCCTCCCAACAAACCAACCTGAGAGGGGGAAAAGGAAAAGAAAAACGAGAAAAGACGGGAGATACAGAAAGAGGAAACCGTCCGTACGCGCCAAAGGGTAAAATACAAAAGAGACTAAGAGAAAAAAGAAAGAAAAGAAAGTCCGATGCAAGCCCTCGCTCCCTTACCAGGTGTCATGAGTGTACAGAAGAGAAAAAGAAAAGAAGGAAAAGAAAAACAAAAGAAAGAGAAAGACGCAAGCACCAGGACCGGAGGCGTGGCGTGGAATAAAATGAAAATGTGGCGGGTGAACAGAAGTGATAGGCCAAGCCCTGTTGGCATGCGAGAGTAAAAAGGAGGGTACGAAACGTCGCGAGGGGGAATCAGCGCAGCAAGCGTCCTTTGTCGTCACTGGCCTGCCCCACCTCCGGCTCGCCGACCCCTGTCTATCCTCTACTGGAGACAGACGGCCGCCGCGACATGGACCCTTGCAGTCCAAAGCTGGAAGCCCGCGCGCTCGTGGGAAACATGACGGTATCGGGCTCGCCCATGGCGTCGTCGCTGTCCATGAGGCCCGGGTGGCCCTCGGGGAGCCTCTGCGCGCCGAAGCCGACGACCTTGAAGATGTTGGTGCGTCCACCGTTGGTCGCCATTTGCAGCTGCTCGTGCAGGCGCGCGAGCTGGTAGGTGCGCTTGATGGGCTGCAGCACCGCCGGCGGCACCACAGGCTGTGGGTTCCACAGGGCCAGCGCGGCCATGACATTGGATGTCTCCTCGTCCGAATCGATCTCGCCCACGTTCTCCTCTTCGTCCTCGATCGGGGCGTTGGCGTCCATTGCCGCTTCTATATCTGGGGTTAGCAGTCCGTAAGAGGGGAGGGGGTGGGTAAACGCGACAGCATTTGGGGGTGAGCAAGGGCTAAAGGACTGACTTTGTTGCTTGGCCTGGTTCTTCTTTTGGTACGCCGCCAGGAGCATATCGTACGGTAGCGATCTTCCAGGCACCGCACGCTTCGCACCCATGGAATGACTCTTGCATGTAAGCGACCTGGCGCAAGGCATGCCGTTAGGAAGTATGACACCACACTGTCGCTCAACATCGACGGGTCCTACGAAAAACCAATGTTAGTTTATCCTCGTCCGGCGAGTGTCCCAAAAAGAACGGGAGGGTCAAAACAGCAAGGGAGAAGAAGAAGAAGAAAACAAAACCTACCCCTGGGTTTCGCGACCTTGGGCTTGACCTCCTCCTTCTTCTTCTTTTTAGACGGACCCTTCTCCGCCTCAGTATCCGCTTTGCGCTTCTTCCCGCCCTTCCCAGGCTCGGCGCCCTTGGTCTTGGATGCCCTGACCTTGTCATCCTCGTCGTCGTCGCTATCCTCACCCTTGCCGCCGACGTCCCCGTCCGCCTTCCTGGCCTCTTCCCTCGCGGCCTCCCGCGCGCGCTCTCTCGCTTCCCTCGCCTCCTTTTTCCTCAACGCCTTTTCCTTCTTCACCTTGAGGCACTGCGCAATGTGTCCCTTGGCGCCGGATTTCAATACATTCTTCTTACAATGTTTGCACGACTCCATCTCGGGCGCATCGTCGACTGGCCGGCCAAGGATAAATGTTTCCTGCTCGTCATCTTCCACGTGGTTTGTGCGGGGCGATTGCGCCAAATCGAGTGTTTTTAACTTCTTCTCGTCTATTGTCCGGAAAAAGACCATCAGCCATGTCATCGCGCACGACGGGTAGGTTGGTAAAGCGACAAAGGGATGGGGGATTAGGCAAAGGGCGTAACCAGCCGGCCAAAACGTACCATCAGCGGATGTGTTTTCTATCCAAACACCCAGCTTTATTGCTTTTAGCTGGATCTTTTGAGCTTCAAAACGCCCTTCTTTCCATCCTTCTTGGTCTCCTTCTTCGATGCGACCTTGATAGTGGCATCCTCGCCTGTTATCGACACCATGCGTTAGTTTCACACGCCAAGACAATCATCGACAAAGGCCCCATAATTATTTCCCCCAAAACACCAAAATACGATATTCGGGACACGAGCACGTACTCTTGCGAGAATCGGAATCGGTAGGCATATCGTGATCGTGGGCGCGCGGGGAGTGCGCGGCGCGACGGACGGAAGGGGGAGATGGATTCGAGGAGCTAAGTTGGCGTGATAATGTGGAGTGTGGCACCGGGTGATGCGCCGCCCGTATCGGGGGTGAGGGGAGCGCCGCGCAAGCGTTCAAAGGCTCGGTATCCTCATGAGTATTGAATCAGTTACCATTGAAATAGTAGGATCTACGATTTCGATGAAATGGCCGCGATATTTTTCGGTTTCTGGGAGCTGAATTGCCCGGCTGTTGTCCCGAGTCTTCGACGGATGTCGTTCGTGTGACTGCGTGTTGAGCCGCATCGCCATCGTGTGTCGTCGCGGTGCAGGCGTCATCCTCGTCACGTGACTCGCCTCATGTCCGCTGACAGCTGCTGTCGACCGCCCGCGGCAACCTCAGACCTTGTCCCTCTATGGTATCTCGCAATACCGAGGTACACTCTAATTGATTAAGGCATCAAAGCATGAAACTCTCCTGGATAGAATGAGGCTCTAGAGGGCCTCCATAATATTCACTACAATAGGTATGCTTATTACTACATTCTTGGTTTCATTCTTTCCTATCAAGGCAATAGAACCTCTCCACTCAAAGGAGATATAAGGAAAAAGGACTTCATTGGCATCTGCCCGAGGGTCTTTCCAAACTACACATCGTCTAGATTCACGGGCACCAATTGAGAGGTCGGGAATGGCCAACAACACCCAGTTGATTAAGCAAAGAGAGACTTTGAGAAGACATACATGGAAGAAGAAAGCATCATAACTCCCAGAAAAATGAATTCTAAAAAGTGGTTGGGGAAGAAAGTAAGAAGGAAAAAAAGAAACAAGGAAAAGAGACCAAAAACAACGATAATCCTCCCGGCCTAGATAAAATGACAGTTGACACCGCAAAACCGCAAAATATAGAACAGGTCGTACCATAGATGAATGTTTCGCTCGTTATATCCTTTTCCACACCTTGGAATCCTCGCTTCTCCTCCTTCAAGCACGAAGGAGGAAAGAATGAAGACCCAAGGGGGCATCCTCGCACCACTGCCCAACATTTTCTCATCAAAAGTCCAGGGCTCCCCATTGCTCCCTTCCCGTCCCCGCCCCTACCCCGTCCCAACCCGAGTACCCTGAAAGAGTGCCACCGACCCTCGCTGACCAAGTTCCATATGGCCAGCTGCTCCCGTAAAGACTTCTACTTGACGAGTGTGCGACGGCACAGTGATGCCGATGCCGTGACCTGACCCCAGCAAGATTGCAATTCCCCGACCTCTAGGCTCTGATAGACTTCCTGATTGTGCTTGTAGACTTTGGTATTTTCGAGAAGCGCTCACTATCGAGTAGATACGTAATTGCCACGATACAAAATACCGTGTTTTCTCTTGCACTGAACGTCCAACGCGAGGGACATGATTCGAATGGTGTATAAAGGTCATGGGCGGTCAGGTGGTGGTAAACTCAAGTCCTCTCGAAGCGACGGGACCATCCGGAATCAAGCGACTCCGCGTCCGTGATTTAGAGGAAGCCAGACTCAGCAAGCACTCTGTGCGGGTCGTTAGTAAATAGGCGTTAAAGGTTAAAAGTTAAGGGCTTCTTGTAAAAACGTACCTGACAATCTTCTCATCCTCCCTCTCACGCGGCTCAACTTGCAGACTCTTGTCGTACATTTCGTGCACGTCGCCCGCCGCCTGCATATTGCTCAGGATGTAGTCCTGGAGTTCGGTAACGGGCTGTAGCGAGTAGCCCACGTTTTGGTACTGTTGGATATCACCAATGACCTCCGCCGTCTTGGCCCTCTTGGAGAAGTTGATGAGGTTCGTCTTCTTGATGATGGAGGGTATTCCGTCCTCAATGAAGGTGAGATCGGTAAGGTACACACCTGCACAGCAAAATAAATCGTTAGCATTTGTTTCGTCCTGGGCTATAACGTGGTGGTGACGGAGGAGGAGGAGGAGAATCAAAAATTGCGCGAGAGCCGCCATTTTCAAGGGTCCACTTACCAAAGAAGGGAATGCAAGGAGGATTAGCCGCATGCAACGCCTCTCGGTACTCTCCGAAGTTCTTCGTGCTAAGCATAAGTTTCCGCATCGACTCGAGGACCGTCTGCGTCCTTTGGGGTACCTGGTCCCATGTCCTCTTCAACCGGGCGATGGGCGCGGTGCCCAGCGCGGAGATGATTGAGGTGAGGGTAGAGAAGTTGTTGAGCGCACGGCATTTCTTCAAAAGGGAGAAACGTTAGCAAACGGATACGACCACATTTTAACCTCGAGGGGTGCGGCTCAGGGAAAAGGGAAGCAAAGAAACAAAGAGAGTGAGAAATGGTGGGGGAAACAAAAAGGGCAGTACTCACATCAGCAACGGAGATAAAGTGCTTGATGACGACGACTCGCTTCCGCACATCGACCTGCGCGAGAATCATCTCTGCCACCCAGTTGGTCATCTGGTTCGAGTGCAAAATGAGCGCCTTGACGTTGGGCGCCGGCTCGGGCTCGCCGTCGGCCACCTTCTTCTGCCACGTCTTGTTGAGGCACTCGGTGGGCTTGATCTTGCTGTACAAGCGAGACTCGATAATGGTGAGCTGGCGCGCGAATTCGGTGACGTCGATGTCGAGGAACTTGAGCTTCTTCATGCTGCGCGGCATAATGGGCGCCGGGGTGTTTTGGTTGAGCGTCTGCACCATGCGCTTGACGCCCACCTCCTTGCCGTTGAGTCGCTGGTCGAGGACCTGCATCAGCGGCGCGGAGCCCGGCGTCTCCGTCGACTTGACCGTGTCGCGCGCAAAGTTGTACACGTCGCGGATCAGCGCCCGCGACTCCTCGTTGTAGTCTTCCATCCAGAAGCTGTCGAACCAGCTCTTGAGGATCTTGACGACGCGGAAGCGGATGAGCTTCTGCTTGCGGTCTTTCCAGACCTCGTAGTCCGCCTGCGTCAGGCCCTCGGGCGGCTGAATGTTGAACCGCTTCACCAAGAGCTCAAAAGATCGCGCGCCGTCGTAAACGAGCGGTACGTGAGCAGGAATGTGTCGGTGAAGCTGGAATCCAGCTTGTCGTGGCGCGTAAGCTGCTCCACCAAAGCGGGCAGGGTGCCGCCCTTGACGCCGGGAGGCTGCGTCTTGAACTCCCACGCGATGTCGTGTTCGTAGTCGAGTCGGAGGAAGGCGGGGTTTCCTCGGTGCCCGGAAGGGCCATCCCGCTTGGGGCGAAGGATCTTCGCCAAGAAGCTTTAAGCTTGGAGTAGTCTCCCCTTCGCATGTTCCCGGTCGCCGAGTCGATGTCGGCGTTGAAGGACTGGCTCTGGATTAGAGGCTGTCGCGCGGGCATAGCGCGCGAGTCGGTCCTCTGGGGGGCCTCGCTCGTATGGCATAGTCTGAGCCCTAGAGAGCTGCTCTCGCGCGAGCTGATCTTCCCGCTGTCTCAGGTTGCTCTGCTGGGCCTGTAGGTTGATTTGTACTTGTTCCGAGAGGAGTTGTAGCGAGAAGCCGACATGAGACGAGTTGGTCTCGAGCGCCCTGGCGCACTGCCTCACGTATTCTAACCTGTTCTCCAGAGCCTCGCCGTGCACTTCCGACCACTCGTCCGCCAAGGGCCCGGCGACCGCCTGGCACCCAAGAAGTAGATCAGACACATTGTCGTACAGGCTTTGCTTGTTCGTGCTGAAATCGGCAAGTTGAGGGGTCTGGAATGTGTTGCCGAGAACGGATAGGTCGATGGACTCGATCATGGCGATCCACGGCTTGAACATCTCGAGGACCTTGCCTCCGGCGGCACAAACATTATTTCCAACGAGCTCGTGCTTGTACGGCGTCATGATCTTGTCGGTGACGGCCAGTTGCTTGTCAAGCTCGCGGATGCTTGACACGAGCATGCGCTTGAGTTCGTCGAGCCTCTCGAGTAGTTTCGCGTCCAGGATCGCCTGCGGCTCCAACGCACCTTCGTCATCGTCGAGGAAGTTGGTCATGATCGGGTCTCTGGGTTCAAGGCCGTTATTCTGCCAGCTGCCCCCGTGTTGCTGCCAATCACAAAGCCAGGGAAGAGGCGGGGTATCTCCTCTCCTCGTTGTTGCCGTGCTACCTCGACATAGTTGAAGACACCCTGGAAGACGCCCTCGGCCTCCATCAAGCACTTTTGTACGGATTCGGCATTTGGCCAGTCAGCAGCAGCAATGTGGGAGGAGATGACGAGTTTGGAGAATTTGGACATCATATCCCTAAAGTGGGGATACAAGGCCTTGTTTTGGGAGATGATGGAGGGTTGACCCGAGTGGTTATCAGTAGTCCCCGAGCCGGCGGCCAGGAGAAGGCGGAGGTGGTCCGAGATGTCTTCGGCGCGGGCAACGTACTCGGAACGGCGATTGCTAGTTATCGCTTCACGGTAGCGGTCAATGGCCCGCTTCATGTTTTGCACGAGCCGAACCCAGGTCAGAGCAGGGGTCTGGCCATCGTCGAAGAAGGATCGCGGAATGGAGGTGGTGGCCGGAAGGGCGTAGGGAGAGGTTGTGAAGGAAGTGGCCGAAGCGATCATGGGGGTTTGACCCGTGGGCACGCCATTCGTGAACGGATCGGTGCGGTTACCGCGGGCCACTGGCGAGACGCCATTGATCGAATCCATCGACACGGAGGGCGAGAGTCCATCGTGGAAGGAGTTTTGGTTGCGAAGCTGAGTAGGTCAGTCAAGGATGCTTCTTGCCCTTCAAGACTACGAGAAAGAATGAAAGAAGGCTCATTATGTGACTTGAAATAAGGGGGAGAAGAAAAAAGAGAAAAGAAGAGTAGTTGAGGTGGCAGAGGGGAAACCGAGTGCGCGTCGAGGCGCCGTGGGTTGTCAAACGTACCAAGGCACTCCGGGAACCGCTAAAAATACTGTCCCCCTCCACTTCGGAAGCGGATTGGGTCTCTGAATCCTCCTCGTCTGTCATCATGCCCCCCTCGCCATCAACTCTGGAGGAGGGCGGGTCTCGTCAGGCATCGAGACATTCGTCCCGCTTCGATCTCGGGGCCCGGCATCGGCGGAGGAACTCGGCGATTCGAGGGGTAATTCTGTCGTTCGGTCTCCAGTCATCATATTGTAATAAAATAACCTTCCGTCGGGGGTCGCTTGCGGGATCCAGAAATCCGACCTCGAGGCGCTTCCATTCTCGACGCCCTCGAGGGTAGGTGGTCCGCACCGTCCTGGTCCGACCCATCGTCTTCAAACTCCTCCTCGTAAGCCTCGCCTTCCTCTATGAGTTCGTCATCGCCGTGCTCGGGTACGGCGCCCTGGAGGATGCTGTCGGGAAGTTCGTCGGTACTCGTGATGACCTGGCAGTAGTTGCTGGGAAACCAGCCGCGGACGCCGTTGATGACACCGTCCCACCAGCCACTGTCGAGGCGGTTGATGACTTGGATGACATCGCCCTCGTGAAAACTCAAGCTGGTCCGGTCGTCGGCCTCGTAATCGTAAAGAGCACGTACGTACATCGCGCCCGGTTGGGCGGATCCAACGAGGCCGTTCATGAGCGAGGAGGAGCCGCCAGGGGCAGTGGCGGCCACGGTAGCGGAGTAGGCAGAATCGTAATTGTAGTCGTAGCGGTAGCGTGAATTGGGGTTATCGGAAGCATTCGACAGCGATCGTGAGGGTCGGCGGGATTCGAAGTACTATAAGAGCGTGAGGTCGAAGATTTATTGCGCGAATTGTACGGATTGTTATTGTGACCCTGATCGAAGGCGGCGCTGCCGTGTCCGTCATGAGCATGATGGTGCGGCAGTCGATCTGCTAGAAAGAGGGGGGTATCGTTGCGGGCCTCGGATGGCTTTCAAGTCATGGCCTTTTCCACTAGCGTAGCGAGCATCGGCGCGAAAAGGATGTGATAGATGTTCGGTTAATTTTTATTTTATTTTTCGTCTATTTCAATCGAGAGCAAGAGACGATCCGGAAGATTGGGGCGGGAGGGGAGGGGGGGGATGGAATTGACTGCGATGCAAAGATGGAGGGCTCAGAGGATGATCGGCTCTCTGAGGTAGTAGTGGTAGTGGTGCATGGGGCGGATTGGCAGTTTTGTTGTGGTTACAGCAGCCAGTGTTCTAGGCGTGAGGGGCCGACGTTCTTCACGTCTGGAAGAGGATAGTGGTTGCGTAGCGTGTGTAGCGCCCCCTTGGACCAACTCCGGCTTGGTGGGCAATTGATGGAGAATCAACCGATCAGCCAATCGATCGCGCCTGAGGTATGGGGGAGCGAGAAATGGCCGCTAGGCAGCACGACCTCAACACACGGGCGGGGGTGTGGAGCATGGGATGAATGGATTGATGGGAGGTTGTATGGAGTCAGGGAGTCCAGTCAAGTCAGGTCTGGCTTAGCCCAGTGCCTGGAGCCCACTGTCCAAGAAGCCGGATTGCGGGCTTGCCTCTCCTGCCTTTCTTGCCTTCTCTTGCCTTCAACGATACCGCCTGCGTTGGAAGGATCGAATAGATTTCGCGTCCCCCATCCCTCACTTCAAGTTCCAATGCTTTCGTACATTTAAGCTACGCATCAATCTCTGCCAACCGGAGAAAGACAAGGGAGACGAGGGATCTAGGTATTTGTGCCTTGGGGCGTCTCAACGATGTTTGCCAAGGGCTTTGTGAAGCTGGAACAGCAAGACCCGGAAGGGCGACAGGGACCTAGTCAGGTTACCGAAATAATCGAGAGCCCTCAGCCATCCTGATCCAGAAACGATTCCTCGGTACACTACTACATATACTTTCTCGAAGGAACTGAAGCGGCTCGTATGGTACGAAGTAATAAGCGTTTTTGGCGAGTGTCTCCCGCCAAGCGCCAAGGGCAAGGGCAGAAAGGCCCTGGAGACCCGTCAAAGGGGCACTCTAAAAAACAGCCCCGGTCATGGACCAAGGGGTGGGAGATGATGACATCGGAGCGCCTTCCATCTTTCTTGGAACGAGAGGGCTTGGTTTCGCGATAACTCGCGGACAAGGGGCCAACTGGTACCGATCGAAATGAGCAGGAGGTGGGGAAGATGCTGGATCTGGTTTCTTGCGCCATCTGAGCGCCCTGAGTGGTGGGCAGTGGGCGGTGGGCGGTGGGCGGTGGGTTTACCCCTTCTTCGACAAGGTGGCCGAGACCTGCCGTGGTACCTGTTACGGCACCTTGACGCACGGGTTCTGCTTCTCGAAAAGTACTAGTACTAGATACACAAGCCAAAGCCGCCGTTGCGCTGGTGCGGTACCAATCGATCAATTTGAGGGCGACTCCAACGATACACCGAGAGAGCCCTCGAATGCGCCAAATGGAATGCTCACAATGATCAATATATACCTCCTCGGACATTCTCTCTCCACTCATCCCGACGACAAAGGGCCTGGTCCCCAGAGAGGAGGGCCCCGACCGACCAGGAGCGGAGGGAATATGCCATGTTTTAGCAAGGTGATGCTCGGTGCTATTTGAAGGCACTGGAGGGCAAGCACCGTGGGCCAAAACACCAAAAACGCCAGGGAGCCCGCCCTGACCCTTTGCGAGGGGAGAGGAGAGGGCTGGCGGCGAGCCGTGCTGCACACCAATGGAATTGTGGTCCCACATGTTCCAAGCCCAGCCAGCTCGTCCCTCCTTTTGTTTTTTACTTTTCTTTTCTTGTTCTTTTTCTTCTTCCCCTCCCCCTTATCTCTCCTTTTACGAGACCCGAGACCCCTCCATCAATGCCAAGGAAAACAGGTCGACCATCGTCGTAATAAAACATGGTCTAGCTGAATATCCCCTCTGCTTGGAATATCATTGATATTACAGACAGGAGCAGAAAAGACGCGACTGGAATAGAGAAGAGCAATGGCTTGAATGGATGGTGGTCCAATGAGGATCCATCTGAAGGCTTGGGGTGAAAAGGGGGATGGCAAGGCCAGCAAGAAGCCATCATTGGGATGGATGGATTGACCAGCTTGGTCTTTGCCATCCCCACCTTCCTTGCGACCTTCTCTCCCAACCCTACCCACAGATGCAGTGATGAGCAGTGATGAGAACTGATAACTCTTCACCGATGGGTTCCATCAATCCCTCCTACCCTTTGTGAAAATAGCTTGCTTCCTGGCCAAATGCTCACCACCCGTTTCCTCCTCTCATCTCTCACTCTCTCTCTGTCTCTTTCTTTTCTCCCCGTCTGCCTTTCCATTGCTTTTCTCTTATGTTCTGCGACATGTTATTGACCTGTCTTTGCAGAATGGTGGTCGGAGGTAGTATGGGATCCAACGTGCCACTACGTCAAGTTTCCATTGATGGATTCGGGAAACCATTGCATCCGCTGATGGCACCGAAGCACCAACGGATAGATTGCGCGACTATCTATCTCGAGCTCGGTACGATGACGAGAGCGGGAAAATGCCTTCGAAACTATCCTACACCTACTGGCTTTGGCCCTTGGGGGAAAGGCGCCTGTGGCGTAGGAAATGGAATCGAGGCCTTTTGAACGTCTTGCTATTGTTCGTGGTACAATCCTCTGATAGCTGAGATGAGTGCTCAGACGCCATTCCTACATTGGTTACAGGCAGATTTGGAATCTCGACGTCGGAATCGCGTCCCGATCCCCCTTTTCAATGTCGTGTTAAAGGGACAGAGCTAAAGGGTGTTTTTATTCCTTTTTCTTTTTTTCCGGCGTGCCTCTGCCGTTGACACTTAGGCCGACGGCTCGGACGAGAACTAAACTGACACCCCCGGGAACGACCCCTTTCCTCGGATCATCCACCGAGACGAGTGGACGCTTGGGGCCAAAAGCTCAGGTTGATATGTCCTCTCGTTCCCGTGAATATGGTCTTGCCGCGTTTCCTCTGGCAAGGCGACCCAAAAGCTTCCTATGGTAAGAGTGCTGTGCTCACCCCAGCGCCACCAGTCGAGAGGTGCCGCGCATACGGCCCATCGATTTTCTTCCCTGCCCATTCTTCCCCGCCTCCTCCTCGTTTCCTCTCCCTCGATTGCGCGCAGCTCAGCCCTGGCACATGGACGAGGCAAGACATGGAGTCGCAGAGGGGGCATGAGAAGCGATAGGATTTAGGCCGGAGAGGGGCGGGGGACAGGAGAATGGTGCGGGATACAGTCGGCGGGAGCAAGGTGGAAGGGGTGTCCAACGCCGTCGAGCGTCGAGGATCGACGTTGAAGGCAGAGCCTGATACAATTGAGCGAGCGGCCCAGAGTGCGGGAAACAGTGGGTGGGGGAAAGGCAAAGGGACCAAGATGGCAAACACCCGACAGTTTTCCGGACGGATCTTGGTCGCCCCAGCGAACACGGCTTCGGGCCTATATGCTCATTCACTTATTCTTCGGTCCTTTCCCCTTTGCCGACGAACCTGGGTTTGGGGCTAAAGGGAAAACCCGCTTGCTGGATGCGGGCTGGAGACAGTGAATGGCTGGTAAATCCGGGGGTGGTGTGTGTGAGTGCGTGAGTGTGCGGGTGTGTGTGTGTGTGTGTGTGTGTGTGTGTGCTGTGCATCTGTATGTGTGTGTGTGTGCGTCGCGCGTATCAAGCTTTGTTCAAAGCTCCGCAAACGTACTTTCCACTTCATGTTAACTGGACTGCTAGATCGCGGGCGGAGTGCTCTTTTTCACCTCGGCATCGCCCACCATTGCCCCCTGGCTCACTTCTGCACCTTCGAGATTCTCCGTTTGATATGCTGCGCGACATGTCGCCCTTGTCACTGCGCGCAACACTCTTTTTCCAGCACACACCCATCTACGAATATTTCTTTAGTATGTAGATCGAAATCCACCACTTCTCCCGCTTCGGTACGTGGCCTTTGTTCCACGTTTTACCTAGGGGTCCAAGCGATTTCCCGTGGTCGTTGGATCTTCCGTCGTCGCACAACAGCTCGGCGACAAAATATCCCCGCCATTCTTCCAGCAAACTGGTCTGGACGCGGGACGCTGGAGGCCCGTTCGGGCGGGCCATTTCTTTTTCCAACTCATTTTTCTTTTCTTTCTTTTTCTTCTCTTTTCGGTTTCGAAAGGGAGATGAATGAAACGAAAAAGAAAGAATCAGAAGAGGCAAGAAAAGAGAGATGCTTCAAGGGGCAGTGGTGTGTTCTTGGCCCCGCGCATGCGTGCAAGTGGGTGACTGTGTTACGTTGATGTGCTCGAGCGTGGGAATCCGTCAGCAAGCATGTTGGACAGTCAAGCGAGAAAGAGTGAGGGAGGACGGAGATCGGGGAGCCGACCACGACTGCTGCTGCTGCTGCTGCTGCTGCTGCTGCTGCTGCTGCTGCTGATGCGCATGCATGAATCGACGGCCCGCTGTTACTACATACAAAATGCAGGCGGGCGAGAAGAGGCCGGAAGCCCTAACGTCACTTTCTCTTTTTTTCTTTCTTTTTTTCTTTTCTTTTCTAAATCCTCCCTATTCGCCCCGCACTTCCAACCTGGACACTGGATTATTCAGGCAAGGTAGGACAGGAAATGAGGCGGGAAATGGTCCTTTGTGGGCCGTCGAGGGGTTTGTTTCTCTTTTCCTATTGTCTTGAAGATATACAAACTTATCTCATCTCTTGCACTTTTATGGAAGAAGGGTTGTTTCCCCCTTCTCCTCAGCTCCCCACGTAACCGGTTTTGCCTCGTTGCTCTCTACGGCATAGTTTGTCTGATCGAGGGTTTCCCCTTCTTTTCTTAAAGAGACATGGGTTTTATATCTCCTGCACCATAGGCGCGGCTGGGGCGTCAAAAAGATGCAAATACGAGACTCGGGGTGGAAGAAGAGAGCGAGTAACACCGATGTCGCCGTCGACACGCCTAACCCCGTCTCAGTCCCTGTCTTACACTAACTGCCCATCGCTAACAACAATTATCAGCACGAGGAACCTAGATTCCGCGTGATGGAATGGTAGA